CCTACATACTCACATTCCCATCCTTGACCCGATATCAGTATGTATGTATATCTGACTTCAATGCTGCCATGTACATGCTAGAGTACCAGTACATACCACATACATGTATGTAGGCATGTACGCCTTGTCTCTACTACGTGTATGTATGCAAATATGTAGCACTGAACTAAAATCTCTAGACTCTAAAGGTCCACATTGAATCTGGGTTAGATACTTAGGAAGCGTACCCATTTACAGATGTACATGGTAGTAGATCTCTCGGAGGCGGACCGTGGATATTCTAGTTGGCGATATAGCCCAGCTAGTCTCTCAACTTGGCCATAGTATACCGGCTAGTAGTCTACCCAGGTATGTACAGTAAGCCAACCCAGACGCTGCTATCTTAGCTAATTCATATCATATCTAGGTACGTTTATGTAAGTTGTAAGCAAAGTTCATACTATCAATGATTTGCGGATGGGCACCAGCCACATCTGTTATCCACCGCCAGCATCACTTACATCAACTACCATGGCAGCCATGTAGGTAGGCATGTACTAAATATGTATATGTATGTAGGTATGCACGTACATATTGGGTACATGCCTGCATGCCTACATGCCTACATAGGTTGATACTTATTACCTCCAGGCTACTACACATGTATTACCTACTTGTCCATGCCTTGTATTGATGTATTGAAGCTGGCAGTGTACATCTCAGACAAGTTGAAAGAAGAATGCAGATACACACTTATGAGGTTGGATACTTACCTCTATGTAGCATGAAAGTAATTACCTGTCTTACCGTTTTCAAAAATACATCTACTATCAATGTTCGTAGAGTATTACCAACTGAGGTGCATATACCATCTCTTAGAAAGCAGACCACTACATACATATGTACATGTATTACATGTTACCACTCATTGACTCCTTGGTACTATACATCCATGTATATGCCATGTAATATATGAATAAATGTAGGCTTAGATCTACTCGAAGAGGCCATCGTAAGAAGTCTAGTTGTTTGTTATGTTCTATAAGACATAAATAATCATATTAAGCAGATGACATTCAGGTCATGTTATATTATTCGAGAGATCGAGAGATGGGAAGAAACAACATCTCAGAGGGATAAGGGGATGAAGGGATAAAGGGATAAAGAGATAAGAAGGGGGGATCAGCGAATAGTACGGCGCATAGTAATGCATATATGCACTATTAATGCATGCATGTGTGCAGTTATGCAGAATGTATGTACCTATGTAGCGCGTGGATACAGGCTAAATCCCCCAAGACCAACATCACGTGATGACTAACTATTTTAAATGCAAGCTGGCAACTTCCAACGTCCACACTCACATGCAACAACCAACATTGCAGTACAAGGATGGTACGTACTTTTACGTATGTACATCGAACTACATGGAACATTGAATTATCGGGTTAGTCTTCATGTAGATAGCTTAGGAATCTTGACCCATGATTAACCGAGTTAAGGGTTAAATCGGGTCGGCCTGGGCTTCTTTGACCTGGAACCCACATCTGTTAGTTTGACCAATTAGCGAAGGCAAAGCTGGTCCTAGAAGCCATGCCAGCTCAAACATTAAAGGTACTTTCCATCTTCGACACCTGCGTACCGTGAATTCTTAACTCTTTCCACACTTTTTCTTTCTTGAGGTGCCAGTACTCGAACCTAGAACCCACACACCCCAGGCCGCACACGAAAAAAAAGATTTAGACACCAATCCAAAACATCAACCAGCTTGAGCCTTGAGCCCAAGATACTTCCATTAATACCATTGATACTTTCATCAATAGTTACTTTCAATTATCGAAAGTACTTGAGCATCCGAGTCCTGGTTAGTTTTAAGCTACTTGCATTACCTCTTGCCTATTACCTACATACTATTAAACACTACAGTCACTACTACTTGCATCAATAGTAGTAGTAGTACTGAAGTATCAAGATCCGATCTTCGCAAAACAACAGAAGTCACTTTTCCCTCTTCTTTATACTATACTACTTTACATATTCATCAATTCAACAAGTACCTGCCTACCTTACCTCAGTTACCTGCTACCTCCTGCATACCTACGTTATACATCACCTTACATTACATTACATACCTAACCTGGTAGATACCTGAAGGTTTAACGCTACTTGTTAGGATCCTTGCATGAGTGTATGTATCATCAACCTTCGATTGCGATTCTAATTGCCAAAAAGTGCAAGACGTTGACTCCTCGCGAATTTTGAGGATTTTTTAGAGAAAAGAGGCCGCCGTCTCCGCCACCTCCTTTGACCAACCGAAAGGAAAGGATCTTTCATCTTACCACCAGTAATAGAAAGGTATGTATCGTGACACTTTAATTTTTTTCTTCTTTTTTCGCGCGCGCATATTTGGTTCGTAGGCAAGCACCCACGCCTTGCGAACTAAAATTTTCCCATACTACCATCTCATCATCATCGTCATCAATCACCATATCCATCATCCATAATCGCCCTAAGTCGTATGCATTACCATGGTATGGTAATTGGCAAGCATCAAATAAATACATTTTGCTAGTACGACTCGGGAGCAAGCAAAGTTACTTTGGATTGGCTGCATGTACCTGTCCAAGTATCTTACCCAAGTATCTTACCCAAGTATCTCAATTACCAAGGTATATGGGAACATCATATGGGAACATCGGGTGTATCTGCGACGTACCTACACCGCCCTAATGCCCCAACTCCCTTGTCCTCCCCCCCCCCATCCACCCTAAAAAAACCCAGCCAGAAAAAAAAAAGCCTAAAGAGGAGCACTTGAGAAACAGAGAGCCAAGGAGCCTTGATCAGATTGTGCTGCGAGCGGCATAAACATAAAAGATTTCACAATTACACAATTCACATTGCACAAGCCAAGTTGCGCGACTTTTGTGGAGTCCGTGCTTCGGGACTAGAGGGAGTAAAAGTTTTTTTTTTTCAGGTGCTACAGCCTACACAGCTTATCAGGCAGATACCAAGCCTACCAGCCTACCCAGCCTACCCTGCTTACCCAGCCTACCTAAACTTTAGCCCGGCGTTCCCACTACTTTTGAGTGTCTTCCCATGTTTTTCAACGGTTCATCATTCCCGTACCCCTCCCCCCATCCACACAGTTTGTTCCCTCTACCTCTCCCTTTCTCACCTCCAAGTACTCCGTACATCTCTACCGAAGCACGATACTTAGAACTCATTCCCTGTTCGTTGCAACAACAACTTTCTACCCCAACCAAGTTAACCTTACCTACCTCAATTATTCTTGCGTTCGTTCATCGGCGCCGGTGCCTGCGCACCACTTGAACTTGACTAAACCCTTCTTGTCACTTTACTTCACATTGCATTTGGTCTGTCTAACCACTGTTTATCCTAGCCGACCGCAGAATCTACTTTTTTCTGCGCAGTACCTAGTCAGACCACCTAGTCAGACCTACTTACTACCTACTTACTACCCTAGGTAGTGAGAGAGACGCGTCGTTTGTATCTACTAACTGCACGTTTTTTTTTTTTACCAACCGTCGCCTCAAGGTTTCTCAAACTTTGACCGTTGAGTAAAGAAGATCAATAAGCAGCACAAACTACTGTACGCGACCGAAGAAAAGAATAACGAGATTTTGCATTTGCATTGATTGCCCCCCCTGCCTTGTCATTCGGCGACAGGAAAGAAGAAAAAGAAGAGTGAGACGAAGAAGATTAGTCGAAGAAGAAACAAAGTTCAAGATCGTGTCAGTCTTTATGCACCAGCACCACTGATACCAGCTGGACACACATAACCCATACGTACATACGAATACATACGATACATCTTAATTGCCTGTAAGTCAAGAGTACCATCTACTTTTTGTCGCATCATTCATTGTATTGTATTCCGTATCATCCTATACCCTACCCTATACTATACCGTGTTCATTATTTCACTATGCCAAACTTCCCTATACTATATTCAATCTTCACTACATTGCCTATTATTTCCCCATTTCCCTTTTGAAGAAGCATCCCCAGAAGCTCCCCAGAAGCATCCCCACTCCCCGAACCATCAACACCCATTGCCTGCATCGACAAGACTTCTGGTTGCGCGCGACCTTATGCGACCATGTGACCAATTCGAAACAAGCGCGTTTGGCTGTCTGTCCTCGGCACTGCATCGCACCAGAGCCCATGATCATTAAATTCGCCATTATCACTATCATCCATCATGATTCAATTCAGTCCCATCTACGCCATTCACGATGTTGCTGTCGACGGGCCAGATTTTAGTTTGGTACCGGACGGTCAGATTGAGACCAATGTCAGCAGCATTGTCGCATAACGACAACCACGCGCTATATGGTGCCAGCCCCCAAAATATGGTCCCAAGCCTTTTCTGTTGCCTCAGGCGCAAAGATACAGATACATGAGAGTTCACTTCTCTGTCATTTTATCCTTACAGTCCATGGGCATCATCGTTGCTACCTACCTACCTACCCTTCATATATGATCATATATGATCATATCATATCATATATTATCTCGCTCCTTTGTTGAAGCGTCTATTTGTCTAACTTGTAGCCAGTGGTAAATTTTTCTCAATTCTTCACCTCTGCCGCCACCGTTACTACATTAGGCCTCTCCTTTGTTGCTTCGCCTCCCCACGTCTTCCCATATCCATCCATACCCATACCCATAACCCATAACCCATACATACCCATACGGAACAATTCTTATTTCCAGAGTGTACCTCTGCCCTACTTTTCGTTCCGAAGTTGTTTGTTTTTCTCCGTTTTGACTCATTTCCACTGTTTTAATTTTTTTCTTTCTTCTTCCCATACCCTCCAACATTAAAGTATTTGGCTTTTGGTCCATGTACTTTTTTTGAACTCTCCCAGAGAGGTTGTATCAGGAACAAGATACCTTGGTATATTTTTTTAGTTAGCTGACGCTAAGTTTGCCCATTTCAGATCATGCAGCAGTGGCAGGTCGGCCCCGTGCCGGAGTACCTATACACCAACTCCACCCAGCACGCGAACGATGGTATGCAGTAAGTATCCCCTTTTCCTACTACTCTACCTTCCTACACCATGTTCCACCTATGTACTGTACCTGTTCAATCAGTTTCCCCCCGAACACAATACCTACTACTACAATAATACATTACATATCCCCCCCTCCCTTTCCTCTCTCCGCGCCCCCCCTCGCCTACCCCAGATGGCTTGTACACATACGACCCAGTCGTGTTGTATAAAAGACCTGGTCATATATGTACCGGAAGTATATCTGCTGTCTCAACCATGGATTCGTCCCGCAAACATTGAGCTAGGTCGACCCGTCCATGCTCCACTACGAGTGGCGGGACCCCTGGGGATAGCTTCACCAGGTCCATCCTTCCTATATGCAAGCCTAGCAGAATTCGTTATCCTGCAGCTTGCCTGCTGGTTTCCTTCCCCATACCCTTGTTTATTCCATCAGCTCAAAGGCAACCGCAGCTTTTGAATCTGGCTCTGGCTCTGTTCTGGCTCTACTCTGGCTCTGGCACTTGCTCTACCAACTGCCTTGGATTTGGAACACCCAATGCCGTGCAGCCATGATTGCATTGCTCTTTGTTGTTGTCGCTCCTAGCATAACTAAGCTGTATGGGCAAGCTAACCTTGTTGCGTGATACAGCTCTAACCATCCCTACCAAGCCGACATGTCACGTAGGAATGACTTCGCTGGTTATACGCCACAGCCTACGAACCCCGGTGCCCAACAGCACCAGCCGCACGGTCAGCAGCATCATCAACAACTCTCTCAACATCAACAACACCAGAATCAACCACACCAGCAGCCGCATGGACCCCATGCCCAGCACCCGCATCACCAACCGCACCAACAATCTCATCAGGCGCAACAGCACCATGCGACTCCTGTCCCGCCGCCGATGACTATCCCGCAACCTGCAGTAGCTACTTCTCAGCAGTCCACTCCTACGCCAGCCCCAGCCCCAGCTCCTCCCCGCGGTCGCAAGCGAGCTGCGCCTGGACATCAGCAACCCCACGCTTCCGCCCCGAACGCGTCAACCCCTGTTCCCGCGGTCTCCTCTGCCGCCGCCCCTACTTCGTCTACTCCAGCCCCCGCCCCGGCAGCTACCCCAGTTTCCGCCGCGCCGCAGCCGCCAATGCAGGTGACTCCTGTGATTCCACCGGCAGTTCCGACAAAGGAAGAGGCCAGCACCCCGTCGGTCCAGCCCCCGGCTAAAAAGAGTCGAACCAACACTCCTTGGACACCGGCCGAAGAATTGCGATTGAAGCAGATGAGAGATGCTGGTAACAGTTGGGCTGAAATTGCCAAGGTGAGTCAGGTTACATACCCATAAAATCGCTTTATATCACTAACTCCAGTGGCAATAGACTTTCCCTACGCGAACCGAAGGTAGCGTCAAGAAACATTGGTACAAGGTAGGGGATTTTTTTATAAAAAAAAGCATGTTTTACTATTGGTTCCTTCGTTACTAAGCCATAACTAGGATATGCACTACGCTGAGTTCGCCGAGGATGAGAGCCAAGCCCTCCTAAGTGCTATCAAGGACTATGAGAACAACAAGTGGAAGACTATCGGCCAAAAGGTCGGCAAGCCTGCCAAGGTTAGTTGCGCCCCATTGTTTAACATGCAGATATGTTATGACTTCTTGCTAACTGGCATCAAACTAGGCATGTGAACAATATGCCAAAGAGCATTTCCCGGATCTCTTTGCGCCGCAAAAGGCACGTTACCCACTCCAGGCGCTACGCGTCTTATTTTCGTTCCTTCCTGTGCCCCATTCCTGTCATTGCTAGTATCCCTTCCATTCTTGATCAGCTCGTGCTAACCGGATTTGATGAAAGTATAGCAACCTCTATGATGGTTGTCTCCCTGAAATCGCACCACTCGAACGAGGCTGCTCCTATATCCCCCCGGATCAATCGACGACGTGAGGTGAGATGAAGGCGACATGAGGGTGGTGAGATAAGGGCGACATGGGTGTCTTAATTCCTTTCTCCATTATTCCCGTGTCTAGTTGTGTTTCGGTATATCGCTCAGGGATGATAAGGCTTTTCTTCTCTTTTTTTTCATTTCACACAGCAAAATTCCCCCGCGGGAGAATGATCGGGTTGTCGGATATTATGGGGGCTTGAGAGGACTAACATTCATGTATTCGCTTTCACAGGCTTGATTATGTATTGAAGGCATGGTGGAAAGCAGGGTTCAAAGGGTTTTCTAAAAGATGTTCTATTTCGAATAATCGATTTCGTGTGTGTTAATGCTGATCAGTCGGGCGACACCCAATATAGACTCGCCAATGTCAGATCTGAGATAGGCGAGCCGCTGGATGTCCCTGTCGGTCAATATCAAAAAGAAAACACCGTTTCTACACCGTATTATCATTTGTGGATTATTCAAGATGCATATTTTCATTGTTACCGCAACTAAATACATTGAATCGGATCAAATCGATTTAATGAAGTAGAGTCCCTCTAGTTGACCCAATGGTCCCCACCTCTCTCCTCTCCTTTTGTTTCACAAGAATATCGTGAGCTGAACTCTAGTGTTTAACTTGGTTCAGGGTAGAGGCATATTGGGATGGATCCATATAGAACGGTGAGTGAGGGGTGCTATCGATCAGTGAGTGACACAAAATAGGGGCTATTACCTACATGTATGTACTACCTATTTCCTACTATTAGGTACCTATCGCCTAGATATGCAGCACACATGCCTACATTACATAGTAGTCTGCTATTTACCTAGGTACTAGATAGGTAGGTACCTATAGTTATTGGTACATACATGTAGTTATCGGGACGCTTTGATCCCGCCGTTGCGTACCCTAGGTACGTAAGGTGGTAAGCTTAAGGGATAGGGATCACATATCTATATCGAATCGAAATTCGAGGTTTTAGACTAACTTGGTCAGAAGAGATTTCTTTCTTTTTTTTTCAATGGAAAAAAAAAAGGGGGGGGGGGGGGGGGGGGATAAAAACTCTAACAGCCACACACGTCTAGGGGCAACAACTTTACGACTGGAAACCCTAACCTTACGAGCTCTTGGGAGGTTTGGCCAAGCTGATACTAACTTAGGTGCGAGTGGTATGTAGGTATGGTTTGTATGTATGTATGTACTGTAGGTGGGTGTACCGACCACGCAAGATCTCGCCCCTTTTTTTCTTTTAGCTCAGCAGCAGACTCCAAAGCTTACTCGATTCTGACGAGTACTGGGAAAGATCAATGTATAAGGAGATGTGTGTTTCCTACTGAAGCGTAAGATGGAATGAGAAAGGAATCGGAGGAGTTTTTACTCTTTTCCCCTCCTGAAAATACTTACTTACTTAACCTGGTACTACTTACTGCCTAGTAGTAGACAGACAGACAATAGCAGAGCAGCTGGCTGTGTATGTATCACAAGAGATCCACGGACAGACGGGTACGCACAAACATGAGTTAAGACCTACCTACCTACCTACCTACCTACTTACCTGCCTACTCTCCCAACCACCACCCCCCCTTCCCTTCTATCTATCTCCCGCCCCCCTCTCAAACTATCCGAATATACCATGCGCGTATCCGACGGATAATAGAAAGGGCAAAGACAATAACGTACGACGTCCTAGTAACTCCTGGGAGAGACAGAATCTTCTCTCTCTGTCTCGCTCGCTCGTCTCGTCTTACGCGAAAAGAATTATGTTATGACGAAGGGGGAGTGGTGATAGCAGACCTACCTACCCTACCTACCTACCTACATAGCAATACCTTACCTTACCTGGTGACGACACAGACACAGACAGAGACACAGATAGACAAGCAAATTGAGTTGAGTGAGTGTGGGCCGAACATTAGGTACCTACCTAGTCAGGTAGAGCAAAGAGTGAAGAGATGGCGACGACGACAACGACCTTCCGCAAGACGACGCTCTCGCACGCGCAGAAGACGGTCCTGGCCATGTCGCGCGCGCAGTACCTCGACGCGATCCGCCACGCGCGCCCCGCGGACAAGCTGTACGTCGGCGTCTGCATCTTCCGCATGGACACGCATAGTTCCCGGCCGTCGGTGCTGCTGCTGCGTCGCTCGGGGTCGTGTGGGTCGGCTGCTTCTTCGGGTTATACTGCGGCTGAGTATAGTGATAATGGTAATGGTAATAATGCCTATTACACACATACAACAGCGAGGACGCCGACGAGCACGGAGTTTTCTTCTTCTTCGCACTGGGGGAATGGGAATAGCCAGCAGGCCAAGCAGCAGCCGCGGAACTCAAATCCTGGTACCAGTGCCTACGACATGGGGGAAGTGGTCGAAGGAGGACGAAGAAGAAGTTACCCCGGCGATGGCGGCGGCGGTAACGGGAACAGTAGCCGGGGCAGAAACGTCAACGGCAGCGGGACCTGGGAGCTCCCCGGCGGCAAAGTCCGCGACGGCGACTTCTGCATCTCCGCCGCCGTCGCGCGGCAAGTCGCGCACCAGACCGGGCTGCGCGTCGCGCGAGTGATCGGCGCGCTGCAGGACGTGCGGCGCGTGCGGCAGGTAAGGATCCTGGACTGGGATGATGATGGCGTGGGGATATTCAGCACGTACGCGGACTTGGACGCGCTGGATGGGGCGACGCTCACGAGTTTTGTGGTTGGAGGTGGTGGTGATGGTGATGGGGCGGGGGTTAGTAGTGGGGGGACGTTGAGTGGAGGGAGTAGGAGGGGGAGTTTGAGGGGGAGTTTAAGGGGGAGTCGGGATGGGAGTGTGAGTGGTGGGAGTATTTATAGTGGGAGTATTTACAGTGGGAGTTTTTATGGTGATAGTATCTACAATAACGATGGCGGGGGCGGGGGTGGGAGCTGGGGTGGGAGGGAAAGGGAAAGAGAACGGGAACGAGATCGAGAAAGAGGGAGAGGGAGCATAGGAGGAGGTGTAGGCACAAGCGTGCTATCATCCTCCTCCTCGTGGGATGCCACTGCCGCCGCTGCGCGCCCCTCGCCGGTACATAGTCCGCAGCTGGTGCTGCGCAAGGAGTGTCTGCAGCTCAACTACGCGGTGCTGGTGAAGAGCCACGACGACCTGCGGATCCAGTCGCGCGACCACGACGAGATGGTTTGGGCTAGTTTTGGTCGCGCCGAGACGCTGGATATGCCCGAGGAGATCAGGATGGTGGTGAGGCAGGGGCTGGCGTTTGCGGCGGAGTATTTGTTTTGATGTTTGGATATACTACTAGTAATAGACATATGTAGAGACTCTGAGGAGGGAATCTGCTTTGATAGTGGTTCTTACATGTACGAAGTATGATCATCTACTATGATGAGGACCACGAGGTGTGTATGTAGGCATGCCAATACGAGTGACGACGCGGCCATTGGTTTAGTTTGATGGATATCCTAGACACGAAACTATAATTAGTTTAACTCGATGCTTGTGTCTCTGAAAAGAGACAAACATACATAGCATCTCCATATCCCATCGTTATCTCCCTTAGTACATACGGCGTAGGCGTAGTAGAAAAAAGAAGAGAAAAAAGAGAAGAGAAAAAAAGGACGTTTGAATACGAGGTTTTGCGACCAACATTGAACAAATTGGAGATACCTATCATGTATCTACTACATTTTGTATGCAGTAGCCCCGGAGCTTTATGTAGTACCCAGTACCTAGTAGTTACCCAGTATAGCTAACCCAGTAACTACCTAGCAAGGCTACTAGGTAGTAGACTCCAATGCTACTCCACATTACTCCACAGCAACTTGAAGTTACATGTACTGTAACTAGTAACTATTGCATGGCAGTTCCTTGTCATTCCAATTTGCAGTTCAGTCTTCTTTTTTTTCCCTTTTTTCCCTTTTCTTTCTTTCTTTCTTTTCTACTGGCTTCACTGCTTCACTGCTTTGCTTCCTCACACCTCGTCACATTGTCACATTCGGATCATCTTCACAGATTCCCATTGATCCACAAACGGTATTCCTATTCCTAATCCTGTTCCCGCTATTCCCAACCGAGAATATCATCTACATTAGTAACTACCATGTATGTACATACTAGCACACACATCCAATGATTCTCCCATGATCCCATCCCTTCAACGTTGTAGACAGCCTAACACCTTTCAGCTGCTGGGATAGGTAGGTTACTATTATGTACGTAGGAGGCTTAGTACGTAGGTATAATGGCCCATGGCAGCAAGGTCCTTGGCTCCTTGCTTACTTGGCTCGCCAACATTCGGCCTTCACGCCATTTTCCCATATGTTCCCCCCCATGTCTGTCTGATCTCTGTCTGATCTCTGACTCCTCCTTTCCTAATCCTCCCTTGCTTTTTTTGGCTGGTCATTTCACTGTTCTTACACGTGGGTTGTGAGTCTTTGGCATTTGTTGCTTTGCTCGTTCGTTTTTTTTTTTTTTGCCCCCGTTAGTTCTCAGCCCTCTGTTTGGCTTTGTCTGTTGTTGTAATAATTTCAGTCGCTATCCTTTTCGAGGGAGAGAGTAAGAGAGAACGTCTGTGTGCGTGTGTGAGTGAAAGAGAAAGAAAATCGCGCTCCAGAGAAACAAGAATAGGAACATCGCCTCGATCGCTTCTGAATTACATACTCTCGCTTGAAACGCCCGGTAAGGCTCGGCTTACTCTAGCTGCTAAAGCTGAACGTGGTCTATGCTACAGGAGAGATCGCTGTCTGTCATAGCTTGTACATAAGTTGATTGACTTGTTGAGCCTCCTATTGTCTTCCCCTTTTGTCGGGAAATATACACGCGCCTTCAGACGTCAACCTTCCTTGGCTCGGTGATCGCGTGTCTGCCCACCTTGCCTATTCGCACGAGGAAGTGTTCATGATCGTGAACTAAATCGAAGATATCATTTCCCGGCTTCACTCGCTTAGCAACTACCTCGAATCTTCGGCTTTCTGTACATATTATATATACCTACATAACGACTTATGCGACTCGGCCATCGATCCCGCTAGCGATTACCCAGTACTTTCCATAAATATTTTGATATTACTCACATATATACATAATACTTTAATAATGCTTCGAACGATACCCACGGTGGCCTTGGCCATACTCGGCGCCTCGACCGTATTGGCTCAAACCGCACCGACGTGCTCATTGACCCAGAAGTGCCCGGAGGATACTCCGTGCTGTTCTCGTAAGATACCATACTGGCTATATATGTCTCTGTTACAGTTGATCTAACTTGGGGAATCTAAAGAATATGGACAATGTGGTGTTGGCGCATACTGCCTAGGAGGATGTGACCCGCGCATGTCCTTCTCCCTAGACGCGTGCGTGCCAGCGCCTGTGTGCCAGGATAGAACGATGAAGATGGACACCACAGACCGAATCGTTGATGTCTCGAAATACCTCGGTGACGCTGACAAGGCCGACTGGGTTGCGCAGGGTAGTCCGGTCGCCCACAAGGGCAACGTGCTTTTAACCATGCTCCCTCACACTGCTGGAACTGTACTCGCTTCAACCGCTTACATGTGGTACGGAAACGTGAAGGCACAAATGAAAACGGGGCGCACCGCCGGTGTTGTTACTGCCTTCATCCTGCTCAGCGACGTGAAGGACGAAATTGACTTTGAGTGGGTTGGTACCGAGTTGGATATTGCGCAGACCAACTACTATTTCCAAGGCATACCTGACTGTGAGACTTACTTGATTCGTAAATGTAGCATGTGGAGCTATGGTACTAACTTGGACTTGCAGACACTCATTCCAAAAACATCACAGGCCTCACGGACACCAACCAGGAATGGCACACATACGAGATCAGGTGGACCCCCGAAAAAATTGAGTGGTATGTGGATGACGTCCTTGGACGCTCTTGGGAGAAGTCAAAGACATGGAACTCTACAACGAACCAATGGGACTTTCCGCAGACACCATCTCGCGTCCAGCTCTCGATCTGGCCCGGCGGTGATGAGAAGAACGCGAAGGGTACGGTGGACTGGGCCGGTGGTGCGATCGACTGGGACAGCGACGACATCAAGAAGGACAAGTACTACTACGCCACTCTCGGCGAAGTGAGCATCGAATGCTACAAAACCGACAGCGCACCTGGTACCAACTCAGGCAAGAGCTATATCTACAAAGATGCCAAGGGCACAAACGACACCATTGAGGATGGAGATGCCAACACGGTCCTCAAATCCCTCGTGGGTACCGGCTTGGATATGGACAAAGATTACCCAAATTCGAGCGACAATTCGGGCGACCAGGGAGTCATCCCCGGTCTGAGCGGTGGTGGTCCCGGCACTAACGGCCAGGCGGCCGGCGGATCCTCCGGCACGGGTACCAGCGACGGCTCTACCAGCTCCAGCAGTTCTGCCAATCCCGCTTGCTCACAGGGCTTCCAGCAGGTCTGTGGTGGCGATACCACGAACGAAGGAGTCCGACAAGAACGTAGCCTGGGTGCGAGTGCGTTCGCAGCTCTCGTTGCCGTTGGCGGTATGCTCTGGATTTAGATGAGGATGGAGGTTGAGCATGAGGGGTGATACGCTCGTCACTTTATATACCGATCTAGGATACGATTTGAGTACAGGGGTCGTCTCGAGTATGACTGGGTGGGTTGGGTGTGCATGGGGATTGACTCACGTGTCAAGAGATATATGTGAGCCCTCTCTAGGGCGATCGTGATTGGATGCGCTTAATGGGTGTCTATGACTGATATGTACCTAGGTGTACATGTATTTATCACTTGGGGAGGTAATGGCGCGATGCCGTCCGCTCCTTTTTGGATATCAGCGCTATCATGTTGCCGAGAGATCTAGATGGGATGACATGTAGTTGGGACTCGGAACTTGGATATGTAATGCATCTTGGCTATGTGGCGTCGATATCCTCCATACCATATAAAGCAAGCCTGTTGTGCTGTTGTGTTGTCCAAGTCTGGCTTTGGGGGCTGTTACACTGCCTTGCGATTGTGAAAGCATGGAATTATGTGCATGTCTAAGTGAGGTATTCCAATGGTATCGAGTGAAGTGTCCTCGTTTGAGACCAACCAGACCAGGCCACCACCCCCAAGTTACCTGTTCAACATGCTTCGAGCTATAAATGCAATGTCATCGTCTAGTCATCTGGCGTGGCTATGCTCATATAGTTAACCCCTTTGAGGAGAATGACTCTTACACATCACTCACTCCTAAAGCCACGATAATATACAGGGAACGGGGTCGGGTTCGAGCTCCGAGTGTGGGATCTCCCAAAGGATTTCGCTCTGTCTAACGATGCATAGTATACGATAGATAGGATAGATAGTCTGATACATTTCTGTCGTTATCAATACAACTAACCTAGTACATAAGCAAGAGTACTATACTAACATAAATAAGTTTCCGAGACGGGCTGATTAATCCTCCGTCTCTTGCTTCTCCATGTATTCTAGACCATGGCCTTACCTAATTTGTTTCCGCGCATAGCTTCGCCCACGCCCACCACGATGTCCCATGCCCACCTACCTAGGTAGCTAGTTACCTAGTTAGGCCAAGTTCATTCACTCTTTGTATGGCTCATCCATTTATGCGTCCGAGTTTCAGCTAGTGCTGTTGAAAATGTTGCCAGATTTATGTTTTCTCGGACTTCTTTTTGGCTAGGATATCTCGAGATGGTTTGTATAGGTACCCTAGTGGGATGGGTATAAGGAGGAGAGTGGCCCCTTTGTGATGCGATTTGGAATATTAGGTGATTCAGACGATATATACTTACATATATCGCACACATATACACTCACACACACACTTCCAGCAAAAATGTCCACCTCACCAAGCCACCCCCACAAAACCATCGCCTTCTTCGGCGCCTCCACCGGCGTCGGCCTCGCAGCGCTAAAACGCGCACTCGCCGCGGGCCACACTTGCATCGCGCTGTGCCGGACGCCCTCCAAGCTCCTGGACAAGCTGCCCGCGGCGGACAGGGAGCACCCGAACCTAAAGGTGGTGCAGGGGGACGCGCACGATTTGGCGGCTGTCACGCGGTGCTGTTTGCAGGCACACGCGCAAGATGGGGAGGGGAGCGAGGGAGGGGGAAAAGGTAAAAAACCAGTGGATGTGATCCTCTCCTCCATCGGCGGCGTCTTCCAGTTCCCGCGCATGACGCTGGACGACCCGCACGTCTGCGAACGGGGTATGGCGACACTTCTCGAGGCTGTCACCTCGGTACGACAACAGCAGCAGCAGGAGCAGGAGGGGGAGGGGGAGGGGGAGTGGACGCCGCGCATCGTCGTCGTGAGCACGTGCGGCATGGCGCGGCACCGCGACTACCCGCTCGCGACGTTCCCGATGTACAAGTTCCTGCTGCGGGTGCCGCACGCGGATAAGATTAAGATGGAGCGCGCGCTCGTGGCGGGTGCTGGCTACACCTACACGATCGTCAGGCCGAGCCTGCTCGTGGACGCCGCGGCGCCGCAGCGCGAGATCCGGGTTGGCGTGGACGACGAGCCGGCGGTGGGGTACACCATCTCGCGGGACGATGTTGGGGGTTGGATATATGAGAGTGTTTTGGATAAGGGGGGGTTTGGGAATAGGATTGTTACGGTGACTTGGTGATTGATAATACTTTTAATACTTACCCGGGGAATTAATGCAGCACGGGATCTTACATGCCTTACCTAACCTAGGGGCTGCTGAGAGATCTGGGGGCTATGTTTCGTTTGCAAGCTAACGAACGGAATTGATTGGAGGCGCTTTGGATGTTGGTCCGGTGTAGTTAGTTATATTGTCACTTGCTTTTCTTTTTTGTTTTAGATACCAGTCAGCCGCTCAGCTCTTTACCCATCGAGTCACCTCACTTCCAGGTTACCTACGAAGTAACCTACCTAATCTACATATGTAACCTAGTTATGTATGTATATATATATGTATGTATATATGAATGCCAATGTTTCAAATGTGGCCAGTTCCACAAAGTCACGGTCCCTTTTCTTTGTCTCGTTCGCAGGTTCGTTTGCTAAGATATTCTGGGCGTGGTTACATCGTTGGTTGAAGATGGAGCCGCTAACATAATGTCCCTGAATTCGGGATGTCCAATACCACTTGATCTGCGCCTAGTCATCCCAAGCCCAGCGGGATCCATAGCCGCTTGGTGGTCTTTGTCGCCCCGTGGCGGGCTACTGCAGGGGGAAGAGAATGGCCATTGATGGTTTGTGGTACCCTTTGTTTCCCATATTGATAGGTGGGAAGCTAGCCATTTTAAAGAAGGGTGGTAGGCAGTTAAAGTACATACATAGTCAACAAGGCTGACCTCTATTCCCCCACTGTATGTACTATGTAGTATGTGCTATGCAAGACATTTATAGCAGTTGACATTCCCCTTGCGGCCGTGGCTACGTCTGTCACAAGTAGATGTGTACAATCTTCTTCTTAGAGTGAATATAATAAGGCCAAGCAAAGAGCCTCCATTTGTCCTCTCTTGTTGATCGTCTTTGTTTCTGGCAATTCAACTAATGCATTCTTCCTAAGTTGCCTCTAGTTCTATTGTCCCCCTTTCTTTATTTCTGACCATCGAGCGTGGATCGTTTGAGGTGAGTACCTAGTAAGGATCGAAGGCTTATCTTTGCAGAATAGAGTATATATAGCTGACGAGAAAGCAGAGGTATTCACATATTCACATATTATTGGATTATATTGGATTATATTGGTGACAAGTTTTTGTTACTCGCTCAAAAAGACATAACCGTCACAACAAGTCACAGTTTAAGCGTTCCTTCCCTGAATCACTGGATTCTGTTACAATACAATAGAGGTTAGTAGTGCCTACCTACCTATGTTTGCTGCCACTGCTGGTAGTTGATAAACTGCTGTTCAGGCACACTCAAGCACACTTCGTTCCTACCTTCGTTAAATCATACATAACTCTAACAAACCAAGATTTCCCCAAAGGAAACCACCAGGTACAACGGTACAACGGTACAACATTTAGTCTAAGACAGACATTTAAAAAGAAAAAATAAAAAATAAAAAAGTACAAAATGTTACGCAAAACTCTCACCTCACTCCTCACTCTTGGTATGGCTTCAGCAATGCCATCACCACTTAACGCCCGCCAGGACTCCACACCCCCGGAGCCGCGCAAACTTATGATCGGCGCTCCCTATCAAATCTTAGCTGCCAACTTCACCGGTACTGAGTTCACCATAACTGCAAATCATACTGCCGTCGGTTCCGCCCCCAGCTGGTTGCTATTCAGGAAACCTGGGTTCTTGTATGCCGTTGACGAAAATGGCAATGATACGAGTCTTTTCAGTTTGGAAATACGCAACCACCAGCCTGACCTGACCTCCTCCGTTAAGGGCTCTTCTGGCGTCGTCTTCTTGGAGTTTAACGCCGATCAGACCCGAATGATTGGCGCTGGCTACGGTAGCGGCAAGATCGATATTTGGGATACTGAGGAAGCTTCCAAGAACTTGGCGTACATAAAAAGTATCGACATCCCAGGTACACCTAACCCTAAACAGGGAGTACACCATCCGCACCAAGCTCTACTGGACCCTACGGGCCGCTTCTTCGTTATCCCCAACCTGGGCGGAGACACCGTGCTGGTCCTCGATACCCAGGACGGCCAATTCAATTTCAGCGGTAATGTGACGCTACCGCCAGGCACGGGGCCACGCCACGGTGGCTTCGTCACAGTGAACAGCGCTGAGGATGCATGCGCCGAGCCGCAGCATTACTACGTACTAGCCACGGAACTTACCAGCCAGCTATTCTTGTTCAAGCTCGCATACAAGGATAACTCGATCAGCTTCACGCAGATGCAGGTGCTGAGCACGTTTGGACACGACGCACCCCCGGCCAACGCCACCTCGGCGGCCGCAGGCGAGCTCGTAGTCGCCGCAAACCAGCGGGACGTGTACGTGTCGAACCGAATTACCGGCAACACGACTGATAGCATCGCGCATTTCGTCTTCAAGCCCAACAACGGCACCGGCGCCACCCTCGACTACGCAGAGACGATATCCACCGGCGGCCTGCGCCCTCGAATGTTCAGCCTCAGCAAGGACCCAGACCAAAGCCTCGTCTTTGTCGCGAACCAGGGCGGCGATGCCGGCCTAGCCGCGTTCAAGCGATGCAACGTTTCTGGAACCTTGAACCCGACTCCCGTCGCGACGATGCCGATGAAGTCGCTTGTTGCGCCGGAGCTTGCGGCGACGGAATTCATGGGTCCGCAGTTCGTGATGGAGATTTGATTCGATAGTTATATCCTGCTCTTACTTCTGCTTCTGCGCCTACTAGTACTAGGGATGCTCTAGTCTCGTCTTTCGAAAAAAGTATCAGCTGTGGGCGAAGCTGCATCGATCACGGCGTTTGGGTATCCAAAATGAAAGATGGATGGATGGTAAAATGGGCGTGGAGCTTATATTTTTATTTCTTTATTCTATTAAGGTTAGGTACCTATTTCTTCATTTAACAATTTACGTGCTTTTCATGATTTTTATTTTTGAGAATAAACTTGTATTTCGTATCTGGACTCCTGGAGATTCTATGGGTCCAATAAGTGACTTGGCCGTATGACAGATGAAGCTCATTGGTGTAGCCTGGGTAAGCTTCCTTTCAAAGGCGTGTCTCGACTATTATTAGAGCTAATAGCGCCTCTAGTCCAGCAAATCTGAAATCAAGCACATGAGCATCGAGGGGACCTAATTAATGTAGATCGATCGGGGGGCGGATTGCAGTGTCTTTGCATCACTATAACAGAAGCGTGTCGTGAGGCAACCTGCAATGTAACCCCACCAACGTACCGCGACGACACATGAACGGTGGGCATCAAATTAAAATACTTGAAGGGCGTAAATCGAGATCCGGCCTCATCAGGTCGAGAACAGCCTAGGTAAAAGATATTAATGGGAGATTATGGGAGATTATCTTCCCCAGATTATTCAATAGCGGTTCTTTGGATAACCTGTTTGGGGGCGTCCCACGGACTAGAAGCTACGAAAAGCTGCGAAGCTAGAGTCTGCTAGATAAGTCACAAGCTGATTCGCGAGATTTGTTGCTTTCGAGGCTGAAATCAGAAAAGCTGCCCAGGTGCACAGCGTTCAACAGGATTTTACGTCATAGAAGACCGAATGCGGAAATTAAAATCTCTTCGAGTAGCTGTTACTAGCCTGTTAGTTTCAATTTTACTACGGCGCATAGTGCTACATAGTTACTAGTAGTATGGTAGAGTCCAGTAGACATTGGTAGTTCGTGTTCCAGTTCCACTTGAGTTGACTTAAACACGTGTTTTACTCAACTTTGAGGGAAGCCTACTGTCTACTGTCTACTGTCTACTGTCTAGTCTAGTCCTCGGTTTTCTTTTCTCCATAAGACAAACGATGTCTTAAAAACAAGGACCTTGGAAATATCAAGGAAAGCTGACCTGATTGATGTGCAATACGTACGCAGAGTACGTAGATGGGAAACCCGCATTCCTACATACTACATGTAGGCACACATACATACCTACATACCTTAGTAGGTACTCATGCCTTTCATTTCTCATCTCCAACCTTGGCAATTTTAACATGCTATTGCGTGCATATGAAACATGAACGTGTTTACTGATGTACCTACTCATCACCGTCAACAGACCGCCACACCGGTAAGTCGGCATATTCAAGGTATGTAGGTAGGTAGGTAGGTAGGTAGGTATGGGTTGATACATGCATGTATCATGTATCTAACCTTAGGTTAGTTGTGTATCTGTAAACGAAAAGGGATATCAGTCTTGTATGTATGTATTTCCGAACCCATACATACACGTGCGCGTAAAGAATTCGGCCAGCATTGAAGTCTCTCGTTGTCGATGGAACTTTCACTACAGAACTGTAAGCGTGAGATTCCAATGAATTGATGAGCTTGATGAGCTTGATGAGCTTCTCTTCTCTTCTTGTTGAAGAATGACGGGTAGTTAACTGAAATAACCAAAATGATTATTATTATTATATACATAGTACTTGATCAGTAGCACGCTCGGGCCAGTCACACCTAAAGAAGACTGTAAATCCACTGTTATTAGCTAATCTAATGCAAGTTGTTCGTTGTTTGTGTAGCCCTTCCGTACCTGTCCAGCTCCGGAGCACTTGCCCGATGGTTATGACGTATAAGATTGTTAATTTCATACTTCACGTCATCAAGACCTAATACTTGGGCAAGAACAACCAAAGATGGACAGCCCACATCCCACTTCGGAGGAAAAGGTACTTGTTAATCATGCCAATAAACAATGTTTTATCGTGTACCTGGAAGTTAGCTCTCGGGCAGCTGCATTCGCTCGTTTTGGATATTGCCCATGTATGTACGTCAACATATACAACATATACAACATATACAACATACATACATCAAAGTATATAATAAACACCTTTGCCCCTCCATTCGTCTTGACTTTTGCTTTGATTCTCCATTTCTCACCTTAAAATACTCTACATCGTACACTCAGATATTTCATAAGTCTATACCAATATCTATACCCATTCCATATTCATACTCATATTCATACTCATATTCATATACCCCCTAGCCTAATACTGTATACTTTCTACGTGATACCCCAACCTAATCCTCTTTCCCATCCTCTGTCTCACTCTCCTCGTCCCCGAACAAGATATTTGATATCAAGATACCCCATCATAACGCAAACATGACGAGCGTAAACAAACCAACAGATGTCAAGCAAAAGGAGGCGGATGTAAACAGGAAGCTTCAGATATATGGCATCATCAACGCTTTCCAAAGCGGCAAAGTTCCTTCTGTAAGTGTCTCGTAACCTTATACCGTTTTAGGTGTTTACCGGCCCAAAGACTAACTTTGAGCCAAATAGAATGATCAGATCGACGTTGCCCTAAACAGTTTCCTGGAATCCAAGGCATTAGCGACTCCTTCAAAGAAGCTTTCATCCGAGGGACGAGAGTTGGTCGCGGATTTCAAGGACATCGTAGTACAAGCAAAGAAACTGCTTCTATCCAAGAACGAGGGGAATCTTCTCCAAGATTTTATCTGGCAAACGCAGCAGTTCGATCCGAGTGTGGTGAGCGTACCCAACGCGCCAGTCGACAAGGATACGGTGAAGCAGCACGGGGACAAGGCCCTCGAGGGGCTTCGTACCCTAGGAACTTTGATCATTACCAATGGTCAATTCCGCAAGCTTCGTGAGTGAAATAACATACTATAAACCCTTAAGAAAGGGTATTCTGACTAACATTTTTGTAGTCAATGACGCCACTGTACTTCTACGCGACATTGCTGGTGACGCTGCCAGCAATGCCGGAAATAAACTTCGTCCTTCCGGCGAAGTTCTCAATCAAATTGATAGGCCCGCCGACGATAACACCTGGCACGATGCTCCAAACTTCTCCAAGGAAACCGTTAAGTCCCAGCTGCAGAGTGTTTACAAGAGCAACCCAACACAGGATGCCAAAGGTGCCGTGGCTTCGGGAGCGCAAGCAGCCCGCCAGTCGGATGGAACCACTGGTGATCGCATAAATGCTGTGCAGAATGCGGCAAGTAGGGCTACTGATCAAGCCAAGTCTAATATCGATCCGGAGACTCGAGAGTCCACGAAGCAGACCACTCAAGAATATCGCGCTCGCACTAAGCAGTATCTATCCAAGAAGATGCCAGAAGAGCGTCGTGACCAAACTATCTGGCGCCTAAAGGTATGCAATAGAATCCTTCTTGTTGTTATTGTAACGTTGCTAATTCAAATCATAGAAAATGGTTGTTGAATGTCAGCAACACCCTGACTATAACCAAGCTATTACCACGTTACTCGATTTGGCTGAGCAGTACGGATCCCATGGTAGGAGCCTTGCCGCTGGCGGTACTGGCACTGTTAAGGAGACGCGCTCTAGCCTCGCCGCCGCCGAAGCTGACCTGAAGGTATGATCTTGTTCCTACAAAAGAAGACTGTGCCAGTTGCTAACACGGAATTAGACATTGATTGAGCGATTTGCCAATGGAACCTCAAGCGACGACCTCTGGGATTCGATCAACACCATTTATGAAGATGCCGACAAAGATGCTGAGCTTAAGAATTGGTTCAGATCACTCGATACTTATATCCGCAAGTGTCTCCAACAGCCCGGATACATCATGGAGGATGTTTCAAATGAGGAGTGGCATGTGTTGTATGACCACGGCAACTACCTCCTTCGTGAGAAGTACAGGACCCACACCGATCGTGTTGTCGATGAGATCAAGTTCCTGGCCGACCAGTTTGACCAAGATCCTCAGAATAAGGCTTTTGCAGCTTCCCTCCAGAAGTTGTTTAACGATCTTGGTACCGACGAGAGTGGCAAATCCGCTTTCAAACCTCACCTTGTCAAGGATCTAACCGATGTAATCATCCCTGCTGCATTTGAGGAGGTTGCATACATTCCTATTCCTCGTATTGAATATTCCGATCCCGAGATTGATGCCGTGGTGGAGAATCTCGTGTTGGAGAGCGACAACTTCATGCCGAATGTGCTAGAGGTTGCCAGCGACAACTATTTCCGCTGGGGTCGCAAGAAGATTGCCAGCAAGAACAAGACGTCGATGGACATCAAAGTCACGGGCATCCAGATGGACTTGCGCGATGTTAGCTTCCATGTCAAGCGCAAGCAGGGCTTCCCCTCCATCACCGACACCGGTGTTGCTAACATCAAAATGGGTGGTGACGGGTTCTGTTTCCGCTTGAAGATGTCTACAGCAGATGAGAAGGATCGACAGCATTTCTTCAAGATCGACAAGGTTGATGTCGATGTCAAACACCTGCAGATTAAGCTTGTCAAGTCGAACCACAAGATTTTGTTCGGTCTCTTCAAGCCCATCATGCTCAAGGTTCTTCGCCCAGTGATCCAGAAGACTGCTGAGAAGCAGCTGAAGGATCAATTTACCCAATTTGATCAACTATTGTACCAGATCAAGCAGGAGGCCGACCGGGCGCTTGACCAAGCTCGCGAGGATCCTGAGAATGCTCCCAACATCTACAACAGATATGTCAGTGCCGCTCAGAAGCAAATGCTTCAGGGCAAGAAGAAGGCCGAAGCTGCTGTGGCTGACAAAAAGGTCAACATGGCTGTGACCAAGGAGGACAGCATCTTCCCCAACATTCATCTACCTGGTGGCATCTCATCTAAAGCTACTGAGTACAGAGAGTTGGCCCGCAAGGGTGAGAAATGGGAGAGCCCAGTGTTCTCAATCGGGGCTGCGTCCAAGAGCACCAACCTGCCTCCTGCTCCTCACGTCACCCGTAAGTCGCATGCCGTGGGTAGCAACACCACCAGCACCCACTACACCAATGGCAACTCGAATGGAAACTACTCGACTGGCCAATACACCAACGGCAGAATTGCGGACCACAAGAATGAATATGCTCCGACAACCACTGCGCCTAACACTCTTACAATCTAGGAAGCGTAGAGTGAGTGCGTATGCCGCTCCTGTCTCATCACTACACTTTTAGTGATGACGATGGGAAGTAACGAGAATGAAAAAAGGTGTTTGAGGGGAAGGGGAAAATAATGAGGTGGTATGATATGACAGGCAGGAGTCAATGATGGTTATACCCGGAGATACCCAGGAATAAGAAAGATTTTGCTTGGAAAGATTCCCAAAGGCGAGAAGAGGGAACGAAGTTGGTGATTACTGCCTGTCTACGGACCTAATTTTTGTATATTCCCTTTGTTTTTCTGTTCCTTGCATTAAATACCTACTTAGTATCTGCTTAGTTAGCAATGTTTATGCGCGATTCCATTTCAAACATGAAACATGAAACATGATATTCAGGATATAATGCCATGTGATTGATTGCTGTAGTTTTCAAGTGTTGTTGCTGCTGTTGCAAATTTGTATATCGTAATTTCTTAAAAGTTGTAGAAAAGGGGAGACCTCATACTGAAGTTTGTCCTGGCTAAAATTCGGGTTAGTCAGCAAACTCCTCGTTGTGAGCATTAATGACCCCCCATTTAGGGCTTTCTCCATAATGACCCCACCTAAACTTAGCCAGGGCTGCCAAGCCAAGTTCAAGCTAAAGCGATATGCCGGCTCTCACCGCCTCTTACATCCCACATTTTCCATCAATTTGAATTTCTTCGTCTGTGAAATTTCGACATTTCGAACAACTCAACTTGCGAAACTTCATCCACGACCAAAGAACGCGTTGCCATTATCACCATGCCTCCCAAGCAGAAGACCCCCCGCGTTCAGGAGAACATCTCCCTGGGTCCTCAGGCCCGAGATGGTAAGATTCTCTAATTATCTGTACAATTGTATAATTGTCTAATATAATTGTATAATTGGTGTTGTCGTTGACTAACCTGGTGATTTTGATTATAGGCGAGCTCGTTTTCGGCGTCGCCCGCATCTTTGCCAGCTTCAACGACACTTTCGTTCACGTTACCGATCTCAGTGGACGCGAAACCCTATGCCGTGTCACTGGTGGCATGAAAGTCAAGGCCGACCGTGACGAATCTTCTCCCTACGCTGCCATGTTGGCTGCCCAGGACGTTGCTGCTCGCTGCAAGGAGCTCGGCATCAACAGCTTGCACATCAAGATCCGCGCCACTGTAAATATATCCCTACCCCCCAAGCGCTCAGTCTTGAAACAAAAGACTCTTTGGTGGCAGAAGACTAACAGATGATATGTAGGGTGGCAATGGCACCAAGACACCCGGCCCCGGTGCCCAGTCGGCTCTCCGCGCCCTCGCCCGTTCCGGCATGAAGATCGGTCGCATCGAGGATGTCACCCCTACCCCGTCCGACAGCACCCGCAGAAAGGGTGGTCGCCGTGGTCGTCGTCTATGAGCGTATTGTATCGTTCAGTACCATTACCTGGTACCTGGTACCTCTTCTGCACGTGAAGGCGAAGGCATTGGGCATGGGAAAGAAAAAGTACGGGGAGAACGGCTTCATTGTTGCCTGGTCTCCATCCATTATTTGGAACCCCCTTTTTTAAGTAGACAAATAAGAGAGTTAGTCTGCTAAGTACCTTGCTGCTGGTCACTGCGGAATCATGACGACGATTCTTTGCCCCCTCCCATGTTTCCCCCATGCTACATTGACGAGTTGTGCTTGCTTGTCGCTTAGGAGAATGAGAGTATTGAAGTAATGAAGAACACTAAGAGTAATTGAATTAGTCCCTGGTGCTAGGCATGTTTAGAAGCGTAGTTGTAGAGAGACTCAGTTACGGGTGTGGCTGGTCCACCGTTCGGCTAGCATCGTGTGTAATGTGTAGGGCCGTGGCGGATATAGGAGGTCCTACATAGGTTCCCTACAACAGCTCGCGGTAAGTAACCGTCTTCAATGATCGACCCTGAATAGGTTTTCCTAGCCCAGGTAGGTACAGTACAGTGCATGGCATTCAGCTCACCTGCCAACCTATCACGGTGGCTCCATTAGTACCTACCTACTTATCTACCGGATATCTAGCATATACGCCATAGGGCATCCCTCTCCCCGATGAGGTTCATAGGTTTTACTAGAATACGAGAAACTAACACGCCCACTACTAACAAGGTACTATCATCTATTCTGCCTAGGAGTTACCTATATAGCTTCATACGAACACAATATGCAGCGAGACCTCGTCAACTACATACACATGGCATCAACAACGAAGCCAGAAAGATCATCTTAGAAAGAAAGCGTTCACAAAAAACGGACAGACAGACAGAAACAAGAAACTGCTGACGTTGATGTTGATAGTTGAGTTTTTGGTATCGCCGCCTTATGTCCTGGTTATACTGTTATACTAGGTAGGTAGTTTGTATATAGTTATCCATATATACCAAGAATCTGAACTCCCCTTAACCCCCTAGGTAAACCCCCAACCCCCAACCCCCCTTTTCAACTCCAAACGCTCTTTTTTCTTTGATGAAGAAAAGAAAAGAAATCACTGCTGCCGACCACCCTTTCCCCTATATAAACCAACTACCTAACTCCGATATTAAATTCGTTTCTCCATTAAATTCATTCCATCCATGCATATACGTAACCCAGCCCCTGTCCTGTCCTGTCCAGCCTATTCGTTTTCATTATATCTTCCCTATATCTTCTTTCCGAAGGTTATATATATATATGTATATATATATGTGTGTGTGTGCGCGTGTGTGTGTGTGTGTATTAGATGTCATGTTAGATGTCACGAATCAACAGCCCTCCCACACTTCCCACACAGCAGCTTCTGCTTCCCCGCCATCTTCTTCGCCCTGAACGTCCGGTGACCGCACGCGGGGCACTGCATGTCTTCGCCTTCGTCGTCGTCATCCTGTTCCTCGCTCGTGGCGACTTCGGAGCTGAGCCGGCTGAGGCGACTGCCGAAGGAGTCCATGCGGGAGGCGATGGGTCGGGAGGGAGGTAGGAGACGGCTGTCGCTGCCATTGTGTTTGTGTTTGAATTTGTGTTCGGGGGGAGGAGATGGAGAGGACGATAACAACACCGCCTCTGCTGGTACGCTTCTTCTTCGGCGCTCGGATTCTTCTGCCGTTGTTGTTGCATGATCGCGCGATTTAGCTCCTTCTCCGAGTCCTAATAGACTCCCGCTTCCTACAGTTCTTCGCCGGGCATCTTTCACGGTTTGGTTACCGGAGGCTGGTGCCGCGCTCGCAGATCGGTTGTGCAAAGGACTTTTTGGCCCCGGGGATATCCCCCTCGGTGGGTTCCCGATGCTTCGCTGCTGACTGACGTTGCGCCATTTGTTCAGGTTCCAGAACGCGTAGCTTGCACCGGCGGGATCTAGGCGCAGATCGTCTTCCTCTTCGTCCATGGGGCGGAATGAAAAGCTCGGCGTTGGTGGCAGTGTAGGTTCTCGCAAGCCCGAACGGTCGTTGGTCTTGTTGGTCTGTAGACTGGCGGTAGGACTTGCAGGGCTTTGTACCATGGATGAGTGCGTGTAGGGTTGTCTTCTTGCTTCCGAGGCAGGATTCACAGGCGTGCGAGCTGCCTTGCTCGGAGACAATGACCGCTCGCTACGAGCAGGCGTGGATATGGAGATAGAAACCGGTCGTCCAGGATGTCCTTCCACTCCATGTCGCCATGTATTTATTCTATCCGAGTTGGCTTGGAATACAGCCTGGATGGGCTGTGTGAGTGAGCCGCGACGAGAATGTGGATCTCGACTGCCGGTGCTGATCTTCGTGACTATGCTACCGCTGCGACCAAGAAGCCCATCTCTTCCTAATTTCCTAGAGAAGGTTGATGCTGTGTCCCAATTGTCGTGTCGACGCTTGACGAAGGCGCAATCTTGGCGGAAGATTTTAATCAAGCCTGCGTGGTCTGTAGTGATGACAATATTACCATCGTAGTGGGTAGAACGGGAAATAAACCCAGGAGATTCGTCAGGCCTCTTGAGTTTGGATGAAGCTTCCGACTGCACATCTTGAGATTCTACCGTCTGATTCACTGGATTCACTGCAGATTCTTCTTTGCTGAGCAACGTTATAGGCGGAGGGTTACAAAGGGTGAATATGGGATCCTCGGAAGTTTGAAGTAACTGTCTCGTCGTCGTCGGCGCAAAAATAGCCCCGGTTACAATATGGGAGTGAGCCTCAAAGTATTCGCAAGGCCTCTTCTCCTTGTTCTCAGCGAGCCTTGGGCTAGTGGACCATATGAACGCTCGCTTGTCTTCACTTCCACATATAATATAACTGCCGTCGTCACTAAACGTCGCCCTGATTTGGCTACAGGCATTTTCATGACCCTTCAACTTTAAATCAAGATTCTTTTCCGAAAAATCGTATATTCTGATGCGAGAGTCATTCGAGGTAATGAGAACCTTGAGAATGCCATCGGGGGCGTTGGGAGGAAATCTCATCATTTCGATACCAGTTATCTTGCTCCCCTTGGCGTTCTTGCCCCGCGACGATCGCACGTGGATCTGCGCAAGGTACTTTAGCCCCTCGGTCTCGTAAAACATACAGAGACCATTAATACATCCGGCCAGGGCAGTTTTGCCATCAGGGGAGAAGGCGACTGCGGTGATAAAATCCGACAGCTGGCTTGAATATGCAACGGCCTTGTCGGGAATACTCCATAATCGTAGGTAAGAATCGAGCGATCCGGCCAAAAAGAACCGATCGTCACGAGGGTGGAATGCGATAGAGGTAACGAAGTCCTTGTGCTTGAACGTGCACAAGCATTCCTGTCGGCTGATATGCCACAGACGAACAGTCTTGTCCATCGAAGACGAGAGAAGAAAGTTGTTTTTGCTCCAACTAAGATCCAGAATCTCACCCGTGTGACCAACAAACTCGCGGATTGGTTTGGCACGGAAGACTGGCGCACTTAGGTGCTGTTCCTTGTCGTTCGTGGCCTTCTCTTCCTCGGCGTACGCTTTGCGGTCTTCCTGTGTTGCGAGAACTGCCCATATGCGCACAACTCGATCTCGACCACCGGTAGCCATGTATCTACCATCTTTACTAAACTCGACAGCCCAGATCGGACCACCCTCCGAATCCTCCTTACTAGATACATGGGATTCGGTGGTGCCGCTAGTGGTTTTCGTCTCATCGTCTTGAGCTGGCCGTTGCGTGCCTACTAGCTCCTGAGCCAGAAACATGCGGTTGAACTCCTTGACCTTCTTGTTCTGCGCTCGGACCCTAATATATCTGGGAGGCTCTTTATGGTGAGGGATGTACCCTCCCGCACCGATGGCAGAAGAGAAGACAACAGCATTTGCGCCCTCCGTTCGTAATTCGCTAAGCTCGGATTCGTCATCTGGGATCCCCTCTTCCTTTTTCTTGCCACCGATCATACTCAGACGACTAAGGAACCCGCCCTTCTTATTCGCGAGCATCCGTGAGGCCACTCCATTCTCCCTCGGATTCGAATTCGAGCTATACCTCTTGTCTCTAGATATATCTGGCTGGGCAGCCACCTGTCTGGAAGATAGGTCGGAGGAAGGACGAGGAAGGGCCTCGTTGGCAGGGCTATCGGGCCGGACGGGGTTGCGAAACCTCGAGGCGATGGAACGCTCGGTATTAGTCCGCGAAAAGATATGCTAGGATGGATAGACAGGTCAGCCTTGCTAGTATAAACTTTGAGGGAAGCATAGTACGCACGTGGGTTAAAGGATCGATTGCTAGGGGGGATGCGACCTGCGGGCCAGGCCGCCCGTTAGCATTTTCCGTGTCTTTTTTGTCCTTCGCATCCTTTCCTCCTGTATCTCTTCGCGATAATCTTGCGCCACTTTTCTTGGCGGTACCTAGCAGTGTGGTGTTGCTGCCTAGTTGGAGGGTTAGCAAAAGAGAAGGAAGGTAATGTGGATTCTTTAGAGTCTGTGAAGTCTTACTTGGATCGTCGGAAGAGTTAGGCGATCGTCCTAGTTCACGAGGCGATTCGGGTTGATTTGGATTTATCTTCAAGTTCGCATGCGCATTCGTAAGAGTGGATGGCAAATCACCTTGGTGAGGACGCGCGACCTCTGCGGCCGATGGAGATGTCGACATCTTCCATTATCTGGCTACGACCGAGGTCATTGGTATGTGGCTTGAGTTCACGCAGGTTGGACGAATGAAAAAAAGGCTTGCAAACGAATCTAAAGTGATAAGTCGTTAGGGGGGGTGTGTGTGTCAAGGTGTGTCGACGTATGTCAGGATCTTGCGCAACCGAGTTGATGAGTTGGGCTGGTTTGCAACTCCGTAACATCCGGCTTTAGAAGAAGATCTAAGAGAATTAGTGGTAATGCGACTTTGGAAGATTTCAATATGTATCTCAATCACATAACTATGAGTAACGAGACTGCTATTTAGGTAGGTATAGATTCAAGTATTATACAAGTATTATAATATATATTAATATGGACATTCCGGCTACTGGAGTCTGGAGTCTGGACTCTGCTTCTTTAGAAGAGCAGGAATTCTTATTAAATGAATAAATAAATAAATAAGTAAATGCGAAGACTTCCTGCTTTGCAAATAATTGCATGTGTTGCATGTGGTTAGATCTGGTAGATTAATCTATTAATCTGTAGTATTCTGTACTATAATCTATTAAATACCCTCAATTAGTCTCAGTTGGGTAATGCATGGATCCGTGGACCGTGGACCATGGACCATGGATATCATGCACATGCATGGAAGGAAATAGATGAATGGAGGAAATGGCATGACCTCGATCGAGACAACGAACGGTTGAACTTTGATGATACGGAGCGTTTAAAATGAACCACTTCAAACCTTACCCTCTGTAACTATGTAACTATGTACAGTAACCTTGAACCTTTACGTAGAATATTAAATCCACCGTTGATTCAACGTTGAAAGCCTAATAGGGCATCATGACGCAGATTCTTTTATTATACATTCATGCAGGTCATCTTATTGGGAACATACGTCATTGAAATATCACAGCGCTCCAATAGGAATTTATTGGTAGCCTAGTAGCCTAGGAGCCTAGCGGCGTTAGAACATTGAATTAATTCAATCCGTCAATTAACTACTTATCAACATTGAAATTGATAAAATTGATACCATGGTAAATATAGGTACCTACCTACCCTGGTACCCAGTCACCCAGTGTAGCTAACCCAGTGCATTGGCAAGACTCCAAGACTCCAAGACTCCAAGACTCCAACGAACCACATGAACATCACACAAGGCCATACTTATCTTTGACCCAAAAGTCATGAGGGAAAAAAGAATGATAGATATCCAGTCTCTAGTTAATATTTGTTTCATATTATCGTGTCCTCTCCCGTGTCACCCTCCCCGCCTTCATTTGCCCTATTCTCATTTCCATCCCCATCCCCATCCCCATCATCATCATCTAGATCTAACATGGGATATGTCAATATAGCTGCTATACCCCCTAACGCATCTAGTCGCTGCCCGCTTTCGTGATCGCTACTTAGTATCCTTGCCTCTCCTCCATCTGCCTTCACTTTATCAACCATCGCCACGTATCTCCTTCTTGTTTTAATGTCCATACTTCGGAATAGCGAGTTGTTGATCATCAAGACACCCCCTCCCCGGCCTACAGCACCCTCCCGGACCGCCTTCTCAACCGGCCCCGTACCGTACCACGCGCGGCCGTCGTCGTTTCGTATCTTTTCAAAGAAGTCGTCCATAATCCTTGTCTCCTTAGAGAATTTCATGTGTTTCATTGTCGCCATGACCTCGGGACTTTTGAGGATCTCGTTCAGGCTGTGCAAGTAGCCAGAACTCGAGTGTACTACCTTCGCTTCCTTGGCCATTGTCATCATAGATTTATCGGCTTTTCGGCTACCTTCTGTAGATATGTACTTTTTGAACTCTCCTGCGACAAAGCCAGGACTGGCCAATAAAAGTGGCCGGGGCATGGAGAAGTCTATGCTGCGAACCAGTGTGGTCAAAGTCTTCTCGAAGAACCGTCTCATCCCTGAATCTTGTTCAGAACTACTTGATCTCTTCTTGGGTATCGTGCTCTCCACTCTCTGCTTGAGTATGGTGCGATATTCGGTGATGAGACATATGTTTGCGACGCCTTCTTGCATCACGACAGCAGCCACAGCACCGTCCTTGTCCTGCTTCAGCGCGTCTGAGAGGGTTTCTTTTGCCACCGAATCCCAGCCATATTTCTTCCATAGGGTGAAGGTGCGGTTGAGCTCGAGATCAAGGGTATGGTATTGGCCAAGGTTGACCCAACTGTTCTCGACGATGACGGTGCCAGAGACATGCAGTTGCGACGAGCCCGGATCAAAGAAGGTGGAGGTGACGCGTATGGTAAGGTCCGTGTGTACTCTTTCTGACTGGGTGCTACCAGTCTTTGATTCCGTTGTCACTTTTCGGATCGCATGCGCTTTGACGATATCTTCGGGGCCTATTAAATTATTCGCGTGCCACTTGGTAACACTTGAAGTTAGATGAATAGGTACCTAGTATGTATTAGGATGGAGTGCGATGATTGAGACTCACCATGTCCTCTGGTTCAACGGGAAGTAGAGTGACACTTCCTTCGCCTATTTCATCTAGGCGTTGCGACGCCTTGGATCCAACAAGCTGCATATTTGATAGATGATGAAGCTCGTGCTTGCTGTTACAATGGATCGATTTGTATCTAATATTACAACTTTGCGCTAATGTGTTATAGATGGGTTCACTCTGAGAATCTAAGTTATATAGGCAGGTATCATACAGTCTATGATTCTTGAAATATTGAAGTTGTTGTTGTTGTCGGTAGAAACTAAGGAAACAGCCTTGGAAACAAATAAGCAAATAAGCAAATAAGCAAATAAGCAAATAAAGCGCCGCTCTTATTAGCTGAAAGCTTAACGAAAATGCGATATTTACAATTCAGGTTGCCCCTCTACCCCGCCCCCCACTTTAACAAATATGTATCGACGTATCGTATTGTAAACGACGGAGCTAATGGAAATAGTACGGCGTACTTTTTTTTTATCAGATCAAGTCATGGCCATCAGGGGGTAGTACAATGCAGCCCTTGCATACTATTTAAGCTTCAGAAAGGATATCCAGGTCATAATGGAAATATTTCCAACTAATTCCATTTTTCCAAACCGGAGATAAAACTAGGTAATGCCGTTGACGGGTTTAGTACATGCTTTATAATCGGCCAAGTTATAAATATCGTTTCAAGTTATTAATACTTTCAAGTTGCATTCTATAAAGAACTTTTGCTTCCATCTATTACGTATATGCCCTCATGTTCTCTCGAGTCTCTTCGAAATTACGCCCAGCATTTACTAGCAAACTAACAGCATTCCCTTTCGCAACAGCGAAAAGTAACAGGTAAGCAGGCAATTATAATTGTTCTGTGAGGGGAACTCACGCAAGGCTAAGCAACTAACCTGTTTATTGCTATCCTCGTCATAGAACCATGACGACCTATACCCTCAACTCTACTGTCAAGCTTAACAGCGGCTATGAGATCCCTCGGCTAGGATTTGGAGTAAGCATTCCACGTAAAACACCTAGGTACTAATCCCTTCCCAAGTAACCAAGTTAACGCCGCATAGGTATACCAAACGTGAGTCTTGTGTTGTCTACCCAAGTCCCACATCTATCTGGGCACCTAGTCAGCATGCCAGTAACAGATACCCTTATCTAATTCAATTATCTTCTTTTAGTCCGTTAGAAGTGACCGAAAAATGCTGCCTGGAAGCTTTCAAGGCTGGCTACCGCCACATCGATTCGGCCGCTGCATACCGGAATGAAGCCGGTTGCGGTGATGCCATGCGATCCAGCAAACTTCCACGATCTGAAATCTTTTTCACGTCCAAGATTCCACCCAAGGAAATAGGCTACGAAAAGACCAAGCAACAGATCGAGACAAGCCTGAAAACCTCGGGCCTAGACTACATCGATCTCATGCTCATTCATGCGCCGTACGGTGGATCGAAAGCTCGGAAGGACAGTTGGAAGGCACTCGTCGAAGCCGTCGAGGAAGGCAAGAGTCAGTACTGTTCTAACCTAGCGTAATCTAGGTACTTAACGACTAACGGTGCGCCAGTTCGTAGTATTGGGATTAGCAACTACGGCATCCATCACTTGGACGAGCTAGAGAAGCATATTGCGGAGCTTGAGGCAGAACGTGGCGGCAAAGGTAAAGGTGGAGTCATCTCGGTCGGCCAGTGGGAAGTCCATCCGTGGTGCCCCCGTAACGACATTGTCCAATGGTGTACTAAGCGCAACATCGCCGTTGAGGCATACGCTCCCGTTGTGCGTGGAGAACGATTCGGAGAGAAGGCTCTGGTGAGTCTGGCCCAGAAGTACGGCAAGACTGAGGCCCAAATCTTGCTCCGATGGAGCTTGCAGAAAGGCTACGTTTTGCTTCCCAAGAGTGTCACACCTTCCAGGATTAGGGAGAACGCTGCTATCTTCGACTTTGAGATCTCTAAGGAGGATTTGGAGCAGCTGGAGACTAACGAGTATGCTCCTGTGTGCTGGGATCCCGTTAAAGCCGGTCTGGACGACTAAGTTTCTCTGAAAAATAAAATGGGCAAGGGTGGCATGATTCTGCTTCACCTTGAATTAGAGCGCTATCTATACGTCAAGCAATACTAATGGAGATATCCAGATCCTATACCTGTATGATTCCACCTACTGGTATTTGCCAGGTCTTTGAGTGTCGTTTTTAATTTACCCAGTGTCTTGAACGACAAGTATATTTATGTGTTGAGTATAGTCAGCATATATATGCCTGTTATCACTAACGAAATATGACAGCCTTGGAATATTCGAGTGCGTAAGACTAATATGTCAGATTAGGGGCTGCCTGAGGAGGAAGGAGACCCGACTCCATGCTTATTAGCTACAAGCAATTATAGTTCTTCACCATAACATGATCTCAAGTCTAACGACACTTTCCAACAACACCTTCCCAAGGCTTCAGGGGTACACCTGACTGCTTCGGCTTATCTGGGACACCTTTCCCGTAGTTACCGCAGATCCAGGATTCGACCTCAAACTCCCGAGGCACCGTCCACTCCAACTCCTTCCCCGAGAAGTTAAGAATTACGAGCCAACGTTCGCCCTCGATGCTCGTACGGACGTAGGCAAAGACATCTGCGTGCTCTGCCGCCAACTCCTGGAAATCGCCATATACGAATACGTCAGCGTGGTCTTTCCTGCGTTTCAGCGCTTCTTGCCAAAACTGCCAGACGGAATGTTCGTTGGGGTCATCTGCTGCCAGCTGGGCCTCGACGTTTACCGTCTTATAATCGTCTACGACTCGCATCCATGGCTTCGTGTCTGCGTCGCAGAATCCGGCGTTATCCTTTGCATTCCACTGCATCGGCGTTCGAGCGTGGTCACGCGCTTTCATGTCGATGATCTTTCGTCCGTAGGCAAGCTTCTCCTTGTCGTCCGAGTACAGCTGTAGGCACTTCTTCCAGTAGTTGATGGTCTCGATGTCCTTGAACTCGGAGATGTCCCAGGTGGGTGGGATATTGCGAAGGCCGATCTCTTCGCCCTGGTAGACGAAGAGTGTACCCCCTAGTGTTGTCTGCATGATAGAGAGGAGCTTGGCGCCCTTCGTGCGCCATTCATCGCTGTCGTTGGTGTACCGCGAGACCGACCTTGGGTTGTCGTGGTTTTCGATAAACACCGAATTCCAACCATCATTCTCAATCATGGCCCGTTGCCATTTAGTAATGATAGACTTCATCTCTTTGACATCCCAAGGCTTGAGAGCCATCCTCACGTTCGGCTTGTCGATGTCGACCAAGTCGAAGATGAATATCATTCTCAGTTCTTCCGAGTTGGCACCGACGCTCCGGATAACCTCCTTTACGTCACTGACGCCGGGCATCTCGCCGACCGTGATGGTATCATACTTGCCTAGCACCTCTTCATGCATTTCATGAAGGTAGTCGTGTAACTTGGGCCCATTGACGAAGTACTTAGTCCCGGGCTGATACTTGTGTCCAGGACCTAAAACTACGTCCGCGTCGGGATACTCAGGGTCCTTGGAGATTAGGTTGATGACATCCATCCGGAAACCACTGGCGCCTCGTTTCACTGTCATGAAAATTGGTTAGTTCAGACACTGCGCGAGGTTTGGTTATTAGCTTTGTTCGGTGTATTTCTACGTACTCCAGAAATGCATGACATCCCAGACTGCTTTTCGCACCTCTGGGTTCTCCCAGTTCAGGTCGGGCTGTTCCGGTGTGAACAAGCTGAGATAAAACTCGGCAGTCTTCTCATCGTAGGTCCAAGCCGAATTAGCCTCGCCCAGGATCTGGGCCCAGTTGTTCGGTGGCTCGGGTAAGCCATCTGGGCCGACGCTCTTCGGCTTCTTCCAGATATACCAGTCGCGCTTGGGACTATCAAGGCTCGATCGGCTCTCGAGGAACCACGGGTGCTCGTTGCTTGAGTGGTTGACCACCAGATCCATCATGAGTTTCATATCTCGCTTCTTAAGCTCGGCGACCAGCTCGTCAACATCCTCTAGTGAACCGTATCGCTCATCGATTTTCTTATAGTCGGCGATGTCGTAGCCCATGTCGGCCTGGGGCGACTTGAGTATGGGCGATGACCATACTACGTCGACACCCAGTGACTTGAGGTAGTCGAGTCGCGACGTGATACCCTTGACAGTGCCCCATCCTGAAGTGACGCCAGACTTTTTTCCTCGTATTGATTAAGAATTAATCATGATGCCATGTATGAAAGAGTTTCGTGTTGCTTGCTGGATCATTATAGAAATAGTAGGTAGTCTGGTGCCAAACTTACGTGGCATTGGAAACTTGCGGGATAGATTTGATACACGACTGTTAAATAGGCCCTGGTTAGTTTATATTCAAGCTTGAGGAGGAGTTGCACTACACGGTGTTGTTGTCTTGTCTTACCGGCTTCTTTCCACCACTTGGGCGTCGAATAAGATGAGTCTACAGCAGCCATCTTGAGATGAATTTGTGCCCCTTTTTATTTATCGATCTTTATTTACTATTTGGTGCTCTGTAGTGAGACTATAGAGAAACATTGAATATATCAAGTATATAAAGTTTACTTGGTATGTTTCTTCCCCCTCGTTCAAATCCACGGGTGACGTCGATCGGCAGACGTTGAGATTTACACTACGCTACTATTGGTACTTGCAGCGTGTACAACAACGGTTCGCTACAGCTGTCCAGTGTATATTATGTAGCACTGCATATTATATGGACAGCTGCAGCTCCCCCCCCTTTTTAAGTGGGTGTCTTCAAGTATTCAAGTATGTATTCAAGTTATCACTCAGGTACTTAGGTACACATGCATGCTACTTACATAGTTTTTTGATCGCCAGATATCCGCGGAGTTCCGAATTACTGATCAGTGTCTTTTGTCTGCGAATGTTTCATGTAATTAGTTCCCTTAAGTTTCTTACGCGAAACGTCCATCTTCCGTATCCCGACCGACAAGTAGCTTCAATGAGACGTCTCGTTAAAGGAGTAAACAGTATCATTATGGAATCATTATGAAAGCATGTTATATGAAGCTTTCCAGGTTTGGTTGGATATATATCTCACTTATCTCTAACAAACGATATTACTTTATTTATTTCTTGACTTTCTCTCTGCATCTCACGAATTCTTCTATATAACCTCAATAAGCTGATATCCTCGAGTATGTATTTTGTTCCCATCGGCACAGTTGTAGGATTGCCCAACCTCCTGAACCCCGGCAGTCTTCTCATTCCTCCGCAGAAGCACCGTTCCTTAGTAGAGGGCTACTCTCCTCGTCAACCGCCACCTTTTGCTTAGTAGTAGTACTAACCACTGGCTTATTCTTCTGCAAGCTAACCCAGATCGCAGACCCGATGATCAGGGCACTGCCGAAAAGACTTTCCGCGGGAGGCGTGGTGCCCCAGACTATGCGCTCGAGAACGAGTGCGAATACCATTTGTGTGTACTAGGTTAGATCCAATAGTTAGATTTCTCGGAGTTATATGAGATGATATATACGGAATAGTAGACAGATAGTTTGTAGGTGCTAAAAGAGGGACTTACTATTAGATTCGTCGCCCTCCCAGCCTTTTCTCTCTGAAGTCCTTCGGTTAAAAGAAACTGTAACAAGAAGCCAGCCACGCCTATCGCTACCAATAGAGTCCTACAAAATTGTCTTAACTTAGTAATCACCTTCAACAACTAAAAAAAAGGGGGGGAGGTGACACGAAAGACTTGTCTTACCATTGCGTGACATTCTGCGGTATCTGAAAATGTAGGTCCGGATGAATCAGGATGACAAAGAACGAGCCGATCGTGGCGATGACGGCGAAGTAGTTGACGCTGACGAGCGAGTGCGTGCGCTTCCCGATGACGCGGATGGTGGTGTATGCCGTAGCTGCGCCGAAGGTGCCGATCACGGCCAGGATAACGGCGAGTGCGCGCTCGGCTGGCGTCGCGGGGACCGAGGGCACGATGCCTTTGGGCTGGTCTATGTTCAGGAGCAGGTTTGTGCCTTCGTAGCCTGGTTGCTCGTCTTTGTGAGGTGGGAAGAGGAAGGTTGGCCGGGCGATGAATAGCACGCCTACGAATGCGAGGAGGCCGGCCATGGCCTCTTTGACTGTGAATGGTTCCTGAGTAGATAGGTAGGTTAGAGATGGGGATTCAAAATCAACGGTGATTCATCATGTATTGGAGCTAATATATATGTGAAGGTAGGTATACATACCTTCAAAGCCACGAAGCATAAGAACGCAGTCATGGTCGGTACGAGGAACGTGATGACCGTCGCATCAGACATATCCAAGTATGAGAGCGAATCTGGTTGGAACTGTCAGCGCAAAGTGTTCCTACGAAATGCAGACAGACATATACAGAAGGAGACTACACTTACAGTATAAGCCAGAGAGTCCCGTGAAGCCAGCCAGTCCTCTCAAAACCAAGAGCCCTCTCACGTCCCGACGGCCAAGCGGGAAGTCGGGCACTTTCTTGTACCACATGTACAGAGAGCCCAAGAAGGCGGTAGCAAGCATGCGTACGAAGATGATTTGCAAGGCGTGGAACTTGACTTCGAACCCGGTCTCAAGGAGACGGGTGGTCATGGCCATCTGAGGGGTCATTTGTTAGCATTAAACTGGTCACTTTGGACGCTTTAGATCCTTTGGATCTTCAGAGTCTTTTTACGTACCAGCGATGCAAACACCTGGGCCATGAATACAAAGACTAGGCCAATATTTCTCTCGTAGAAACCCTTGAGTTTCTGCCAAAGGGGTTGACGTTCCTCATCCTCGGCACTTATAGGACTGTGATCATCTACTTCTTCACTGCTAGAAGATATTACGTTTTCGTTTTCGTTTTCGTTTTGAACATTTTGGCCATTGTCGTCGATTTGCGACGACTGAGCTAGGCGGCTTGGCCGGCCGTCCGTATGGACTTTACTGGTGTTTACGGAGCCGTAGGACATGGTAGTTTTTTAGTTTACTTTATTTTAGTCCCAGTACATTGAAGATAGTATGATTTATTTATTTTTTAAGGAAAAGAGGGAGAAAAAAGAAAAAAAAAAGGAAAAAAGAAAAGAAAAAGAGGTGATCAGACTTGTATTCATTAGTAATTATAAAGTATTAATAAAGTATTAACCTGGATGAATGTTGCCCGGTCTCGGCTTCGGCGTCGGGGTTCTTACTCTACTCCACTATAATTTAGTAGCTGCCGACCTAAAAAAGGGGTGCATACTCTAATAGCCGGGGTACCTAGGTACTAGTTACTATACTTTCCTTACATTGTACCTAGTATTGTACCTACATATGTAGTAGGGTTACCTAGGTACTAGTTACTCCTTCTCACCTAGAAAAATCAAAAACATAACCACCCCCCTATCCTTTTCGCCTTCCCAGACCATCCTCCCTCCTCCGGCTCCATATCATCTTTGGTATACACATCCGTAACCAGATCCATCTCACTCGCTCTCCTAAACTTTGTCTTCTTAACCAACTTCCACACCACAAACATCAGCGCAAAAGCCGGCAGCTCAACATAGTAGCTCACAAAGTCCACAGCGCTGAACCTCGGACTGAAGCAGCTCCACCCCTGCACGAGTACGATAAAAACATTGAGCACAATCGAAATGATTGGGCCCGCCGGGTACGTCCAGTTCTTGAACGGCAGTAGGTGCTCCTTGCCCTGCGCCCTCAAGCCGGCCCGGAACCGCAGCGACGCCACGCCGATGCTGATCCAGGACAGCTGATTGGACACCCCCACGAGGTTCTGCAGCCATGTCCACAGCTGGCCGGCCCCGATGAAGGAGGCCCCGAACAGCAGGCCCGAGATGAGGGACGTGAAGAGCACAGACACCCAGGGAACCTGGAACCGCGTCAGGCGGCCGAATACTTTCGGCGCGTGCCCGTTGACAGACAGCGTGTACAGCAGGCGCGAGCCCGCGAAGAGCGCGTGGTTGCCGGCCGAGATGACGCTGGTCAATATCACGGCGTTGACGAACGAGCCGGCCACCTTGGACCCGGCCATCTGGAACGCGATGGTAAAAGGGGACGTGCTGGTTTCCTTGGAGTTGAGACCGGGGTAGTTGTACGGCACGTTGAGGCCGATCATCAGCGCGGAGAGGATGTAGAAGAAGAGGATGCGCCAGAAGACGTTGCGGACGACGCGCGGCAGCTGGCGCGCCGGGTCGCGGGTCTCGCCCGCCGTGATGGCGATGGACTCGGTGCCGCCGTACGCGAAGGAGGCCGTCACGAAGACGCTCGCGAACCCGCCGATGCCGCCGACGAATGGCGCGCCGTCGATGCGCCAGTTGCGCCCGCCGATGTACTCGTGCGTTGTGTTGCCGCCCACGTTGACGGCGATGCTTAGCACGATGAAGATGACAATGGTGACGACTTTCAGCAGGCACAGCCAGTACTCGACCTCGCCGTACGCGCGCACGTTGATGATGTTGGCGAGGATCAGCAGGAACCAGATGATGAGGCCGAGCGCGTACCAGGGGAACGTGTCGGTCCAGTACTGGAGGATCAGTTGCAGCGCGACGAGGTCGGCGGCCGTGGACACGGCGTCGTTGAACCAGTAGTTCCACGTCAGCGCGAAGCCCCAGGCGTCGTCCACGTAGCGGGCTGAGAAGGTGCAGAAGGAGCCGGCCACTTTTGGTGAAATAGAAACTCAGTTAGCTCAGAATTTCTTTTTTGGTATCTAATTAAGTAGTAGGCAAGGATTTCTCTCACCAGGCACAAACGCCGCCATCTCGCCGAGACACAACATAGTCACGAACACGATGGCTCCGACGATGGCATAGCATATAAGCAACGAGGCCGGACCGCCGGTGGCCAATGCCTTGCCGGTGCCCAGGAACAGTCCCGTCCCGATGGTTCCGCCAATGGCGATCATCTGGACCTGGCGCGGGGACAGCGACCGCCGCAGCTTATCCTCGGCCACAACCAATGCGTGATCGGCGCTGTGGGCCGCGTACGCAGGGGCGTTCTTTTCCGCGTCGACCTCCATCTTTTGCTTGGTGACCTATTGACTACCTGGCTTCGCTGGCTAGTTGGTTGGCTAAGGCTGGTAGGTTAGCTTATAGTTGAGGTTCTATCGCAGATTGCCAATCTTCTATGGATTATCTAGGTATGGTACAGTTCCTACCTTGCCTATGAAGCAGCGAATAAACCAATGGATAAGTAGACAAATTTACTTATATCGAAGCACGTCATTTCACGTGAGAATTGTGTGTTTTTTTTTTTCTTTATTATTAGTTGTTTTTTATTAGGCTTCGGTAGACATCTTTGCTCCATCACCAATACGAATGACAGGTAGAAACTGGGGAAGACTGGGGAAGGAAGAAAGTTTCATGGGACTAGCCAGAACAGGACGGGTTGTATACACTGACCTGCCTAATTGGGCAGGTCAGTGAAGGCGACACGATCCTTATTGAGTAATGTGATCTCAGTTTGGATAGGTATAGATATCTTATATAGTAAGGTAGTAGTAGTAACTAAAGGCCAGGCAAACAAATGAAACAGTTTGTTGTCCTCGATAACTATGGTGGGACTATGGTGGGCAGGCTTGGCTTCACCGAGAAACTCGAAAATTCAGCAAATATATGGAGCTATATTTATCGTCAAGGTAGTACACATAGTTAAGGTGTAAGCAATGTTTGTTCTCTAACCGAGATGCTAAATAGCAATGATGTCACGGTGCTTTTCTGCTAGTCTCCTTGGCAATATATGTGTCTAGACTCCAGTGTAGCAATTCTGATTATAACTGGTTTCTGATGAGGCTCCACGATGGTGGGCCGAAGGGGATCTCGGCAACGTCCACTAAAACAAAAAAAAAACAAAAAAAAAAAAAAGGGGGGGGGGGAGGGGAGAAAAGAGTGGTTATCAGAACGCCACCGTGATTCTTCATCTCAGATCTCAGAATGTGACGAGATATTACAGACCTATACCTGCATATATCTATACTCGTCAGAATGATCAGACGAGCTGGTAGCATGCAGGTCTTGGCTTCTGTTTCGGAATATTACGGCAATATTTTTGATCATTCTTGCTCTCTCTCTTTCTGTCATGGGATATGATAACAACCACTTGACCTAGGTAGAGTTTGGTAGAGACATCTAACAATTTCCTTAACAGACTCAATTATGGTTCATACTACACAATACATCACGAACGATACAGAGTAGGTACGTTATGTTATGTAGGTAGGTATAACAGAAATGGAGAAGAACTGGTCCAGGTGAAATTAGGTCTGTGATACCTATTCTGTTCCGTTCTGATCCTGCATTCCTGCAGAGATAGATGCAGGCTCGAGACTCGACTCGACTCTGTGAGGGACAAACACTTCTGCTTACACGCAGCTAGCTAGCTATACCAGAGTTGTCGTTGGTGTAAAATGACAAGTGATAGATTGCCCCAAGCGACACTATACCTAATTACCTATAATGTAACCCTAACTGACGCCACAACCGTGCATTCCAGATATTGAATACCTGCACAGGCTACCTACAGGTCCTACACTCTTAATTACCACCTAGTAGGTAAACTCGCGAAATGATGCTAGCTTGCAGACCTAGCTGCAGACTTGGCACCTGCATCCGGTACGGGCCACTAGGCAGGTTTGCCGTATGATGGCCGTCACTGACCTAGGTTAGCAATGTCTGACAGACTCTGACTCTGGCATTCCTGTGATAGGTATCCCTATAAAGTCGCGCTACCTTGGGCTGAAAGGCGAGGCATCGATCTTGGCAGAGCAGCTAGTACAAGTCCTATTTATTACTACATGTAACTAGCCTAACGGTTAGTACTATGTAAGTATAGTCTCGATCACTGATCTGTTCTACCTATAAAAACGATAATAAGCGATTTTATCTGAAGAGAGTGGAATAATGGAGATGGCCAAGACCGGTTATTATCTTCTGGTAAATTCGTCAGGTTTTTAATAGCATTCATTATCTAGTGAGTAGATGTGTAGATAGGTACTCGACTTTCTTTCTACAGCCTCTCTCTCTCTCTCTCGCTCTCTTTCTCCTGTCAAGTCTCCCCCCTTTTCCTTAACCCCCCCCCCCCCCCCTTATCCACTCTGTGTAACCGACTGCCCTAAAAGCCGGCAAGGTGGAGAGTAAGTAGCGGCATCTGCTAATTTGACGGTCCAACGCTCCCGGAAGCCCGGTGATAAATCGCCTCTCTCTTTCCTATATTCCCTATTCCCTATTGGTTCGCTACCACAAGTTGCAGCTTACTGGCATGAGTAGATAGATAGGTGGTCACCAAGTATACTTCTGTTATTGGATGAGCAAAGTTTGTGGATGAGTGACCTGAAGTTGCCTGCATAGTAGGTATGCGGCCGGTGGTATGTATGTACCTAATATACGTATGTACTACCCACCCCAAGAGAGCGAACCCAAGCTTGAAAGTAAGGTACTGTACCTATATGTATTTTGCGCAGTTCAACGACGTGTCTGAGCATGATAAGCTGACCCGGATCTATAACCCGCTTCTGATATAAACTAGGGCAATGCCAGGTAACCTAGGTAAAAGGTGTCTCACATAGGTAGTAGGTATGTAGTAGACCTTGGAGAACCTGAACTTGAACTTCAACATGACGTTTCTATCAATCACCCTGGCTAGGTAGGTAGCTGTCCCTCGCAATAATCATGCAAACCTGGGGTAGTGTGTGATATGTCATGCTTAAGATTAGGTATCTATATAACTAGCACGTATTGCATGCCTATATCTCGGTTCGAAGCATAGTCTTAGGGCACATGGTCTAGTCTATTCTTGTCTGATGGACGTAAAATGAGGGTATATTAAGAAGAGGAGGGGACCTCCAGCAGACTTGGAGTCTTGATGGAAGCTCCTCTCTTTTCCCCCTTTTATCATTCTGGTATCAGCTAGAAGTTGACACGAGTCACGAGATACGATACAAGATAAGGGCAAGCAAAGGAAAGCTACACGCAGTACCTGGTACCTCTTCTAGAAAGCCAAGATGGTCTCTTCTTGGGGGCTCTTCGCCTCAGCTGCCCTCCTATCGGGGCTAGCTCTGGCTGACACCTGCTCCACTCTCAAGGCCACGTCCAACATAGACGTGACGGACCCCTTGGACTTATCGTACATCACCGAGCAAGCGGACTACTGGTCCACCTCCTGCTCCTCCATGCTCCCTTCCTGTATCATCTTCCCCAAGGATGCCGACGAGGTGGCGGCCGTTGTGAAGATACTCAACAACAACGCGGAGAACTTCGCCATCAAGTCCGGCGGGCACAACCCCAACAATGGCTGGTCAAGTGTCCAAGGTGGACCCCTGATCTCAACCCAGCAGATGAAGCAGGTCATCTTGGACCAGGAGACCGGCATAGCTCGAGTTGGACCAGGGCAGAGGCTGGACAGCATATCCGCCGAGCTCCAAGGGACGGGTTGGACTTTTGTAGGGGGCCGGATTGGAAACACGGGGGTGGGCGGCTTGGTGCTGGGGGGTGGCCTCTCCTATATGTCTGCACAGTACGGATGGGCAGCTTCCTCGGTGCTGGAATATGAAATCGTGCTCGCCAACGGTACCATCGCCACCGCGTCCGCCACCCAGAACGCAGATCTGTTCAAAGCTCTCAAGGGGGGCGGCAACAACTTTGGGATCGTGACGACGTATGTCCTGCAGCTATACCGCCAGGGCGATGTCTTCGGCGGCAACCTCGTCTTCCTCCGTACCCCTGAAACCGACGCCAAGCTCCTCCAAGCCGTCCGGGACTTTACGGACTACAACGACGACGACAAAGCTGCGGTGATCGTCACAGCGGAGCGCGGCAACATCGACCTCATCGATACTTGGATCCTCTTCCTCTTCTACGACGGAGCCGTGGTTCCGGAGGGGATCTTCAAGAACTTCACCGATGCCGGTCCCCTGCTGGACACCACCAGGGTGCAGACGTACGCCAGTCTCATGGCCGGCAGCAACTGGGTCATCGTGAAGGCGTCGGTGGTGCAGATTGGAACCGAGACGATCCCGATGCCGTCGGCTGAGAACGGCGTCAAAGTGATGGAAGGAATCCACGCGCACTGGAGGAACATCACGGATACCGTGCTGCTCGAACCAGGGATCGTGGCTTCCATCGCTTATCAGCCGTTTCCTAAACGGATTGCGGAGGCGGCACGGGAGAGAAGTCCGGATTTGATCGATGCTGACGATGCAGGCAATCGACTCATTCTGGAGATGAACTATAGCTTTGTGCCGCAGGGTGACTACGACAAGATGGATCTAATCCTGCAGCAGACAGTAAGTTCAGAGTCTACCTACACAGCCCTTCAGAAGTAAAAGAAGTCGATAAAAGAAGTGGTAGAGTACAGGTTACAACTAACACCTTGGTGTCACAGTACGGTGGCGTACGGGATCGAGTACTGGGTTGGCAGCAGGATGGAACGTTGCCGGAGATATATCTGCCCATCTTTATGAACTACGGATTTCATCAGCAAGATTACTTTGGGAGATTACGTCCTGAGAACAGAGCGTTTGCGCACACGGTGGCAGAAAGTGTAGACCCTGAGGGATTCTTCCGGACGAGAATAGGAGGATGGAAGCCTTGATTGAGGACTTGCCCTTCTTTACTCACCTACCCACCAACCCTTCTAGCCATTGGCATACTTACACACAGTTATCGTTTAATATCATATTTTTTATATTTGTATCTTTTATATTTGTAGTTGGTAGAATTGAGAATAACGTCTCGGCTCCCATGTCATCCTAACAGAGTGAGAGGGAAGATGTAGCAAACAAAGGTGGCTAAGCCACAAGTGAGTAGCACCTAAAAGATAAAAAGAATTAAAAGAAAAGAAAAAACAAAAAGCAAAAAGCAAAAATGAATAATTGATGCGGTCTGTGTGGATTGAACACACGACTTTCAGATTTCATGAATGAAGTTCATCTTCAGTCTGACACTCTCCCAACTGAGTTAAGCCCGCATTGTTGAAAATTTGCTTCTTAAGAAAGTTTATATCTCCAGGTCTGTTACTATTAGTAGTAGATTGTGTCTAGCTATTTAGTCGTGTGGGGCTACGATATTAGTAATTTAGTATTATGCAATTAACTAACTAGTTAGTAGTTACCTAAAGGTTAGTAACTACTAGGTAATTAGTTCTATTGTACAATATAATACATACTAAACTGGCAGTTGGGAACAGCTGCTCCGTGCTATCCCCCTAACCTCTCTCTCTACCTCTCTCTCTATCCGGCCTCCATATATCTTGTGCATCCCTCACAACTGCCCACGCAACACCTTATCCGTAGCCCGATCACGCATATTCTGCGACTCCGTCCCCACCGAGTCCAGCTCCCTCGGTTCCTGGAACCCGATTTCAACCCGTTGGCCGCTATCATTTCCTGCCAGCGCACCGCTACTAACGTATGCCGCCGTAGCCGTAGAATGGTGATAAAGCGCCGCCGAGGAACCGTTGCTGCTGGACGATGGCCGAAGCTCCTTGACCAACTGCCACGGCGGAGTATCTTGGCAGTCTTGGGGGAGGCGGCCGGAGCTACCAGGGAGAGCGGTGTCTCTTCTTCGCCGGTATCGCCAGAGCAGGAGAAGAGCAGCGACGAGGAGGGCAAGGAGGGCGGCGATGCTGCCGAGCACGATTCCAGCCATCACACCTCCTGATACTTTGGCAGACGGTGTCTAATTTCTCCCCGATTAATCATACTGCACCCGCAACAGGGGATAAAGGCCATCCTTCCTTGTCCCCGCACTCACGCTGGTGAAATTTTGAAATCCATCTATGGGGTGCGCGTAAACCTGGTCGTTCGTGGCCGTGGCGACCCAACTGACCGTCGCTGTTACACCAGCGCTATCATACGCCGTGACTTTGAAAGTCTCTCCGACTTGGAAGTTGCTGTAACAGGTGCCTCCATATGCGGGCCGGTCTGCGTCCGCCGTTGTAGCCGGCGGGTGGAATAGGAAGCCACTACCACCACCATCAGAAAATGTCATATTTATGCCATCATTAATGATATATTTGACTCGCTTGGCTCCTACGTCCTCCTCTATCACTTGTGCTCACTCCGCCTTCACCCTCTATCTTATAATTTGTCTAAAGGTTCGCGGGTCTATCGCAGATGTATATTCCACTTACGATGCGCAGCAAGCGATATAATTATTCGTCCACGTTTTCACCGCGCTCCAGCCTGAGGGGCAGACCAACGGAGAAAACAGGGGAGCGATAGAGCTTGACGAGTTTTGTATCTAGGGACGGATTCGTCAATAGCTTCTCTCGGCCATGAACTTACTTCATCTTCCCATCACCAAGCAGCGGGGAAGGCCTCGCGAGTCTGTAAGGAAAAGGAGGCGGGGGGGGGCTTATATCACGCACTACCAAACGATTAGTTTGTCTACATCATCAGTAGTCCAATCCATGGGGCCATCATATCCAACACTTCATACTGACTGACCACTTGTGTATCCGGCTGCGAACTCGGTTGGATAGCATTCCCCAAATTTAGATCCAGGCACTGGCTGTGGCTCATTCAACCAGATCTCATAACCCGGCGAAGACAACTGCGTAAGATGCATCTCTCCGCATGACAAGGGCGGCGTAAACGTTGTCGTCAACGGCTTTACGGTAATCATGAGGACAGACATCGCCGGTGCTGCAGTCGGGTTGGCACTGGTTAGTGTTCCAGAAAGCCCCGCCGCTGTACTTGTACTTTCTCCCATGTCGGCTGTCGATAGACGTAGGATATCTTGAGATAGATAGATGAGAAAGCGCGCTGAGAATAGCGAGCCCAAGAGCGGTTCTTTTTCTTTTCTTTTGAGGGGGGGGCAGGATTTGTCGCGTGAAGAGGGAAATCCGGCCATGGACAGCCTTGAAGGATCTGGTCGGTGCATTCCAAGTCGTTGTGTAGCGTTCGGACGTAAAGGTGCTGTGCATGTACAAGGGGAGGACGGTAACGCCAATGTCGCATCTGGGACGGCACGGCAGATGGACGACGATCCTGAATTAGGAATCATTTTGCATCCTTCGAGCGCCTCGAGCCTTACGCTGCATAACCGGAACTGGGTGAGGTAGGATAGACTCCGTGTCCGCATATCTGACCACTGCAAAGCCTTGCCCGCCACCCCAATGCCGTGTTTCAGTTCTCGTACAGGAAATTCGCTACGACTGGTGTAGGAGATAGATGATGGTCTGGCCACATCGGTTTTCTCCATGCATTAAGCTCTTCCGCCATGTGTCTTGCCTTTACGAGATACACTAATATTCTATAGAGTACCTATTAGGTAGGTATCACAGGTGGAATGTCCCGTACTGGGAAAAAGAAGAAGAAAGGGGCGGGGGCTTTACTGTTATGTATCATCCGAACTAATTCTCTCGACGCCAAGGTGAAAATAGCGCGCACTCGAGCCTAGAGATCCTTCAGCTGCGAGGAAGATCGTATATGTAGTACACACGCCCGTTGGGCAACAGCCAAGTTCCCTGATGCAGGGCATGGCCATCCACATCGTTCCTTTGAAAGAACTTACGCTCTAAGGCCACCGTAAAATTTGTCTTGATGGCCCAGAAGTAGCAACACAGTTGTCTACCGGGGAAATTTTGGCATTTGCTATCTGAGAAAAGTCAACAGTCAACAGTCAAACTTGAGACACCGCTACGTCGAATTAGCAGAAACATTATATCGTGATTCGTGAAAAATCTTGCTAGATAAGCCGCGAGGCTCCAACTGTTAGCTCGACGGCCTTTTGTCCATCCATCTGCAATGCCTTTTTAATCCCATATATTCCACAAGACAACGTTGATTCAGTTCAAAAAGTCCATACGTCTCAAAACATCGCCACACACACCCAAGGGCCAGAAAGGAAGCGCTCCAAAAAGGGAAAAGCAATCTTGAGAGCAAAAGGAGCAGATAAAAATCAATGCAGCTCGAGCCTCTGAGGGTATCTCTGCCTTCCATCTCTAGCCTATTGCATCCTTTCCCATTCGTCTCCCAGAAACGAGGAACAATATTCGGGTTTAAAAGTTATGAGAAAAAAAAGGTGTCGCGAGACGGGTTCCCATGTTCGAGTACATGTAAGTCTTAACTTCAACTCTGAATGAACAAGCACCGACACCACACACATCCGACTACAAGACGAAATGATATGGAAAAGTAAGATTGGAACTGTGATCCTTAGATACCCAATAGCACTACGCTAGACATCGTCTAGCTATTTGGTAACGGTGGCCAAGGCTAATGGTCCTGTTTTCGTTTCTGACAACAGATGCTTCTTTATCATCCAGCTCGGTAGTATACATTTAGTAGCCAGGGCCGTCCATCGAGGGGTTGAACGAAGGGGGATCCATGGCCATAAATTCGAGCAAGTCAACGCCTCCAACATTTACTCCCTGATCTGTCATCGTCACATTGGAGTTCTCGCCCACGCTTTGAAAGAGGCCAGGTCCTGGTGGGAGGTACCACATTTGGTCATCAGCAGCCCAATCAGCGCCAGATTCAAATAGGTTTTCGCCCATGTTGGATGCCTCTACAACATGACCGCCCATAGCAGGTGTAGTAGGCCCAAACACTGAAGTGGGCCCAGCTGGATAGGGGAAGTTGCCCGTACTTAGGTCAAACGGAGTGGCTGAAACGTTACCAGAAGGGGTGGAACAGCGATCTGCGCAACAAGTTAGAATCGTTCCAAGAATGCATACATACAAATATAGATGATAAAAAAAAAAAAAAAAAAGAAAAAAAAAAAACCTACCAGGAGGGACGGTAAGCCCTTCTCTGAATTTAGTATGGCTCAGATAGCCATTCTCCATACCATTACTCTGAACATGTCCATTTGTAGAGCTAGCTTTAGTTGGTTCGCCATTCGCGCGAGGACTCTTGCCTTCTCCAGAGGTCGTGGTGGCCGGGGCGTATTTAAACCGGTCTCGAAGCCGTGTAGTAAGCGACTCAAGCAAGTCGCCGAACCTAGTACCAAGGTGTATATCATCTACAACGCAGGTTCGTAGCGCATAGACCGTACGATCTAGAAGACCAATGCTTACTTCCACGTCAGACTTGGGAGCACCTAGGGCAAATGTCTTAAGCAAGAACATGGCACCACTAATGATTCGAAAATATGTTCGCACAGGAGCATGTTTGAGGTAGCCCTCCTTTAACAGACCGTCGACAACAGTTCGCAGGAGATTTCTGCAACCATCCACCACCTCCTTGACATATTCTTGATCCTGGTGACCGAAACCACCCAAATGGCCAAGAGGCAAATTACCTAGAAAATTCTGCGTCTGTGGTGATAGTTGAGGGTTACTGACAGCTACATTGCCTCCGTGAGCAGCATTCGTAGACGCTCCGGCGTTCGCGGTGCAGCGTTCAACCACCGCTTGCAAAGCCAAGGAATTAACATATATTCGCACATATTCGTATTCAATAGTCAGGATGTGACGGATATTCTCGGGCATATCAAAACGCTGGAACTCTCTCCACCAGTTCTTGAGGATCGGCTGAAATTCCTTGAGTGCCCTCGTGTAATCGCCGCTCTGGATGATCTCCGTGGTATGTTTTCGGGATCGGAACAGCCTCTCGTTGCCCAATTGCATGGCGTCGCTTACTCCCACCCAGCAATGAATGATCTGATCATCTAGTTCAACATTTGGCACATAACTAAACGCGTTAGAAATGACCGATTGATTGGTCCCCGGTGTGTTCCCCTCATTAGAGATCGGACGTCTTCCAGAAAGGGCAGGATCGGTTCTTCGGAGGCTTTCAGGAACCATGTTGGTCCATCCGAGGCGACCAGCTAGCTGGGTCAGATATACCAACAGCAAGCGCTTGATGCGCGTCGCACGAAGGCGATATGCTTCATCCTCGTACTCCGGTCGCGTGATAGCATTAGTCGCAAGCAGTTCGTCAATATCGTCGAAAACGCCTAGTTCGTAAGCGAGTCCCAGCGCGTTACTGAGCAACATCCAACACATGCGATCACTTCTCCACGCAGGTTCAAGCCAACTTTCGATTCTTCGACCCCCAACATTTCCGCCAAGTCTTTGAGCCCCTTCTTCGTCTCCAATATCGGAATGGGTCGGCATCGCTCGAGAGGGAAGCATCAGTTCGTCAATGGCCTCATCGGGAGGAAAGTGTAGCGCTCGAGGATGCCATTCGGTCAAGATCATAAGAGACTCGATTGTACCTAACGTCCGAAGACTGCCCTTCCTCAAACCTCGCCACGGTGCCGTGCTAGATGTCTGAGATTCATCAGCGCCAGATCCACAGAAGCCCCCACCAAATGCCTCCTGTCCCCAGAGACATCGTTCGATCATCCTGCGCAGGTATCGCCATAGCTCTTCGTGGATGGCGTGAGATCTACAATGGCCACCCGTCGATCGTATACGGTAGTATCTCGAAGCAATGGTCAACAGAGTGACCGTGAGTATGGGCTCTTCGGTCAGGAGGGTGACATGCGACGATGGGCTACGGAAGGTCGGTGGCGATATGGGCGTCATGGGAGATAAATATTCGTAGTAACTTGTGTGAATCAGTTAGCAAGGGTACATTCGGCAATTTTTGTGACAGCTGCGCTGCTGCTACTCGTCGACCTACTATACTATGTATTTCACAGCCTCTTCCTTCGTAAACCAGCCGGCCCTCACAAACCTAAATCGCGACCAAGCATCGAGGGCCTCCTGGTACCCGGCCTCATTTTCCACATTTAGCCGGCGTTCCATATCAGCCACTTCATCATTCTTAGTTGAGGATTGTAGCAGCGGATCGATTAGGTCTGCCGACTTAGACGTCGCCCGTTCAGCCGGACGGCCATGAAAGTTGGAGTTATGATCTCGTGGTGTTTTGCGACCGGGTACAGGGACGGGCGAAGGCTGAACAACAGAGGCAATAATTTCGTGTTGCCTATTCAGATCATGAGGACTGATGGAATAATCAGTAATTGGCTCGTGGGAAGTCATATTAGACAGACGAGACGGTTGGACGGACCTGTCGGTGGCAGCCTTGTAAAGTAAATCGAGAGCATCGTGGGGTCCATAGACCTCTTTTCTCATGACACTCTGGGCTTCGAGGTTCTCTAACTGAGCGTTTGAATCCTCACCAACGTCATTATAGCTTGTCCCTCTACTCTTCCGCCCATCTTCGCGTTCCGAATTAGGTCGCCTCAAGGGTTGTGTCCTACCGGTCGAGCCACCAGGGGTCAAAGGCACGCTACTAAAAGATTTCCTGTCGACAACGGAAGGAGGGGTGTCGTCGGAATGGAGTCGCTTTCGGGCATTACGGATGGTATAGTCGTCTTCTTGCTCCTCGATCTCGTCTTCGTTCTTGCGCTTGCGTCTCGTGGCACTAAAGTAACACTCCTTGCTTTCGCGGCGGCAACGCACGCATGGAGGGTCATGAGGGTCGTCTACGCTCCCTAAATCGCATCGCACTTTTCGTCTCCGGCATGGGATACAGGCCTGGTATACGCGTTTGTGCTGAGAAGGCTGACCCTGTTGTTGGGACTGAGACTGAGACTGGGACTGCGGCTGAGTCTGGGATTGGGACTGGGACTGATGTATGGACTGGGGTTGGGGTTGCGAATGCGCCGTGTTCGCGGGCAGAGATTGACGAGACTGTTGGCTAGCGGATGGCATGTTGGCAGCGGAAGCGGTGGGATTATCATATTGAGACATGGCCTGATGCAGTGGTGCTATCGTTCTGATCTGATCCGATTCTAGCCTCAGGTCCGGCTCCGGCTCCAGCTCCAGTCACGGCTCCAGCTACAGCTCCAACGCGAGCTTTGGCTTCTCGCAGATGCATTAACGAATCGCACAACACCCGGCGCACGCCGACTGCTGGCTCGGCTTACGACGGGAAATAGGGAAATAGGGAAATTCGAGAGCTGGAACAAAACACTCGAGCGCGCAAAATGGAAATAAGCGCTCTTTTCGAAATGGGACGAATCGAAGCTATCAATTGGGGGGAGAGTCTATAGTAATCCCGATAACGTACTAGGTCAGGTAACTCTGAACAACCTTGAAGACGGTCGATTATGAATGAAGTGGATTTTCTCGGACTTGCGGGGTCTGAAGACCGAAAATAGCTGAGATTTTGAAGTTTGGGAAGGTTGGGGATTATACAGTATGCGTAGAAACAGCCATACAGTACTACTATGTAAGGATGGACAAGATAGGTCCTACATAATAGTACATGTATAGTTGTATACTTGGGAAGGTAGTTGATGTTGTTGTTGTTGTACAGCTTCAAGCTTGTAATAAAATCACCTATGTATATGTAGTACGAATAACTATCGTAGACTGTTGTCAATATTGTACCCTATTCTCGTTTCTCTTGCCTGTCTCTTGCCTGTCTCTTGGCTCTGGATTCTTGGATTCTTGGATTCTTGGATTCTTGACTGTTGACTATTGTCTTGTCAGTTCAGTCTGTTCCGTTTTTCTCGTATAAGTTATGTCGGAGTCAGTCGGACTTGGATGGCCATTGACCTTTTGACCTTTGATAAGCCGCAGTTGTCGCAGACTCGCAGTTCACGGTTGTGGGTGGAGTGGCTTATTTCAGTTTGTAATCGGAAAGAGAACAACTTTGAATGGAATTAACTAGGCAATGGCAGGGGTTCGATTGGAGCGGTTGGTAATCATGGAGGCACCGCTATTCCAGGGTATTGAAGCAATCAGATAGCAGGATGGTTTCTTTACCAATGAATTGATAGTACAGAGTGGGATAAAGTGTGATTTGTATGTAGTAGATACGTACATGTAGTAGTCATGACACTGTCATGTATGTATGTACTCTCCGAGAATTGCAATCGAGATACATAACTTGAACCTTAAGTCGGTGAAGATAAGAACTTATTAAGAAGAAGCACATGGCACCTACATGTACCAAATCATAAACTTCAGGGAACCTACAGGGCTACTACGGTACCACCCGTACACTACAGTGTACAGTACAGCAATCGGACCCCGCAGCTAACGGTTTTAGTACTATGTATCATTGATCCATGTACCTAGTATTGTATTGTACAATACCTAACGCGAATGTACTATGTACAGTATTCTCGAATCCAATACATATCTTACAGTCGACACAAGGCCTCTCATCATGTCATGTCTGGTTGACAGTGGTTGTGATATAATACCCGGTGATACACAATACAGTATATCAGGCACATACACACAGCAACCGCTTACACCACCCCTTCATGCAATTGATACTGAAAACGGTAATCCCAGACCGCCAATAAGATTCTTGTGTGTGTGTGTGTGTGGCTGGGCTGAAGCCTGAAGCAGAATGACTTTGGTCACGTTATCGTCTACTAGTAGTAGTTAGTAGTTACATAGCATGACCCCTTCAGAAGAATACCTAGGGTATGTAATAAAATAACCGTCGTCATCCTCTTCTTCTTCTTCTTCACCGTGTTGCTTTCACGGTTCCCTTCACCTTACGGCCCAAACTCCCCATTCATATGTATCCCCCCCCCCCATCCATCCCCATCTTCCCTCTCCGCATACTCCACTAAATAGACCTGTTCCGTACCTAGCAGTAACCGGTCTAAACTGATGATCTCTCCCCAGCCTCATTTAATGCTTAATGTGATGTCATTTTCAGCTCGACAGCCCACAAGGCGTACTATGTAACAAGTTGTCTACATATTAACCTAATTACCTAGTAGTAGATAACGAAGTGCACATAATACTCATAATACACATAGTACGTATACATAATTCATGGATATACCTAGATGGTAGGTGTCAGGTGTATACATAAATATTTACTAGTACTTGGAGCCATAAGCCAACTACTAATAGGTAGCTCCATTCGGACCTACTAAGCAATATATATATATATATACTTGGACATCCATGATTCCATGGACATGATGGACCTCATAGATAGAACTTTTCTCTTTTTCTTCTTCTTTTTTAGTATCAATTCCTTACAGGGATCACAAATCGAGAGGCCGCCTATCACAAGTCATGAACCTACACCCTTACCTTTACATCCCTGGGTATCGATATATATAATACCTACCCTTGGTACCTAGTAGTTAGAACTTAGACCTGACTAGCCCAGTACATAGGTGTGTATGCATATGCGCGCAACGCGTCCTCAACTCCTCGTACATACTTGAGCAATCAGTAATCTACTGCAGTTTGTCTACTACTACTACTACTACTAACCGATATGTGTAGGTGTAGTTGGTTGTAGGCATAGGTTAAGTAGGCATACAATTCAAAACAAACGTAGCACCTATTGTTATCTTGATACGAATCTGTAGCCTAATGTACACAATAGCACACATACTATCTTATTATCAAAGTCATCGACTTGTTGGGGAACAAATTGCGAAGTGCCCAGGCTAAATGGGAACAAGCTCTGGGGGGTATCGTGCGTTGGATGAAGCGTTGAAACGCAACCAAACCATACGCCAATGTCACCATTGCCTCCTATCAACCAATGCCATTATTCATTTTTTGGCCAACCCTAAAAAAAAGGTGCCTTGGTTCCAATTCCCTGAAACGCCGACGCAAATGCAAAATGCAACCTTGGCCCCTATGTTGAGGTGACCGAATCCTCAAGTTCCGTCCGTGTACACATCAGCCCACAAGGTCTGTGATCTTACAATTGACATGACATCTAAGAGATGTGCTTCAGGTCAACCTGTATAGAGTTAGCTATTCACGTATCCACATACCCACTCACACCTGTATACATAGATATATAGATATACATGCATCGCGAGACGAGACTTCATCTTGTGCTTACCAGAAAATCCCAGATCATACGAGAAAGATGCTCGGGCAGCGTGTACAGATCAACAGTGAATTCACCAGCGTCAATATCGTTCTTCGTGTAGGTGTCATCCGCCTTGTTGTCGTGAATCATCTGAATGACCTGGAGGAGGTCCTCCTCGTTCAATTTGCCGAGTCCGTCGGCCATCTTCTCGAAATCGAATGCGGCCTTCTTCTTCTTCAAGTCGTTGGCCTTGCGAGCCTTGGCAGAGGCCTTCGAATCATCCTCGTTGGGAATTGGGCCAGTCTCACGGAGGATAGAGAGCAGTGCCTGAGAAGGATTCTTGAAGGTGACTGTTTGGATCGCTTCGTATCGGGGAGATTGGAAGTTCAAATCGTGGTAGACAGTGGTCTTGCCACCCTTCTCCGTGGTGAAAAGGTCGATGGACATCTCGAACTCGCCCCAGCCTTCGTTCTCGCAGGTGAAAGGGTGCTCGGTAAAGGCTACATGATTCAATAAGTCCTCCGGAAGATCAAGGTTGGGAAGAGAACGCGCGCGCGCATAATTGGGGGGGGGTTACTTACTCTGGTGAGTCTTATCCTCGAAGGAAGGGTGAAGATTGTAAGTGACCTTGGTAAAGCAGTTGGCGGGGTGTTCGTTTCCAGCTTGGTCAAGAAGGTAAATCTTGACGCTCCATTCCTTCATAGGAAACTCCGTCATGGGAGACGGCTTAGGACTAAACAAAACATAACAGTGTCAGCAACAACAAGAGGCGGAGGGGGCAAAGCTAGAGGTATGTAGAGGTATGTACAAGACCAATTGAGACAGGTCGGGTATGATGATTCAACTCACATGTTATGCTGCTCAGTGACGAGCTTGATGTTGCGCTGAAGGATGGTCACGTTAGTCAAGATTGGTTCAGAAGAATTGCGAATTGCGAACTGCGAGGCGCGAACCGCGAATTGCGATGGATGGATGGATGCATCAAAAATTGGGAATCAAGGAATTGAATAGAGGATAAAAACCAGTGGTATGTAATAATAATCAGTTGTATATAACATTGGTAGGTACACAAAAAAAAATGATATAAAACATGATAGACTTACCTCGACAATCATCTTGGAAGACTTGGCTTCAACAGCAGCAGATTCAGCGGTGTTGGGAAGAGTATCGCTAGCGGGAGGTGGTGCCTAAAAAAAAATAAGGGTGAGCGCTGTTAGAGATGTGTTCGCGACAAAATGTGTGTGTATGTGTGTGTGTGTGTGTGTGTGTAGTAGTAGTAGTAGTAGGAGAAACAAATTGAATGTTTTAAGGTGCATGTAGATTTGTATCTCGTCGCGGTTGCTGGGAATGGGTATGGGAATGGGTATGGGTAATGGGTATGGGTATGGTGGTATGGTAAGGTATGGTAAGGTATGGTAAGGTATGGTAAGGTAAGGTGCAGCGCGCGTACCTGGGCTTCTTTGGTCTTGTTCTTGGCCTTGGCCTTTCTCTTGTTCTTTTTGGCACTGTAGGCCTTCTTCTTTCTACCAGCAGCAGTGCCAACTGCAGTCTGCTTTTTCTTAGCAGGCTTTTTTTTAGCTGCAGCTGCAGCTGACATGCGGGTACGCAAAGTCGGAGGCATGGGTCGGATTATCCCTTGTAGCGTATCAGAATACTAATTGGGTGGCTGCTATCTCGGATAAATCTTTAATTCGTTGTTTGTTATTGTAGGAAGAAAGGAAGTGGGACAAGGTGGAATTAATCCGAGAATTTATGCACGTGATCTAGATTTACTGATTGGAGCTACATAAGTAACCCCCACTAACTACCTGAGAACCGAAGCACCTACATATCTCAGTAATCTCAGTAAATCAAAGATGAAAATACTGGAATATTCTTTTTTAACATTTTTTCCTTTCCAAAAATGGACAAGAAAATCAATTCCAGCCCTATTTAAAAGGGACTCCAACATGCCTGAGGCTCAAATATAGTGTTGAAGATCCCAGTTTTACAACTTCATGCTATAACACCATTCCTAATTTAGAACCATCAAGGTCGAAGGTTGTTGATAGCACCCAATGCCATCGAGGCCAACAAGGGACCCTTTACGCCTCAAAGCAGCAATAGACTCGGGCTAAATACACCCCCTTTCTAGAAGAAGGAAGTCTCATGACACATGATAGACTCAGCAAACGACACCACACGGATGTCTGCTTTCTTTGGTAGACAACAGTATCAAGAATGTTTTATCTAGCTCTTCAGTTCAACAGAGATCATATTCAAGCTGCCAACCCCAAGTCTAGTCATTACGTATAATAGATACACTTATATGTGTGAGTTGGTGGGTATCACAAACCTTCCTTGGCTGGCCATAAAGGTTGTGGAGATAGGAAAAGATCATGATCGAGCTGTTATAATCATGCTCTCCAAACTACGTAGACACAAATTTTCTTCCTTATGTCCCAGGACTCTATAGAACCGAGCATAACTGTCGATACATCTATTAATGCGTAGAAAACCAATGGACGAAATCAAGCAAATACCAGTGATCAACGAGAAGGCCATGAATAAGGAAGATGGAGCTGAATCTGGAGCTGAATCCATATCCGCTGACCAAGTACAAGAGCTGGACGCGAAGGCAACGAAAAGGCTCTTGCGGAAAATTGACATTCATGTCCTTCCTATGATGTGTCTTATTTGCCTGTCAGTTAGCAAACTCCTCAGAAAGAGATCAACGAGACATCAATCAACTGCACCATGTCTACTAGGCGAGTCCCTAAGGTATATATTAGTCGGTAGCTAACAAACTCCTCTCAGACTTTGCTTCCTCGACCGCAGCAACATCGGAAACGCGCGACTAGATAGCTTGGAATCAGACCTCCATCTCACCGGTCTACAGTACAACGACTGTCTCGCCATCCTATTCCCATTCTACATAGCCGCGGAGATTCCTAGCAATATCATGATGAAGGTAGGTGAACACATCTGCTCCCCCCTTTATATCCCATCAACTAACAAACACCACCAGCGCATCCGCCCCGCAACCTGGCTCTCCCTAACCATGCTCCTCTGGTCCATCTGCACCATCGGCCAAAGCTTCGTAGCCTCCTACCCGTCCCTGCTCACCACCCGCGCCCTTCTCGGTCTCTTCGAAGGCGGCTTCTTTCCGGGCGCAAACTTCTACGTGACGCAATGGTACCGGCGCGACGAGTGCGGGCTGCGGATGGCCGTCATATTCTCGTGCGCCACGATCGCGGGGGCCTTTGGTGGGGTGCTGGCTAGGGGTATTGCTGAGATGAGCGGGATGGGTGGGTTGGCGGCTTGGTCGTGGATTTTCTTGATCGAGGGGCTGGCGAGTGTGGTGGTGGCGGTGGGTGCTTTTTGGGGTGTTTGCGATTATCCGGCGAGGTGAGTGATGAAAAGGGGAGAAAGACAGAGAAAGAGAGGGAGAGTCGAGCATTGAATCTCCCCTTTCCCCTTTCCCCTTTCCCCTTTCCTCCCCTTGGCAGTAGAGAACATGACACTACCCCATCCCTCACACACCTCATCAACTAACCCAAACCCCTCTCATCCATATAGCGCCACCTTCCTAACGCCCCTCGAGCGCAACGCAGTCCAGCACCGCCTCGCCACCGACACCGGCTCCCTCTCATCCTCCCCCTCCTCCTCCTCGCCCTTCTCCACCAAACCCATCCTCCTCGCCCTCCGCGACTGGAAGATCTACATCCACATGCTAATCTGCATGGCTGGTTTCTGCCCCGTGTACTCCTTCTCCCTATTCCTACCCACCATCATCCGGAACATGGGGTACTCGGCCAACACCGCACAACTGATGAGCGCGCCGCCGTACGTGCTCGCGTGCGCCTTCACCGTCGGCGCCAGCGCGCTCGCGGACCGGTGTCGGCGTCGCGGGGTCTTTTTGCTGGGATTCCAAGGCGTCGCCATGACAGGGTTCGTCGTGTTGTTGGCGGCGGGCGGGAGGCCGGGTGTGCAGTATGTCGGGACGGTGTTGGCTGCGATTGGTAAGTATATGCCTTAAGTAATTTCATACAGCGTTGTCGATAGCCAAAGAATCTACCTGGGTACGCATCCTGTTCAACTAACTAACAATCATCCGCAGGAATATACCCGCAGATCCCGCTCGGCCTGGCCTGGAACAGCAACAACATCGGTGGGAGCCTGAAGCGCGCAACGGGGATTGCCATGCAGGTCATGGGCGGCAACTGTGGCGGCATCGTAGCCTCCTATGTGTATCTTTCAAGAGATGAGCCGCGCTTCGTAGTCGGTCATAGTATTTTGATCGGATTCATCGGGTAAGTCTTGTTCAGGAACCCTCTCCCTCTCCCTCTTCCAAGTTGTTATGGCTACGGACCTTGTCTTATTAGCTTCCCAAAACTCATTTGTTACTACTGTAGGATGGCCTTCGTATTAACGCTATTCATGACTACATGGTGCCGCAGAGAGAACATCCGACGTGATGCTGCTGCCGAAGGGGAAGCGATGGCCAATGAGTTAACAGCAGAGCAGAAAGAGTTGGAACAGGAGCTTGCTGACGACAATCCATGGTTTAGATATACTATTTGATCTACTGGGTAGCATATGGGTAGAATATAACAACCCTCGTAGTGGCAACCACTATTCTTAGAAGCTAGATACCAGTTATAAAAGCCATGTTGGATAATGGACCATCCCCTACCTAGGTACCTAATCACCCTGACACGCCGTTTAGGGGCTCCTCAGGAAGCAGCATAGTATACAATACAGTAGAATCCCACGAAACTAAAGATAACAATAAAAATGTTAATAATAGTAAGAAGCACATGTATGTGGTGTATTTTGCAGCAACTCGTTTGTAATAGAGCTTGTAAGTCCTTCATCATGATGACCTAGATATCATCCAGGGGCTAAATACCGTTTGGCGACAGATACTACTAGAAGCTACCATTGGTGCGGCTCGGTCCCAGGGCCGGTGAGCCCTGGGGAACTGACTGCCAATGTCTTACTTCTACACAGGCCCCAAAATCATCTGCGTTATCATTGCTGGTGGGCATTAACGCTTATCTGACAAGCAATTGGTGAACAGCAATGCGCGCATGCTATGCAGCCGTATCCCGCTCCGAGGGGCACTCTCCCGTTATGCGAACTCCTGCATAACCATCGACTCATACATCCATACATACCTACATACATCCATCCGTCCATCTTGCTACCAATAACATTTTAAAAACGTGGCCTTCGTACATATATCAAGGACGTATGATCAGCTGAATGAATAGATTTGGAAATCATATAATGCCACCAGGCGGGTCATAGCCGACTCCCCTGGCATTGCCGGTATTCAGACCAGCGCTGCCGGGCGCTTCAGTGTCCACCGGCGCTGTGTTGGTTTTCCGTAACATGAACATGGGCTTCTTTCCTTCCTTGTCCAATTGCTTAAAAAGGATCAATGGTTTCTCCTCTAGGCCCAAGCAGCGTTCTTGATCGCCATAGACAATGTAGAGCGCATATTGATCCCACGGCGCGTTGATTTGATATTTCTTCAAGGCAGCCGGAAGGACCTTGTAGCAAGGGTCATCCATACTAACCCTGAACGACTTGAAGATCTCTACCGAGGCTGAGCTCGAGCCGGGCGTTTCAGGGACAGGAGTCTGCATCCGCCGTGGGGCTACAGGCTGCTTCGCATTATAGCCATGATCGCTTTCCGAGAAGGTCGTGCGGCTAGATGGTGTCGGTTGCTCGTTGGAGCGGTACGTTCGAGGACCGAGGGTGGCACTACCCAAAGTAGGGGGTGAGGTGGGCGAAGGCACGCCCGCAGAAGAATACCCAGGTGAGGTAGCTTGGCCACTGCCGTTCATGGCAGCCAAATGTGACGAAGACAAGACAGCTCTTTCGGCGGCATTCGAGGGATCGAGGGTTTGCTCTACCGATGGCCGCTCGTGAGTAGTCTGAAGGTGAGAGGGGGATATGCTTTTGGGGTTCGTACCAAGGACAATTTTCTTAGTGGAGTAATGTCGCTTCAGATCACCAGATGGCTGATTCGACGAAGGGGTGGGAGCTGGAGGAGATATTGTCGCTGTTTCGTAACCGTGTCCTGCCTGGTTGTTGGCTACATGAGGCAGAGGTTGTTGCGCGTCCTTGACAAGGCGTAAAGCCGGTAGCATGTCTTCCCGCAATCGTCTGAAGTCATCTGTCATCCGTCGGAAGTCCTGTTCGAGAAAGCTCATTCTCTCATCTCGGAGACGTAGTTGCTCGACTAAGTGTTTGATGTCTTTTAGAGTCGCTGTCGCGTATTGAGCTTCGGCGTCGGCAGCTACATGATGAAGTGGTTAGGTTAATTTCGGAGGGAATCAATGAATTGGGACTAGGACCAGCACCAGGAGAGAGGATAGATAAGGAGGGTGGTGGGGGGAGGAATGAAAAGAAAAGGAGGGAAGATAGTAAGTAGTGACATACATAATGGTACATAATGGTCACTTTCTATAGGAACGTCTTGAGCTTTCTTCACATCATAAACACTCTTGAGAATAGTTAAGCGATGACCGACACTGGTCACTCCCATGGCCTTGAGGTCATCATGCAGCAAAGCCACCAAAGCCTCGCCGACGATCTCGTTCTCTAAATGTAGGGCGTTAGAACGACGATCACGAATGAGCAGATCAATGTGCGAGACACACCAATAAATCTATCTGAGTACTGCTGCAGGCCTATCGTAGCAATGAAGTCGGCGCACTCGTCGGCATCCCACTCAGATATTATGGTCTCAGGTAGTCTGTCGGCACTGCTGCGATGGCCATAGGTAGTGGGCGTGTGTTCGGTCGAGGAGCGGCCTTCGGAATCGGTTGGGGAGATCTCGGAGTCGGTGGCGAGAACTGGTGAGCTTGTGTGGAGGCTCCTCTCGTACTCATCGTCGGCATCGGATTCCGCGTAAGCGGTACCCGAATCGAAGCTCATCGTCGGCCAAGAAGCCTTCGAAACCAAGGCAAACAAACCAAGGCGAAGCAAATGTTAATAATCAAATTTAAGACGAGATTCCGTGGCTTGCGTAAGCTTGGCTATTATCGTCTCCTTTGTTTCAACCCTCTCTCTCCTACTCTCTTTCTTTCTTTTTCTCTTCTCTTTTTTTTTTCTTCTTGTTAGCTTCTTCTTCAACTTCTTCTTCTGGTCTGGCCTTGACGTTATGCCTTTTACTTTCTCGTCCAACCTCCCTCCTTTGCTCTCTCTCTCTCTCTCTCCTCTTTCTTTCTTTGCTTGTGCTTCTCCTCTCTGTATGCGTCTCTCCGCTCGAGCAAAGACGGGGTGGCCAAATATTGAACCTGAACTTGAATCTGCGACCTACGACCTGTGACCTGTGACCTGCGACCTGACCGATATGGATGGACCTTCTAAAGACGGGGAAGACGGAAGGAAATCTCTTGTTGCTAGGATTAACCCCGGGAATGGCAAGTCAAGATATGCCGATCTTAAATCCGATAATGGTAGAATTGAATTGTCGAGAGACAGGCAAGAGGATGGTTTGAGGAAAGTGACGTGACCGGCAATACTAGGTATGTAAGGTTAGGTAGGTACTTAGATAGAAAATGGGTTGGCTGTTTCTTGGATCGACACAGACAGGACAAGTTAGGACAAGGCAAGACAACACTGAACATTAAAGGCAAGACCAGGCAAGACCAGGCAAGACCAGACAAGACAGGAAGAGTTGATGAAAACCGCTACAGTGAACTTTGAGTTGTGGTACATGTAGTAAGTAGGTACAATACATATGTACGCTACATACCTAGTAGTTAACTACCTAATTACATAGTGTGTACTACTAGTAGTACTAGCTAATTAAAGCAATATGTGGTAGTATACCTACATGTAGTATAGTTCCGGTTCGCACTGTTCGGTGCATGTACCGCTGTAGCATGGACATGTAGGCCCATTGTAGGGTTTAAGTCGCTTGTATAATGTACCCAAGTTAAGCGTTAAAGCATTGCAACATTAAAACGTTAAACTAAATAGACTGGGCTGATTGATTTGACGTTGCAAAAAGCCCAGGGCGCCTGTTTTTTTTTTATGGTATTGCCCCACTTTCTCTCAGACTCTTCTTCGCAATTTAATTCGGTCTGTACTATGTACCTGGCCTCTTCCTAGTCGTCCTTGTCCATTAGTACTAGTTATTTATTAGTAGTAGTCTTTGGTGGGGGTTCTGGTACCTTTTTCTGCGTGGTCAATGCGCTCGCTTCACTACCTACGCAACTGGCAACTGCATTCTATCCTACGGCATAATAAAAGGGGGGCCTACATATTTACCTAGTACATCATGTCGCAGCCCCTGAATTAGACTAATACATATGTACTAAAAGTGGATTTGAGTGGGCAGATGTAGCCGCTGCTTGGCGCTACCTCTATGTAACTCTGTACATGTACTTTCTTCCAAGTATTCTTCCCAGTATTCTTCCACAAAGCTTCAATGTTCAATGTTCAATGTTCAAGGTTCAATGCTCTTTAGCTCCTATCGTCATGCCTGGCCTAGCGTTACATTCGCTTCTACCCATTCACCGGCACCGCGTCTTTTCGTCATCTATCATACCACCGATATCTGTTCCGCCTTTAAGACCGGTTGCTCAACGACCATAGCGCCCACAATCTATCCAATGCCTTGTACGCCATTATGTATGTACTCAATAGTCACTACTTATAGGTTAAATATTAGTACTAGGTAGTATATCTAATATACATTGTAGGGCCCTGTAATATCTGTAATATACTGTAAAGCCAACAACCACAAGGTGCTAGGAGTCAAGCCCAGCAGGAAGTACAAGTTGTTTAGTAGCGAATGAATTTATATTCCTATCGAACATAATTTAAGGCCAAGTCCAAAGAGGACAGGCTAAAGGTCATTGTCGACCCTGAGCCAACTGGCGGGGGCGGCAATACATTAAGTACAGTGTCAGGGTATCTTTGACTTCCAATGCTTGTGGCAAATAGGAGTTGTTTCCACCGAGCCCAACCCGTTTTTGACATACCAGCCGGTGGTGAAGAAGTGAACCTAGGTTTATCATAAAAACGAGTGCGGGCCAACAAACCCCCCCTTTAGATCCACAGCCAATTACGGGCCAACAGCCGTCCATTACCAACGCAACTCCATGGCGCCCATCCTTCCTCTTGACGTATGACGTTATTCCCATGCCGTGACAAAACGCCTTGATTGCAACTCATTCCCCGTCCACCTACAGCGGACAGTTCAATCTCTTCCATTATCGTAACGGTAACAGGGTATCTTCTGCACCCCGTTCAATAACTTCCTCAAGTGTCCATCGTGGCGGCTCAATGACAGCATCAGCATCTCTCTCTTGAATAGAGCCATCCGGTAGAGGCCTGAGGCCTCCAGCAATGCCCGTAGAGAATTTCAGTTGTAGGATGTCTCCGACCTCATCGCACGCAACCAGAAGACGATCCATGTCATCCTTGTTGTGGGCAGCCGACACGCAAAATCGTGCACGAGAGCTGATAAGGGGAGTGGCAGGGTACCCCACAACGACAACCGCGATTTTTCGCTTGAGCATTTCGTGGCTAAAGGCAGAGATCTTAGCTGGGTTATACAGCGCGACTGGAATGATGGGAGAATCATCATGTCCATAAACGATCAGGCCGAGACGCTTAAGACCAAGACGGAGATAGCGAGAGTTGAATGTGATGCGCTGTAATCGTTCCTCGCCTTGACCAGGAACAAGTTCGCCAGAGATGATCTTGAGTGAGGATAGAATTTGCATCAGGACAGCAGGAGTTGGAGATTCACCAAACATCATAGCGGCGTTCGTGCTCCTCAGCTTGTCAATAACGTGCTTCTCAGCTGCTATATAGCCTCCATTGGCACCGAACGATTTGGTCAAAGTGCCCATGAGAATGTCAACGCGGCCTGGGTCAATACCGAAGTAATCACAGACACCACGTCCTCCAGGGCCAAAGGCTCCGATACTGTGCGCTTCGTCGACATAAAGAGAGAATCTATATCGATCCTTGAGAGCCAAAATACCGGGCAAGTCGCAGATATCACCATCCATAGAGTACAGTCCTTCGACAACGACAAGAATCTTCTTCCAGGGCCGGTGAGTTCGAGGCTGGCCTTGGGCAAAAGCTTCGCGAAGGCGTTTCTCTAGATCCACACAATCGCCGTGTTTGAAAGAACGAATGACAGCACCAGAGAGACGAGCGCCAAAGCGGATTGAGGAGTGGTTCAACTCATCGGACAAGATCAAACAACCCCTGGAAACAAGCGCGGGAAAAGAGCTGGCATTGGTGACGAAGCCCATTGAGAAGACCATGGCGTCCGGCTTTCCAACAAAGTTGGCAACTTCCTTCTCAACCTCACGGACAAGGTCACAGGTGCCTGCATCGATACGAGGGCTACAATAGCTAAGCCCGTATCGTCGAACACATTCCTCGACAGCGTTAGCACAGGGTCCCTCGGATTGTGCAAATCCAAGATAGTTATAAGAGCTCATGTTCAGAGTTTCGGTTGAGCCTCCAATGTATTCATAGGACTCATTAAAGTTGTCCGAGATACGGTTCAAGACATTGATATATCTGCCCGGTACGCCAGTGGTGGTTCTTGCAAAGCAATCATCTATGCGCATCTTCAGTCGCCTGGTATAAAAGTTGTCGAAATCATCATTCAAAGGAGCGTAGCCATTGGCTGCGCGAAGAGTCTTGTAGGTCGACTTCTTGCTAATTCTCTTTCCGAAAAAGTCTCTGATGTGACCAAGAGCGAGGAGAAGCAGATAGCTGATGTAGGTAGTTAGGACGTAGTAATAGGGTGGTTCATCAATGATGGCCTCCTCGAGGTGGTCCCCGTGGTGCTTAGAGACATAGCGATGGGTTGGGTGAACCAAGGGACCGAACTCGGCATCGAATCGCTTCTGGCGTGATATCTCGGTAGAATCAGGTGGCTGGAATAGGGTGGTTGGTTGCTCATCATCATTAGGTTCGCCAGCAGTGGCGGTTGAGAGGGAAATAGATGGCAATGACAGGCCAGAGGTGGTGACCGATGGAGTAGAGCTATTTTGCATGGTCATAAGGGCTTGCTGGGAGCCTGGTTGCTGGCTCGGCTTAGGAGAGGAAGAAAACAGTTGACTAAGGCGATTCCCTCTGGTCTGTGAGGGCCTCCTCTCGCCGGTCTTCTCCGACTGAGGCATGTTGTTAGAATTGGAGAATGGAATTGAGATGCGTCGTGGCATCTCTATAGGTGAATGTCGGTAATAGGTCTCGTAGACTTCAGGCGACAGTAGGAGTACAAGTAGCGCTGAGCAGTCTTAAAATGTAGGTCTACTGATTGCGAGTCTAGAAAAGGGTGTTAATTAGGGATCATACAAATTCCAATTGTGTTTTGATTGTAAGGTTGAGTGAAGGGAAAGGAAAGGAAAAGCTAGAAGGATGGAGATATTCCCAAGGGTAACAACAGGTAACAATGGCAAGACCAGCAATATTGAATGAATGGTGCCATCGGTGACAGGAAGGAAAGCACAGATTCGGACCAAAGCTTCAACGTTGGTGACGAGCCTCCACAGAGCACCGCATCAAAGACGCAGCTTACTTGGTAGGTTGGCTGAGCACGCACTCTTTAATGTGCTGTGGCACAATAATTAAGCGGCTGACAATGCATTGGAACATTGAAGCTTAATGGATGTCGATTGTGATTGTGTATGTGTATGATAATAAACAATGATTCAGGATTATGATAGAAGGGGAAATCAACTTACGGTGCCCTTTCCTAAGCTCCAGTAAGCTTCCGGGTTTCTTTGTTCCTTGCCCGTCGGTGCGTGCAATGGCAGTGCAGCGTGCAGTGAATTTTGTGCTCTTATTGTTCCACGGTCTGCGGATGCACCGGTCGCAAAGCTCCAACGTACCAAGGTAAGTTGAGAAGGTCAAAAATTATCGAAATTGCAGCTTGGGGTAAGGAAAAAGGAGAAAGGTCGATTGGCTGATGTCTTGATTGTTGATTTCTGAATAATGATATCAAAAATTAATGAGGGTGAATTAATTAAAAAATAAAAAAGGACAATTATTCCCGTGTAGCAATAGTCACAATAATGACAGCTTCCCTCGACATCAGCCAGCACCCTTTCTGAGGTGCACGATGATAAGAAAGAAAAAGGAGAGACGAGACGAGGAGGAAGAGGAAGAAGAAGTAGATCAAATTTAGGAAGCGTGAAAGTGTACATAGGATGTACTGAATGTACCGAGGGTACTAATGTACTATGCTGTCTATGCAAATCTAATGCTGCAACTTGCCTGCAAGTTTGAAAAAGGTGGGTATAATCTACCGAGCTTTAGGTTTAGTACGTTTGAATAGTACATATTTCTTCTAGTAACTACCCTACGACGGGCCTACGTAGTATGTAACTAGTGACATTGAAGTTAGGTACCTAACCTGTCAGCTTAATCAATCACCCGACTGCCCGGCTGCCCGATAACTTTTTTCTGCTACAAGGCTAGGCGAGACCCGTAATAAACGGGCAATCCTGAAAATCCCATCCCTTCTTACTAATTAGCCACCCAAGGCACCAGTTTTCTTTTTTTTTTTGCTCAACTCCGGCCGATCCGCGCCCCCATAACTTTTTATGTTCAATGTTCATGTTCATTATCAATCCCCATTATCACGCCGCAGCTAATACCTAATGCTGTTGAGACCCTTTTTTTTTCTTTTGGACCTATTAGGTACCTAGCACCACCTGCTTTGGGCGAGCTGCATCGTTCGCAGCTGCAGTTCGTGAAGTTCGTATGTAGAGCCCCGCATCATCGTCAGCAACCCCTTTATAGAAAATATGTACACTAGAAAATGAACATAAGAGAATGAACATCCAAAGTACCAGAGCTATAACTAGTTATTATTATGTTGACTTTGCTCGCAATAATAATAGCTGTAATGAATGCATTTATGCTTGGAGATAACATTGATATTAGTATGTGTATGTATGTATGTATGTATGTATGTATGTATGTACAGTAGGTGCGGCATCCTTCCTTCAACTTTGAAATTAAGGCATATGCATAATATCTAGTAATCACAATTGGTATACGCGGTGTAATTAGCCCTTGGTGCAAGCTTCATTTGAGCTCACGCGATTATGCTTGGCGCGGCTTCGGCTTGCTCAATGTTGTTTTATACATAGTACGGATATGTGAAGGATCCCGAGGCCCTTCCACCTCACGTATGTACATATTTAAACAGATACTATGTTGTAGTACGGAGTAACTAACTAGTTATGTATTATCTAAGATGCTGTCATCATCCGCGTCTGCCGGACCTTTGGCATTGTTACATAAGACACCAAGACCTTCATACATGAATACATATATAATAGCGTATTTCCATCATTGATGACATCCGGAACTTGGAAATACTACTATGTACTAAGGTTAGGTGCATGTACATACATACATACATACATACATACATACATAACATTGTTCAAGGTAAGCTGATTGAGGCGCTCCCAGTGTTACCCCAAATAAAGCTTGTTTCGATACTTGACTTTGAGACAGTACACCAACCTTCAAAATACTACTATGTAGTATTACATACATACATACATACATACATACATACATACATACATACTAGTAGTAGTAGTAGTAGTAGTGCTACATATGTAATGAAGCCTTCATGAAGGTTTGAAAGGTTTGAAAGATTAAAGTTTGTATTTTATTTCTAAAAGGTAGGTGAGGTACACACTCACTACACGTTGACGTGCCTTCCAGATGGGTCTTAACGGCCTCTATCGGAGCTACTAAATTGCTAGGGATGACCTTTGAACATAATTGGCATATCTACATCTTTTATTTACATTCAACCAACATCTTGAACTCAATGAAAACAAACATTGAGCCTATCAGCTATTGTCACTTTGACATTTCTTGAACTTTACACTATACCCGTCAATATTCTTAACATATATCCAACATATATCCAACATATATCATCAGAATGACTATCAGCTCCAAAGCCGTGCCAGTCGAGTTGTGGCGCCATCCAAGCCCTTCCTCTACACCGCTATACAAGTTCCTACAGCATGTGAAGGTCAAGCATGGCATAGACACTGAGGATTATCCAACTTTATATAAGTGGTCTATCGAGAATATATCCGACTTTTGGGCCCAAGTTTGGCATTTCTGCGGCATCAAGGCGTCCAAACCATACTCATGCGTAGGTAGTATCTTGACCAGTTGAGAATATATCACTTATATACAAACAAGAAAGCCATTGGTCTACGCAGCTACATATCTACATATCTTCATTTCTCAAATTCCGACTTTTTCTGATCAAGATCATCATGTCTAACATGCCACTCAACAGGTCTTGCCGGATAATGCACCCATGTTCCCAAGGCCGGACTTCTTCTCCGGATCACTCCTTAATTTTGCCGAGAACATCTTGTTCCCGGAGAAAGCAGATATCGTAGAGTCCTCTACCGCTGTCATTACAGCTACTGAAGTTGACGGACAGCTCATCTCAACGACATGGGCTGAATTACGAAACGCCGTGCGGCAGTGCTCGAATGCGCTGAGAGCTGCCGGATTAAAGCCCCGAGATGTAGTCGCTGGCTTTGTTTCTAACCACACGCAAGCCCTTGTAGCGATGCTCTCCGCCGCCGCCATTGGAGCCGTGTGGACGGGGATCAGTCCGGATAGCGGTGTAAGTGCGGTCCTAGATAGGCTGGTGCAGATCGAGCCGAAGGTTCTATTCGCCGACAATGGGACTGTGTATAACGGCAAAGCATGGTCCAGCACGGACAAGACATCGCAGATAGTCGATGAGCTCAAGTCTAAAGGCCTAGAGCTCGTCATTATCATAAGCAACGTCCAAGACTTCGGCTGGGACTTGGAAGCACTCAACTTAAAAGGAGTTGTGGCGAAAGAATACGAAAGCTTTCTGAAAAGGTAGATCCCAGAAGAAAATCCCCCCTTAAAAAATCGTTTGAAGAAAATCCATATAGTTGATATTAACGTCCATATAGCGGCGGCGGCGAACCCCTGAGATTTGAGCAACTTTCACCATCACATCCCCTTTATGTCTTATATTCCAGTGGCACTACTGGCCTCCCGAAGGCCATCGTACATACCGCACTAGGCACATTAATACAGCACAAGAAGGAACATGTTCTTCATTGCTCGATGGACTCTACTTCGAGAATGCTCTATTACACGACCACATCTTGGATGATGTGGCATTGGAGCATTTCAGCCCTCGCCTGTGGAACTACTCTGGTCTTGTACTCCGGTTCGCCCTTCAGACCCCATGGCTATTTATCCCTGCCTAAACTCCTCTCCACCCTGCGGATAACTCACTTCGGTACTTCAGCCGCATATCTCACCACGCTTGAGACCAATGGTGTTTACCCCATTCGATCACTTGACCTTTCTCATCTACAAGCCATCTACTCAACCGCCTCACCCCTCCCACCATCGACCTTCTCATTCGTTTACGAGGCATTCCCTGCTCATGTTAATTTGGCTTCTATAACTGGTGGTACCGACATAATATCATTGTTCGGTGCCCCGTGTCCGCTACTACCTGTTCACGTCGGCGAGATTCAATGCGCCGGGCTTGGTATGGCTATTGGCGTAGTAGATCCCATCAGTGGCGCCGCGACACCCGGCGAAGACGGCGAACTCGTATGCACCAAGCCGTTCCCCTGCCAGCCCCTGACATTCTGGGGACCCGAAGGACAATCTAAGTATCGGGCTAGCTACTTTGAGCGCTTTGACGGCCTATGGCATCACGGTGATTTCGTGCGGATCGACACCAAGACAGGTGGCCTGACTATGCTGGGTCGCAGCGATGGTGTCCTCAAGCCCGCTGGTGTACGATTTGGGAGTGCGGAGATCTACAACGTGCTTACTCGATTCTTTGGCGGCGAGATTGAAGATGCTGTGTGTGTTGGTCGGAGGCGGGAAACGGACCGTGATGAGACGGTCTGTCTATTTGTTGTCATGAGCAACGAGAAGACGTTCACACCCGAACTACGTGAGAAGATTAAGGATGTCATTCGAAAAGAATTAAGCCCTCGGCATGTCCCTGGTGTAGTGGAGGAATGCGGAGCGGGAATCCCGAAGACGGGGAATGGGAAAAAGTAAGTCTCCATATCTTTTCACACAAAATTACTTATCATCTAACCTACTGCTAGGATTGAGGTTGCTGTCAAGCAGATTCTATCTGGTATGAATATCAAGACGAACGCCAGTGTGGCAAACCCGGAGGCTCTGGCTTGGTTTCAAGAATGGGCAGCAACGCACAACTAGATAAGAGGTCCTACTTTGTATAAAGGCTGAGTTTTGCAAGTTTCACGAATAAGGTGAACAACATTAGCCAAAGGCATAGGCATCAAAATAATCATAGAAGAAGACAAGAGCATATATATGGGATAAGAAAGGATATACCTAAAAGATAGAGCAGCAGTACCTAACTAGCGCGTTCTTGCCACAATATACTCCTCAACCTCTCCTTTTCATCGTCTCCTCCGAATATGACATCGATCCCCTTCCGTGCTAGGGTCAACACTTCCTCTCGCCGTAGCTGGAAATGCTTCTGGATGAGCATCCACTCATTTGACAGCGGACTCTCGAAGACGCCCACGTCGTCCGTCTGGTGATAATATGCGTTAGCCTAAGCTTTAATGGAAGGCGATACTCCAGCTGCCTAAGCATTGAATTTCCGGTCAGGGGGGGGGAGAGGGTCGAACTTACACAGGGCACGACAACCGGTCCCTCCACGCGCCACCACTCCCCAAAGTGATGCGCCTCGAAGCTACCCACGATCATCTTGGCGTGAACATTGCAACTCAAGCACAACTCCAGCCCAATACCCGTCCGCGCCGAGATCTGCCGCTTAACCGCATCGGGGACGTGTATCACGTGGCCCAAACGATGCGGCATCCAAGCCATGATGGTAGCGAGCTCTGCTTCGCTGGCGCTGGCCTCGGCCTCGGCGAAGTGGATCGTGACCTTGAGCCCCGCGGCACGGGCCTTCTCGACCGCGGGGGTGAACAGCGAGACGTCGCCTTTCATCGGGTCGCCGCACAGGTCGATGGCCACGACGCCTTGGTCGCGGAACGCGGTCGCTAGACTGACGACCTCGAGGGCTTCGGCGAGGGTGTTGCGCCGGTCGATGGACAGGATTAGGCGGGCGTGCAGAGTGGGTGTTTCCCGCGCCGCGGCATCGAGGGCGCGGAGGACGGTCCGCACGTACCCTGCCTTGTCCAGGCCCGCGGAGGGCATCGCCCGGGGCGTCGTTCGCAGCTCGAGGTACACCACGCCGTCCTGCGCGAAGTCCCGGAACACGGATTTGGTGGAGTGCTCGACGGACGCGGCATCATTGACGAGGTTGTAGATGTACGACGAGAAGAGCGGGAAGAAGCTGTAGGAAAGCTGGCCTTTAGCGCATTCTACGAGCGGTGCTATCTCCGTCTCTTCCTCTCTGTCTCTTCGCATTTTGTAACCCCCCCCTAAAAGAGAGCGAAATTCTCTTACGTTTTTAGATCGTAATCATGTCGACCTGGAGGCATTATAAGAAGCGGATCCTCGAGGTCTGTTGCCCCTATGGCCTTTTTCCCTTGCCATATTTCATGCAAACATTGTCGGCTGATACTTCCGGTTAGATGGGCGTGAAGCTGCCAAGTTGCGAATCATGCAGTTAGTACTAGTATATATGGCATTGTAAGACATTATATGCGAGCCAAAGACACGCATAAGATATGTACTGGTTAAGTATAATAAGGGGTGGGTGAGATAGGCAGGCGTCAGCTGAGCTTCACCCCTGGGCCAACACCATCTAGGCCTATGAAAGAGGTGGGATATATATATCAAGATTCCTAAATTTGGATATAGTTACCTCGATCTTCGGCATGGACTTGAAATCTAACTCGGATTCCCGGACCATCATGTATTACATCAGACTAGGCGAGGTATATATATGTGGTGGCCGTCTATTATGATATGAATATAGTAATTGGTGCCGAGGTAAAGATTGAGAGTATCAGATAGGCTCATTCACCGATGAGATTTGAATGGTTTAATGTTGTGTTGCGTAAGACCGACTTTGTAGGCTCAATATTGCTAAGTAGGTAGTTCGGGAACCGAGGAAGCCAATCTCTTCGTATTCAAAAGATAGTCAGTCGCCGCCCCATTAGCAGGTACATACTAAGAAGAATGTACGTATGTATTTTACAGACGAAATATACGCCTAGCAGTTACATGGTCACAGCAGATGTGGTGACTTTTTTTTTTAACCTAGTACTAACTATTGCGTTAGCATTGCTATTAACGACGTCAGGTATTTGCTATATGTATTCTAATAGCAATTGACGTAACCGGAACAGATTCATCGTTTCTTCTTCAGCTTTTTGAAAAATAAATATCGTTACCGGGATAGTTAGAACTGAAGCTGACGATATCTGGGTATAGAATGACACAGTATTGTTAACTGTAGCCGAAATCAGAGGCAAGACGTTCTTCGCTAGGGCAATAAATTCTTCTAGAAACGCCATCTGCATAACGTTCAGATCGTCCCGGACGATCAGAGCACACACGAAACCTGACCGGCCTGCCTCTACCTACCTTAAGTACATGGTGTACCTACTTAGGTATGGTAAGTACTATTATCTAGTGGGCAGACTAGATGGATTATCTTCAATGATCAAATGTCTTCAACGAGGACGGCAAAACTAACCGAAGGGCTCCCTTTTAGCTCCTTTGATGACCAAGCTGTCGATACCGTAATCACCTACTAGCTGCATAGTAGCTGCACACATGGCAGTAGAGCAGTAGGTATGTAGGAAAGCTAGGCGAGACGAGGATCTCGAGCGTCTTATTGAACCATTGAACCAGGACGGCCCAAGGCTAAGGCCAATGCAGTTTGGGTACCCGCCCTTTGACCATTCTGGTAGCGTACCCGCATCGTAGGACTCTAACGAGGATGGTTCGCGTCCCGTAGCAGCGGAGTCCTATTAAGATTGTGGCCAATCCCGGTTCGTAAAAGGGGCAGGTTAATTATACACAAACATGAATTCTTACTGGAGCTGGATCTCCGTCCTCGCTCTCCGACGAAATGAAAAACTACGAGTGTCTGCATTTTGGAGAAGGATGGTGGGCAAGAATTGGTAAGGAAGGGATAAGATTGGTAGGAAGACGAAAGGAAGTATGAAGTATCATAAATGTACATTACTATGTATGTATGTAAGTAATCTACTAGGTACTAGGTAGTTACTAGGTACATGTAATCTCTGGCCATAAGATTGGTCAGACTGGGTACTAGGTAACTAGGTACTATGTACTACATGCATGTATGCATGTACATCACTAAGGACTAAGGTAGGCTACCTCAATACTATGTAGTTACGGCATAGTATGTAAATAGGAACTTGAAGATTACAACATTGAAGCAAACAATATTTAAATCTTCAATGTTTATTACTCCAAATGACTTGACATATGTGTAAAATGCCTATACCAGTTATGTACCTGCCTTGCATGTAGTAGCTAGCATGTAGCGCTTGAAAGTTGAGTACATACATGTACGCCGTAAGCAAGCTTTGCTATCAGCATTTAATAAATGTAATTGCAGGTGAATGGCGCAACATGCTATCCCTGTAGGACGTTCCACCTGTAATACCACCAGAATGCAAGCTTGTAAATGCATACATGTAGTTAGTTATGTACATCAATACTTACCATGATACATGTCATATCTCCTTGATTCATTCCATGTTGGCATTGGACACAATACGTCTGAGGCTGGCCTAATATACAACTCATATTTTTATTTTTTTATTTTTTTTTTCTTTTACACATGTGACTCTGGAGGTATCTGCATATTTACACAATGTATGTATATAAATGTAGTAGTATTGCTCAAGCTGGCGATCTGTATTAGTTTATACATATATGTACCTAGGTGCATAGGCACATCATTAACCACATTGATGAACGTACAAAGATAATGAGCAAGAATATTGAAATTGAGAGAGGCACAGAAAGAGAGACAAACATTAAATATATTCAGTTAAGGTTAAACGCGTAAATATCTAGGTATATCTAGGTATATATATATGTACTTAACATAGATATGTACATATTACCTAGTGCTATACGATAAGTAATACATTTTGGACCCACCGTATGAACCATAACCAAAAGTCTTCATTACGGTACTTCCTTGCGCATCGATGCTCAAGCTGTAGTTATGTAGTTTCGCCAAGGATTCCTTTGCCAGCTTCCTCCTCTACATAATTTTTTTATTACATAGTAACTATTTCTTAGTTTTAGCTTATCTACTTCCATACTAAGGTTAATGTGCTTTAATTATCATCTCGTTTTGTTACCAACTTCAATTCTGAGCTCTTGCTGAAGTTGGCCAGACTCCAGAGAGTCAGATGGGTACTATTAGGTAGTAACTTGAAGTAAGTCAGTCAGTTTGTCAGTCAGTCAGTCAGTCAGCCTGCTTGCCTTCCTTCCTGACTTCCCGCCTTCCATCTGCCACTACTTCCGGTCATCAATCCAGAAAGGAAGGGAGAAGGAGAAAAAAGAAGAACTTGTTCTCCGCACCTCTCTCTTTTTTTTTTTTTTTTCTTCATTGCTTCTCTCTTGTCATCTATGGTCCGGTCAGATTGCCTTCTTTACCTGCATTGCATAGATATATGTATATGTACACACATACGTACATACATACATACATACATACATACATACATCCATACATCCATACGTTGATAATACCTCTCATACTTCAATTTTCAAATTTCGAACTTATCTTCTCCTTAGGTCTAAATTAAATCTGACATTACTTAGCAGCCTAGCAGGGTGTGCCTTTTTATTTATTTTTATTCTATTTCTTCCTTACCTGGTCCTACTAGTACCTATAACTCTTAACAATCCCCCCAAAAATCCCATCTAAAATATACATACTAGGTTTAGGTTACTGGGTCACTGGTCAGAGCACTTCCTCAACAAGGAACCCCCCCCCCCCCTGGAAGCTTGTCTTCTCCTTCTCCATCTCCATATCCCCCTACTACCCCTACAGCCACTACTACATACTACTACCACTACTACCACTACTATCCCTACTAACCCTACCTGCTAGCACCCTTACCCCGAGTTGATCCAACCTCTCATAACCTTTTTCCCTTCTCTTTTTTTTTACCCCCTTCGGTGTCCTCTCCGCTATTCGCGAATCCCAAAAAAATCAATTCATCCACACCGCTCGACGACACTCATCACCGTTCATCCAATTCCCTCACGCTGATATCCTCCTCGGTCCTCTTCTCTTCAACGCCCACTCATCGCCGTCATGGACTCGCAACGGCCGAACGATGTGTCGCCCGAGGCCATGCAGGCGCGCATCCAACAAGCGCGACGCGAGGCTGAGAACCTAAAGGACAGGATTAAGCGGAAGAAGGATGAGCTGGCCGACACAACTCGTAAGTCTTTCATCTACTATGTCAATTGGCCCTCATTCCCGGTCATCATGGTTATCAATCAAATATTGCACCTTCTTCTAACCTTAGCCTCTTGTTGTTTCCAGTTCGCGCCGTCGCGCAGCAATCACACGAGTCAATCCCCCGAAACCAGTTAATGAAGACGAAGAGGACGCTGAAGGGTCATCTTGCCAAGATTTATGCTATGCACTGGTCTACTGACCGAAGACATCTGGTATCCGCTTCGCAAGACGGCAAGTTGATTATTTGGGATGCCTACACGACGAACAAGGTCCACGCCATTCCTCTGCGGTCATCCTGGGTCATGACCTGCGCTTACGCCCCGAGCGGTAACTACGTCGCTTGTGGTGGTCTTGACAACATTTGCTCCATTTACAACCTCAATCAAAATCGGGACGGTCCAACGCGTGTCGCTCGTGAGCTCTCTGGCCATGCCGGATATTTGTCTTGCTGTCGATTTATCAACGACCGGAGCATTTTAACCTCGTCTGGTGACATGACTTGTATGAAATGGGATATCGAGACCGGAACTAAGGTTATGGAGTTTGCCGACCACCTGGGCGATGTCATGAGCATCAGCTTGAATCCCACAAACCAGAACACGTTTATTTCTGGTGCCTGCGACGCCTTCGCTAAGTTGTGGGATATTCGCGCCGGCAAGGCTGTGCAGACGTTCGCCGGCCACGAATCGGATATCAACGCCATCCAGTTCTTCCCAGATGGCCACTCTTTCGTCACAGGTTCCGATGATGCCACATGTAGGCTTTTCGACATTCGAGCGGATAGGGAACTTAACCTCTACGGCGTAAGTAGATGCATTGAAAACACTCCTCGCCATTCGCTAATGTTATCATTCAGTCTGAATCTATCCTGTGCGGTATCACATCTGTTGCTACTTCTGTGTCTGGTCGCTTGCTGTTCGCCGGCTATGACGACTTTGAGTGCAAGGTATGATTTTCTAGCCACCCATTTTAGAGTACTGATTAACTAACGCTTTGCAGGTATGGGATGTGACAAGAGGAGAGAAGGTTGGTTCCCTTGTGGGCCATGAGAATCGTGTCAGCTGTTTGGGCGTTAGCAACGACGGCATCAGCTTGTGCACAGGTTCCTGGGATTCAGTAGTAAGTACCAATTGCCATAGCATTCGGCCGGCTTCTATATATGCTAACTTCTTCATAGCTTAAAGTTTGGGCATACTAAGTGGGAGTATGCGGTGACGATGTTAAGAACCAATATATGGACCGCCGCCATCGTCAACTTCCTCGAACGAATGAATATTTCGAACTAATTTCAACCTGATATACGCCTTTCTGTATCGTGGAGAGCCGGCTTATCAGGACGAAGTCACGACAGCCTTTTTCAACCCCTATTTTCCTTGCTGGCCTGCGTTAAACTTGATTCCCACCCAACGACTGTTTGCCATCGCCAACCCCCCAAAACCCCAGTGAAATGTGTAATTTTACTGGCCTTATTCGTCCTTCGATAACCTCCATAATACCATATTTCTACCTATCTTCCATCTATCAGCCATTCTGCTAATATACCGCTCCGGACTGGAACAATGTTCTTGAACACTGCGTGGCCCATACCGTGCCTTCCGAAGCTACGAAACCGCGACTCCCAAGTCCTCGAGGGCGAATGTAACGATCTGGTGGATAGGCTTCCCTCTTGGCCATCAGTCTTCTCTTCTCTGGCGATTTTTGGTACTAAAATTTCAGCAACTCGATACACGGATACAGTCCCACCCCACCAGGGAACATGTTGATACGAAAAGCCTTTTCACCCGGAAATCCCTTCAAAATTCTTGCTCGTCTCTTTTTTTATTCCTGTTCATTGCCTTATAACACCTCGAAATCTTATTATGGTAGATGGTGTTGAGGTACTGATTTATTTTTATTTTTTGCCCTCGGATAAAGAACAAGTACACTTGAGCATGCGGCCCGGCATGTTCAGTCTGGTGGGAGAGAGCAACGCAGCATTTGGGCTTTGGCGATGGCTGGTCATCTCGCTAGTGTTTCCTGAAGATTGTCCCTTTGGTTGGCGTGCCCTTCCTGGTATTATGGGGGGAGAGAGAGGATTAAGCAGGTTGGGTTGTAGCTGATGTAGGGACAGGAGAAACACATTCGCATCCGGCGTCGCACCCGCCCTTTACTAACTGTCTGTACCATAGTCATGTCATATTGAAACGCTGAAATTATCCAAAAAAAAAATTTAATGGGCATTTGAAAAGATGGTGACCAAAATGGTGACCTAAGCGCGTTAGATTGTAACGAACCTGACCTAGTATCCCGGGGAACATGTAGGAGCGATTTTCCGTGCCATGCCCGTCCGTACAATTGTGGTGAGCTATAGAGTAATACGGTCATGAGCAAGAATTGCGTTGATGGTATGGATGTGGCTACTTCCAGTGGGCTTGTTATGTGATGTGCGATCATGACTTGTATGATTCTGAGGGGGTAGTGCTTTGAAAAGGTGATGGATTTTACCCAGATACCAATACGGCCTACCAGTAGTGTACTAGGTAGGCAGAGGTGTGCCCAAGGATGGTCCTCTGGTATAAGTACAACATTTGTAGCGGTTAAATGTCGAGCATCAGGTTTACATGCCTAGGGTTAGTAGGTTGGTGGATATAAACAAAGCGACGTAAAGACCGTTACAGGTTCCGACTCTCCAATCTGATTCAATCTACCTATTCGGCGGTAAAGGATGTAAAATGCCTAGAGATGCCACAAGCGGCCCAACGAAGTTACTGGGAAAGCAATGTGACTCCTGCTTACTTTCCAAGGACCCGGTCATATGATGATGGCAACCGCCGGACGTGTTTTCCACATCGTACGTTGCCGAATAGAAAGATGGCTCGAGACTTACCTGGTTTGGCCACTCAGGATACGATGGGTTATGTGACATGAAAGGGCTTGAATAAACATAATGCTGCGAACATCATGCTAGTTAGAAGTAGGTGGTTGTCCGTTGTGATGTTGTCGGCATAACCGATTTTGACCGAGTACATACGGACGTACATCCGGACATAGATACATACATGTAAGAAGTAATAGTTATTTTTAGGGGAGGGGGGGCGAGGCTGGGGACGCCCCTTATTTCGGCCGCCCCTGGTTGTTACTCTGAGCTAGCCAATGATTATGCCTTTATGCTGTGTATCAATGTTGCGTATAGTTCTAGAAGCATTGCAAAACTGACTGCCTACATAGATAGATAGATGGTAAGGCTGTATCATGCAATTAATGGATCACGACGTGTTGCGCCGTACACTACTGTACATGCCTGGCTGGGTACGTGATCTGGTGATCTGCGAGTGGCACCTCCAACGTAAGTAAATCCCCGGTTCGCTGATCCCATCTGGACGTGCCCGAGCATGACGATGGCATTATGGGCATTGTGGGATTATTCCTTCGACTTGGAAAAATAACTAGAGCTTGGATTCCAACGCTTGGGGCCAGCGTAGCATGTAGTGTATGTATCTATGTAGTATTCGGTAAGATTCCAACATTGAAGTTGCAACCATCGTCACTTTCTCCCATGTAGTACCTAGGGTAGGTAGTTAATATGTTATACAGACCTAGGTATAGCATAACTATGCATGATGTAGTATTCGTAATTAACCGAAGAGATTCTACATAGTGTAGTGTAGGCAATATAAATATAGAAACTGGATAAAGAAATTGTGAAGTGGTCATTCCGAGTCAATCATATGCGTTATGCCCTTCTCCCTGCCAATTCCCACGTTTTTAATCCCTGCTGAATACTACCTTGATCGGGATTGATTGCATTAGCCGTAAATAATGCCTTTCATCTACGGCCGGTAAGATATATTGCCGTAGACAAAAAGTGGCTTTGCGCTTTGCTCTTTGCCCTTTTTCTTCGTCCTTTTTTATCCGGTGATATTTTCGGGGGTTTTTTTTGTTAAGCTAGAGGTTAATTAGGTATAATGAAGTTAATATAGTACGTCAATGGTGTTAATTGTGGCGATCCATATACATATGTAACTAACTATACATTAAGTACTTTTGTATAAGTAGTTAGTTACTTTTGTACAATAAAATCAAACAAAAGAATTGAGGAAATGAATTGAGGAAAAGAATTGAGCAAACTGGAAGAAAATGCGCTGGTTAGTTAGTGGGACCTGTGCATAGTCTCTTACGGTAGCGTGCCCAGGTGTTATCTGATTAGCCCAGTTAGACGCGACATTGGACAAGTTTCGTCAGTTTTGTGGCGTCTGAAACATTCTTGATGCATGCCACACCCACACTCCTTCGAGCCTCCCTCCTTTCTTTGCTTGTCATCGTCTCATGTTTTCTTCCTTCCTATTTCCCAATTACTAGGTATTTACTAGTGTAGGTATTTACTAGGTACCTAGTATAATGTTTCAATATACTAGTCGCTTTTAGGTATTATTCCAGAATTATTCTCTTCATTTTTTGTGGTTTTGCATAGTACATACTACATAGTACATACTACACAGTTAGTACTTCTTTTATTTTCACTTCTTTTTATTCCTTGCATCCAATGTTCCATGCATTCCAACTAAACCCCAAAACTGACTAAACTAAATAAACCCAGTCAACAAACCAGCCCAAACCCTACAAGGCCACGTTCCCAACCCTCGTCTCCTCGTGTTCGCCCACACCGACCCCGACTTAAACCATTACATATATCACCCCCCTCCCCTTCCCCGTCTCCCTATATTGCTCACCTGCTCACCATGGACTCAACTTCTACTACCGCGAAGAATTCAAACCCAACCCCCGCTCAGGAAGAATTCCAAAACTTCCTCGATAAAAACACAGATAACGGCCCACGCGTACATCCCGACGATCGAGAACACGCTCGTCAAGAGGCTGAAAACTCGGACCAAGACGAAGGTGAAGACGAAGAAGACCGCTACCGCAACAGTCAGATAGACGCAGCTATGCGCGCTCCCACCTTGACAGGCGATGTGAAGCTGCCCCCGGCAACCTTCGACTCCGGTCGTAGTACCGGTGTTAAAGGCGTCATTGCCGACGCTCGCTCCTATGAGCTGGCCCGCCAAAACAAGTGGCGGACTAGGGTCCGTGCTGCTCGCAAATCTGTCTTCGGCAAAAACGACGTAATGAAGACCCCACGTTCCCATAACAGTGGAAGTGACGAGGATGGAGACGAGGACGAGGACGCGTTTCTACAACAATGGAGGGAGTCACGAAGGCAGGAGCTTGAGAAAGAGGCCAAAACTGGTTTTCATAACCGGAGAACGAGCCCAAGCCTAAGAATGTTTGGACACTTCGATACCGTAGATGCTTTGGGGTATTTGGATGCCATCGAGAAAGTGGGCAGAGAGTCGATTGTCGTCGTGTTTGTTTATGACCCCGAGGTTGGTTGAGTCCCTCGCACAAATAGCTAACTCTAACATGAACTGCGTGCTAATGGGAACACAGTCTGAAGTATCGAACCTGGTCGAAGCGGCGTTGAAACCATTGGTCACTGCGAACCCTTACATTCACTTTGTCAAGGTTCACTACGAAGACATCGAGTTCGACAATGCTGCCGTACCTACCATATTAGCGTATCGGAACCAAGGTGACCTGTTCGCAAACATGACAGGGATCATCGACATGATACCCGAAGACGAGGACTTTGACAGCGACTCGTTGCGGAGGATATTCGAACAGAATCGTGTGCTATAAGTCATATTTGAAATACCTCGGAAATTATACTTGCATCCACTAGCCTTGCCGAACGGCTATGCGAGAGCTATTTCTACCACGGCGTACTATCTAAGCCCTTATTAAACTTGTTGGAATACACAACGCAAAATCGATACCCCCCGGCAACTCTATTGTCCCCCACTTTCTCTAAAAGGGGAAACACCATAAAGTTGTTGACTAGTCCACGTTGTTGACTAGTCCACGTTGTTGCGTGGCCTGCCAACCGGACCAGACCATTTAAGGGTCACCAGATTTTGCATGGTCAGAATAGTACATACGTCAAGGGTCATCTGGCTCATGTTTAGACAGACGATGGGGGGTTTGATTGAGGCAATGACGGTAATGATGGAGACGAGCAAGATGCGTACGATTGATGTCATTGCCTGGGAGGGTTGGCTAGAAATGCAAGACGGCTGGCTTCATGATGATATCCCGTCAAAATAATACTGGTGTTTAGGAGTTATCATACGCATAGGCGGCATAAAGACCGTCTGGGATAAGGGGTTTGTTTCTCGTAGGCATTAAGATATCCCAAACGCCAATGCATGGAATGGAATGACTACCGATAAAGCATATTTGGGGGCCTTGATCTTGACTGTTTTGGGTTGATTACATGGTTGTTAATACCCTAGGTATGTAGTGCATATAGCTACTGTTTACCTATATATACACGGATGCTGTCGCTCGTATATTTGTCCTGTCGTCCTAAGATGCCCTAAGATGTCAGCTATATGCGAATCAGTCTACCCTAGGTACATATCATATCTTAGTACCTATGTAACTAGTTTTGATACATATGTACATAGCCTAGGGTTGTCAAGGATAGATATCGTCAATGATGACTACATCTATGTAGGTTAGTAGTTGTGTAGGATTAGTGCCCAACATCAAAATCGCGAGGCTACCGCTGGCAGAGATATGTACCTACTACATTGTACATGGGTAAACACCGGTACCTCAAAGCTGTACCTACATGTACATGTAGTACTAGGTACATAATAACTTACCTAGTATGAATATGTACATTCATTCATGTACATCAATATCACCAAACCCCCACCATTCTCCATCCTTCTTCAACTATGGATTCAAGGTGCACCACCCACACTAGGTAGCTAACACTAGGGCTGTTAGGTACATGTTTAGTACAGACTCCACCTCTTATCAGCCCCTCTCTACTAGGTACCTATCAACCCCCGATTCGCACATGACCATGATGACCTTACGGCGTAGTAGATGTCTAACCTAGATGTCTTGGACCATCAATGTTGAATCCGCGAACTTGAACATACACAACATACACAAATAATACATGTACATGGTTTTGCGGCCTAAAAAGAAGGGGAAATAAGCATCGAGTACGATGTATGTGGGAATTCTTGTTGGTCCCAAATTCTTGGGTCAATGAACAGATAGATGGGTAAGGGAATCTACACTTAGGTACTTTGTATATATAAAATGAAAGCATTAGCTGCAGATCTATTCCACATAGATTCCACATAGATTCCACATAGATTCCACATAGTTGAACGTCTACTCGCCTTACGTACATCCCACATTGCCTGGTGACCTACCTAATGTAAGTGCGCAGGTGCACAGGTGCACAGGTGCGTAGGTGCGTAGGTGCGTAAAGTACGAAATAGAGGGACAACCTTGGTAAAAGGTATGAATCTAACAGTCTATAGGAAGTGGCAGTCACGGCTATGAATCTTGGAAACCAATCCTTGGGCTTCACTTCGTCAGGTGCACAGTATGCATATCTAGTACTACTACCTACTAATGTAGGGTATGTATTTAAGTGCAGGTCCGATACAGTGTATTTAGTGGTTATATCAAACATGGGAATCATTAAATTGGATGTAGTTAAATCAATAGCTGCGACTACATCAATACAATAACTACAGTACCTACCCTCCTACCTACTTAAACTCTAAAACTCCATACCCCGCCCCCTCCATGTCTATCCGCGCGCGCCGCCATACGTAAGATAAATTGAGTAAGTTTAAGGCGGCTTTACAACTTACATCTGCCTGCCTACTTACCTACCTACCTACATACGTGCCTGCTTGCCTGCTTGCCTGCTTGCTTGCATAGTATGTAGTCGGCTAGCACATAGTAGCAATACCTAAGGCAAAGCAAAGCACTAGCTTAAGGTAAAGTTACCTCCAGGGCTATCTACCTTAGTGACCTTACTTACCTACCTTACCCATTATCCATCACTCATCATCACCCATCATCAACCATCTATCCATTCATTTCATTTATTTATTCATCCATCCATCCATCCAGCCAGCCAGCCAGCCAACCAACCATCTAACCATTTAACAATCATACCCATCATTTTTCATCATACCTTCTTACTACCTTCATATTTCCTCCAGTCATCTCATCCATCTGTCTTGTCTCTTCCTCACGATTTCCGCAGTCCTGCAAGGATCGCAAGGATCGCAAGGCAGCGCCAACCCGCCGCCAACGGAACCCTCTTGATGAGCTTTGCAACGTACGTGCGTATCTCATATATTGTCTCTTCTCGACTTGCCTACCTACCGCCTACCTTGAGGCTTGGGCCTACATACACTCTTTCCCTTGTCCTCTTTTCCCATCACATCACTCACAGTAGCCTGCCTAGCCTTCCCTTTTCCACATGCAACTATTCTAGCAGCCTAGAGATCTTGTAATAGGTAAGATAGAATACAGCACACATATTTGTCCCTTCACATCTTGATTTGCCTTCCTATGTCTCGCCTCGGTTTACCTTGCCTGGCCTGTCCCGGGCCCAGAACTTGACATGTTCAGGTTCTAATCAGGCCAGTTTAGATTCATTCTACCTATCATACCCCACGCTCCATTTTGGTTGTCTTATTGATTTACCAGGGAAAAAAAGGAAGAAGAAAATAGAAACCCCAAAACCAGAATCCTCCCCAAGTGATAACCGAAGAGCATCCTAAGAATCAGGGATTACAAGCGAGGCTCGCTGACGTTTCTTCGCACCTCTAGGTATCTGAACATTTCCGTACTCTCATCTTGTTTATTATATACCACTTGGGCAACCCAACTTATACCTCCTTAGCGTAGTGGTGTTGTCTGGTACGGATATTTGCGTATCCCTACTTCCTCACTGAAACCCGCAGCATACATCTTGTTTGCCTGCTCCTAGCCTGCTTGCATTCTGTCGTCCTCGCCTCGGTTTACCATATTACTACGGTAAACTTGAGGTATGACGTGATTTGGCAGAAGGGCATCTTACTTTACCACGTAATGGAACAGCCCGACCTCTCGATATCTACCGATATTCCGACAGCTGTTCCCCGTCAATCCACCGAATCTCCCACTGATAGTACCTCGGCCGAGTCAAGTCGATCCCACAGCTTCGACCATCTTGCCCATTCCGTTCCATCTCTCCGATTTCCCCGCCCGTTAGGCAACCGACAACTCACCAACTGGGTTTCTACCAGTTCGCCCGACATTATGCAACCAGAAACCCTCCTCGACGACGAGCCTAGCCTCGCCGAGCTAGGTTACGACGTCATCGGCACTGATGGGGAGAGTCAGGCCGAGTCCATTGCTAGCTCTTTTGACTATCAAAAGCCTGACGATGTTCAGAGCCTAGCCGGCACCGATACTGGAACCGATGTTGATGTTAACGAAGTCGATACTGAATCATCCGATGACGAAGAGGAAGAAGAGGCACCCACGCTAGCTAACACAGCTGAGAGCCCGAGCATCAGTAGCACACTCGTCGAGCGTGGCGATACAACCGATAACGAAGACATCGACGTTGACACTCTTTTAAATCGGAGTCTTGAGAATCCTACAGACTTTTCTCAACATGGTCTCCCGTCATTGATGTTCATGGGGCAAAAAGACCTAGGCCATACTAAGGAGTTCCTCACACAAAGACAGAAACTGCCCTCTCAAGATGTAAATCTAGGCAAAGGGGACACTGCCCTGAAACGGAATAGGTTTGCGTACTACAACTCGGAGAGCTATCGTCTGGCGCTCAGATATGCCCGAGGAAGTCGCCGCGTTTTGATAGTTCTGTCTGGCCTCGCCATTCTGTACAGTCTTGCTATCGCCGGCAAGCACTTACTATTCACTCCACCAACCCCAAAGGTCTTATCTACCGTTCCAGTGGCGTCAGTCTCTTCTGCTGCGGTTCCCTCTTCTGTCCGACAAATCGTTCCCAGTTCTGCGTCCACCCCAACCATGACGAGCTCCAATACACAAAAAGCTCTACAAACCGGTACCTCGCCGAGCAGCCTTAGCTTCATAGCGTTTGGAAAAGACAAATCACAAGCAGGCCTAGCCAGCCAACCACAGCAACAAAGTATCTGCTCGGCAGAGCTATATGATCGCAATGAGATCATGGTAAAGATTCCCCAAACCCATAAGTCCACCTGGCTTGCGAGGGATGCCATCCTGATCGCAGTTAGTCGGGGCCTTTACGACATCCCGACCAAGGTATCCTTAGTAGAGGAGGGCTTCTTAATTGAAGTGCCACTGGAAGAGGCACACGATGTCCTAGCCGTATCTATTGCGACGACTTCTCGACCCAAGATTAAGGAAACATTCCACGTTGACTTCGGCAGGAACAAGTTTATAGGAGCCCTAGATGCTGGCAAGCAACTTGTAAAGGGCTTTGCACAAAGGCTTGTCGACACCGTCAATGAGACAACGGCATGGGTTGAAGAGACCTACATTCCGGCTTTAGACGTCATGTCGAAACAAGTTTGTAGCCAGACTTCTTCCGTCTCCGACTCCCTCATCCAGGGGCTCAGAGAGGTGGGAAAGGCGGCCCTCGTGCACCCGACTCGACTTACAAACCAGGTTTTGGCTCGTGTCAAGGAATCATTTGATAGCGACGATCTAGCACGACGCCAACAAGAAGCCCAAGTTCAGCTCGGGCGTGGCGCCCAGAACGTACGTGACGATCTCGCCCTACGTTATCTCTCTGCGCAACTTAGATCTAAGCTCTTGTGGTTGCGACTTCAAGGGAAAACTGAGGAGTATGAACGTTATCTTTCAAAGGCCGAGGCTTACTTGAAAGACCGAACAGAGGATGCAGAGATGGCTAAACACGAAAGAGCCAAACCTATCAAGGGGCAGGCACGATCTAAACGAAATCAGGAGCATAGCGAAACGAGAAGATCCCTCTGGAGCAAAGCAAAGAGGGCGCCTCGGGCATAATCTGATTCTTCTGAGCACTTTATATTACATGGTTGGCTCAGGCGAACTGAGGGACGGCGGCGTTGGGCTTTAGTGATGTAATTGTCTTTGCTAATTATTACGTTCCTGTTTCTACCATTCTAACACCAATGCAGAGCGAGGAAATCTCCCATATCCATCCATATTCTCCTTTTACCTCCCCTCCCAGTCACTCTGCTTTGGTTGCTGCGAATGTGCTCGAGGACAAATGACCAGGGTTACGATGTGGCATCTTATTTTCTCTCCTTTTTTTTTCTACTCAGTCGAGTACTAGGGGCTGTAAAGGATTGTCAGGGGTCGGACAGAAGGGATATTCCCACATGTTCTTATATTCCATCCGATTCAGCATTGGTGTTGGGTGGTAGTCACCCCGGGGGGCGTTAAACAGCTCATGTTAGTGAAGGTTATATCACGTGGATAGTGGACTCTGGGATTGAGGGCTATTACGGTTGGCTTTGCATCAATCTGCAAAGGAGGGAAATGCTGATTAGACGCAGAGGAATCCCTACATAGATCATTGAGAAGATGTCGGATAATGCAGTGACTTCATGCTTGCACCTCTTTGGTCCCCCTTAATGAGATGAAGTGACAATCTCGGGGATGTCTTTATAATGTTACAAGAGTGTATACTTAGTGATCAGCTGTTGCCTATTACCTGCTATACCTAGTATCCTTTACCTAGGTCCCTGGAAAGTACTGTAATAGTAGTATGGCATTTAGGTGAAAACCTGTGATTAGATGGGCTACCACAAATGACAGATGTACTTGGGTACTACCTTAAGTTGCCGAGGGGTCCTTAGAGGGGTCCTTAGCGTGAAGTGGGGTTACTTCGAGTTGCTCCGTGCACTTGCTGCCCGACTTGGAACGTGGGAATAGTATATGTATTTGCGACTTCAATGTTCTTTCCATCAATTGTATACTTTAAGTACATACATAGTAGATGGTATTATGTACAGTATGTACAGTATGTACAGTATGTACTGTGAGAGGGGAGGGGAGGAGGGGAAGGGAAGGGAAAAAGAGAAAAGGAAAGAAAAAGAAAAGAAGAGAGCAAGGAGGGGCGAGCGAGGGGCAATTCTTTGATTGGGTTCCCCTCCTCCCCACTACCCACTACCACCCTTTCGTTTGTCTTGTGATTACCTACCTTAGATAGTGTACGCTACATATGTACTACGTAGTTAGTTGTTACTGAACATAGCAGCTACATATTACGGTAGGTAGTACTAAGTAGTGGTACTAGGTATGCAATACTAAGGTTAGGTATGTGGAAGAACTAAAATGTTATCGCAATCACAGTTATTTCAGTTTATTTCAGTTATTTCAACCTACTATGTAAAATACCCTAACTACTACATCTAATAAATAAACAACATAAACACAGACAGGCTGCTTGCTTACCACTTTAAAATCCTATCCTATCCAATCTTTTTTGTGTTGTACATACGCTTCAACTGATCGGTACGTGTGGTCTACTACATATATCCTATACATCACTATCTGCCTACGAGGTACACATGTTCAATTAGTTCCCAAGCTTTTTTTTTTTTTCAATTTTCAATTTACAGATCTATCTGGGTAAGGTGCCTTTTGTTCTATACCCTCGCGTTGCGTTTTGGGGTCACCTATCATATGTATGTATATATGATGAAGATGGCAAAGGTGTATGTACCAACATCCTACCTGCCTACCTACCTACCTACCTACCTACTTAGTGACTAGGTATAGTACATACAGGCAGTAGGTTAGGATGTTGTTGTTATTCCATGTTATTGTTGGTGTGGCGGCGAGAGTTTTTATTATTTTTTTTTAAACTGACATTTTTTTCTTGCTCTTGTGTACCTTTTTATTTTAATTAATGCGTACGGCCTAAGGTACACACAGTATATACTAGGTCAAGTGCCTGGCTGCCTGTTTACCTGGAGTCCTGGACAGTCTGGACTACCCATATGTACCTCCTACCTTCTTTCTACCTTGCCTTACCTAAGTTACCTTGCTTCATTTTTATCCAACCTTGACCTACCCACCCCTACCTTACTTACTTCACACTTACCACCTTACTATTTTACTACCCTACTTCCTACATCTCCTTGCAACTCTACAACCTGACCAATTTCGAATCGCAAGGTATCGCTTTTTATACTCTATTTTTCATCGTTCCTCGGCGCGAAACCCAATTTCGAAAGTGATTGCCTGACAACGTTCCTTTTTCTTACATTATTGCTTCGCAGTATTCGACATGTCGTCTACCGAAAACACCGACCCCAAGGTCGAGGGAACCAAGCCCGCTGAGATGGCCGAGAACAAGCCCATTACCTCTGCGCCTGTCTTCTCCATGTTTGGTGGTGGCGCAAAGAAACAGAAGGATACAGATGAAGATCGCGGCGATGTCTCCGGTAGCGCCAAATCCCAGCGCGAGGCCGCCGCTGCTGCTAAAGGTGATGAGGAGGTGCGTCAATATTTTACTCATCTCTCTTTGCCCACATTTCCCCTTCCTCATCGTTACAATGTGCGCTAACACCATGAATTCATACAGGAGGCCCCTCCCGATTCAGAGGATGTCCATTTCGAGCCCATCGTTAAACTCACTGAGAAGGTCAAGACTGTGACACACGAAGAGTCTGAGGAAGAGACATTCAACATGCGATGCAAGATGTTCAAGTTCACGCAAGACGCCGATGGAAATGGCGAGTGGAAGGAGCGTGGCACTGGCCCTCTTCGTCTACTCAAGCACAAGGAGAACGGCAAGACTCGCCTAGTAATGCGACGAGACAAGACCCTCAAAGTTTGCGCAAATCACTACAGTAAGGCCGCCTTGGAATTTTGTTCATGACGGGCCAAGAACTAACATAACTACCCAGTCACCCCTGACATGACGATTGCTCCCATGTCTACTAGCGACCGAGCCTGGCTTTGGAACGTCGGCGCTGATGTGAGCGAAGGCGAACCCGAGGCCATCACCGTGTCCGTTCGTGTCGCAAATGCTGAGAGTAAGTGATGATCCTTGATACTGTTGTTTGCAAAAACTTGTACCCCGAGCTAATCTATTCTTCTTCTATAGACGCCCAGCTCTTCAAGGAAGCCTGGCTCAAGGCCCAAAAACAGAACGAGATCTTGTTTGCCCAAGCCGAGGCTGCGGCTGAGGCTAAAGCTGAGGAGGGCAAGGGAGCTGAGTCGGAGTCTAAGACGGAGGAGAAGAAGGAGGAGGCAGCACCTGCGGCCTCATCGTAATTAGGCGGTGTCTATTTACGATGTCGATCGTGTTGAATTCCAAACCTATTGTGGTATCTTTGGAATCCCAATCATCACAACCCCTATTTCCCTTGCACTCTACTGGTGAGCCGTTCATGGGAATACGCTGTGGTGAAGGGTTTGGAAACACGGGTATACCTATTCCAAGTAATCCGGCGGAGCAGTGATGGACGATAATTATGACGATAGGAGAAGACAGAGAAGGAGAAGGAGACGAAAGAGACATTTAGATGGTCCAAGGGTGAATGGAGCACTAGTCCCCCCCCCCATAGTCACGGCATTTTGTCCCTTGCGATACACTTCACGATGAATAACAAACCCGATCCCCCCCCCAGTAGAATGTACTTGACAAGGTGTACAGTTGTAAGAGCTGTTTGTATGTCTTGAATTAGGTCTTTTCTGAAATGAATTCCAAACTGAAGACAGCCAATATTCCTGTCTACATATGTACCTACATATGTAGTAGACTTAAGTATTTTGTACTTTATACCTACCTAGGTACATAGGTACATACATGCCGTCAATATGTGAATGTGCTTATCCTTAAATGGGTGCATATGGCACGTGATTTCGCGAAAAGCAGGAGTAGGTTAAGAGGCTGTTTGGGAGCATAAGTTTTGCTTATACTTATGGTCCGTGACACTTTAGTACATAAGTATGCTGAAGTGCGTTTTGATTGTGGGGGTTTTCTCCACTAAAACCACGACCAATCAACGCATTTCTCGATGTCGATAAGTATTGAGATGTTTGTGTGTGTTATTTATGAAGAGCAACACTAAATCCGCAGTAGGAGTACATGCATTTCGTCCGCAGTACTACCTGGTCTCCCATACAAACTTAGGTGCGCGCACAAGTACCTCTGCCACAGCCAATTCAACGGCACTTCCAACCCACTCCAGCCCATCCAAACAATTTTTCAAAAATCCCCAAAGACAGTCATCTTTGTCGCCTCGACGAGACGGATTGATTGATATATGTTTCAGATCTCAAAAAATTCAATTGATCGAGACATTGATTGATCTTTGATTGATCTCTTCGGGCCCTACTGTGTCTTGTCCTGGTAAGGGAGGTGGTCCATGCGCGGTACCGGTCGCAACTTCAACCTTGAATAACTCTTGCAATAGAGCAGCTGCGATCGTGCAACTGGGATCAATTTGCTCCTTGAATTGAGCTCTTCAAATTGATACCTTCAACTGAAGAGTTGAAGATGGTTTGGATGGGTTGCAATTGATTGACAGCTTGGTGTGTACTGGAGCCGCCGGAGCTGCGCTACTAGCGCCATACTGCGGACAAAAAGCTAAGTACTCCTACTGCGGATTTAGTGTTGCTCTTTATGAATTTGAGCTGGACTGTAGCTACCTATTGTCCAGGCGTTAACAGGAGGTACGATGGGTCAAACCTAAATTTGCTGTACGGCCATGTACCTGTTGATATTCCACAGATGCTACCTTTTTTAAGCTTTGCAATTGAATAATTTCTTCAATACTATCTCAAATCAATTGATCAGGGCCCTATTTGAATCGCATTAATTGACTGATTAAGAATATCACTTTGCAGCGTTTCAATTGACCCGGTGCGGGTGATATTTGAGGTTGAAGACCGGGAGCAGTAGTAGCCGCCGCTGTGTGTTAAGCTTAGGGCGTCCACGTGACCCCCTTTGGAGCTGCCACGCCGCTACATCGGGCTTTAGAGCCTTTCAGGGCTATTCGTATATTTTAAGGCCCCTGTGGCCCCTGTGGCCCCTCTGTAAGTAAGGACATAAGTAGAAATAAGCATCCAAATAGCTGCTCATGAAAAGGCAATAAGCATAAGCTATTTCAAGAAAGATGATTGGATAAAAAAAAAAGTATTATGGTTCGATCCACAAGCAGAATTATAGTGGGTTTCAGAATAATTATACCTCACAAACACTTTACTTATCCTTTTGCTGAAAACCCACTAATTCCCCATAAGTCTTTTTTTACTTATGCTCCCAAACAGCCTCTAATAAAGTTAGATAGAAAGATAAGTTTAGATAGTGATATGATTTCGTATCTAACGCGTTCGCATCGCAAATCAAACTGTCAGCCCAGCAAGTAAAGCCGATCATGATCACATAATAAATCGATTAATATTTTTATTCTTCGATGAGTAAATAACTATCCTATATAGGTACCTAGTAAATACCTACGAACCATGGCACGCAAAAGAAAACAGAAGCGCCAAACTCGGCTTACTTTTGAGCCTGTTCCGTCTTCAAATGCTGCAAATGCTGCAAATGCTGCAAATGATTCTCCGTCGTCGCCTACAAAGGTGCGATACATCAAGGGCAATGACAAGAACAGTGGCGATGGCATAAAACTCAGCAGCCCAATTCGGACCCTACAACCTACAAAAAAGTCACACATCACAAGTAAGTTCTTGTGTTTGCCCCTTTTCCCCTTCCCTTTTTTCACTTCTATTAAGTATTTCTTAAACGTTATAGCCTACAGCTATCCGTCCAATAGACTAACACTTGTGCAGGATCATCTCAAGATGCATCGTCGTCTTTATCATCATCAGCCGGGCTACCCAAGGCCAAATCCATGTCAAGGCTGCGTAGCTCCCAGCGCCTTGCTGTAGCTAACGATTCCTCCGATGATGTGGCAATAGTTGAGCCTCCAAAGTCGTCTCAGTCAGTCTCCACTAGACTCAAGCACACAAGCCTCGGTGTGGACGACGATGATGATGAAGACGATGACGAGCCTGTCTTGCCTTCCTCTACCCGGAAACGGCGTCGTCCTGTAGTGAGATTGTCAGCCAGTTCTGAGGATGACGATGATAAACCTATCATCGCTCTTAGTTCAATGAAGCGTGCTCGCCCAGCGATGGTGATCCTCGAAGATTCAAGCGAGGAAGATGTTTCTCCCACGAAGAAAAGGAAGACATCACACCTTACACCAGAACGACAACGACTGGAGAGACCAACTCAACCGATCTCTTCCCCCGTAAAGCAAGCCCCCCACAAAGGTCACCGCTCCAAGAAGGAGAAGATGAAAGAATTACTTCGTCGTCGTCGAGCAGGCGAAAAGGTCAGCAAACTTACTTCGTCAGAGGAAGAATCCGATGAAGACAAACGAGGATTATACGATACAGATCCTGAGGAGGATATGTGCTTCCTGAAAGAGTTTGATGATGAAGAGACAGAGAATGGAGAAGAAATTCAGCAGTTGCCACAAGAGGACGAGTCTAAGAATAAAAAGGAGAGAAAGGACAAGAAAAAGGATAAGCAGGATGAGAATAATGAGAAGAAGAAAAGGAGAGAGAAGAAGGACCAAAAAGGATCCGATGAACAAGACTCGAACGAGAAAGGAGATGAGGAGGAGGATCTAGATGATTTTGTGGTTGAAGACGATGACACTACTCTTCTAGGGGCTCCGGCCAACCTCGATCTACCTCTCGAGTTCACTGCACAAGCGCACCAACCTCTTAGGTACCAGTTCAAGCTGATGGTTGAGTGGCTGGTGCAGAACAAAATTAACCCCGCCTTTGCTCGGGACGACCCTGTCTATCAGAACGCCTGGCGTAAACTCGACGACGAGTTCAGAGCCCTGGCGTCGTCCAAGTTTTCCTCCTCTGCTTGGAAGATGGAGTTCCACCGCGCACTGAATGCCAGACCCATCTTGGACTCCTATGAGATGGATGATGTGGGCGACCATGGAGCGACCGATGAAGGCACGTGCGAAGCCTGCGGTCGACGCGGCCATGTCGCTAGCTGTGTCATCATCTTCTCGGGCCACGCTTACCACAAGGACAAGCTTACGGAAGTCGAGTCAGAAGACAGCGACAGCCAAGACAGCGACAGCGAAGAGAGCGACCGCAAGTCTTATGACGCGCAGGGAAACCCCCTCCCGCCCCAGAGCAAGCGCTGGTATGTTGGAGTCGTGTGCTGCGAAAATGCCAAGATAGCACACAGTCTGATTCACTGGAAATACGCCCAAAAGCAGGAGGTCGAGGAGCGCCTCGTGCACGAGGGCTGGATGGAGGTGTCGAAGCTGAGGGAGCGCGAGGACATGAAACTTCACAAACGTCGCAAGGTGGCCGAACGTATTGTGGATGGCTGGTGGGAGGATGGCAGCATCGCCAGGATGTACGGCGAGTTCAAGAAGATGCTGGAGGAGGCACGCAATAGGGCAACTTCGAGCCGTGCTCGCTTCCGCTAGGCGCGGTAATCGGGAGACACGGCTATATCGCATTGTCACCACCTATTTATTCACTGCCGAACTCTAGAGGTTTATTGTTTCTCTCCCCTCTGCAAATGATACCCCTGAGGCAAGTTGTATACAATACGTATCTAAGTAAGTAGGTATGATGAATCCAGACGATTATTATAACAAAACCAACCCATGGCGAATCGTGCAAGTCTTTGCAAGGTGTCAGGACTGCGTGCGTAGCTGGAGCTGTGTACTATAAGAATAGGTTTGATACTTTCTCTATGTGAGGTTCATGGTCTATACTACTAGGGAAGAAAGAAAGAAAAGGGGGGAGGAGACCGCTTGTTAAGGAGTTGAAAACAATGGTATTGCAAACCTCAGTATTAGGATCACGAAGTAATGAACAAACCCAAGCAAAAGGGGTTCGAGATTTTAGACGACTTAGTTAGCTACTACCTAACACGATTCACTTTTCCATACCTAGCATTTAACTCATCCATCCATCCATCCATCCATCCCCGCCCCATCCGGCCTATAAGTTTTCTTCTTGGGAACATCATCCTCGTTCGCCTGATACGTGACTCTATGTTGTTTGGTTTTCGTTCATCTTATCTAATTGCTTTCGCCGTCTTCACAAATTCCCGTATCCTCTCTAGACTCTGCTGACCGTCCTCACTCTCGACCCCACTGCTTACATCTACTCCTAGAATCCTACTTCCCTCTTCGCCAGCCGCCTTGACAACCTCGGTCACATTGTTCGGGGTCAGACCACCAGCGAGCAGAATTCGCAACTCTTCATCCTTAGCTAGTGCAGCTTTGACATCAACTGCGTCTAGGACCTGGCCCGATCCGGAACCTGAGTCGAAGAGGGGAGCAGCGTGGTACCCCCGGGCCCCGATACCAGGCTCGCCAGGTGCGAAGCGCCGTAGCACGGGAACGGGGATGGCGCGGGCCCATTCTACGGGCTCGCGACCGTGAAGCTGCACGATGTCGAGGTCGTAGCGCGCACGAAGCGCAAGTATCTCATCGAGTGACTGGTTTTGAAAGACACCGACCAGGAGGGGGCGCGTGTGGTCGTGAGAGGCCAGTTTGCGAGCCGCCGAGGCGAAGAAGTCGCTCGCGGAATTGTTAGGTATGGCAGCGGGTGATGCGGACGCGGGTCGGGAGAAGGAGTGGACTGCCTTGGAAATGGCTTTGGCAGCATCGTCAATCACAGTGCGTTTCCGTCCCGGGACGAGGATCATGCCGATCAAGTCCGCGCCGGCCTCGGCAGCCGCGATCGCGGCTTCGGGGGTACGGGTCCCGCAGATCTTTACGAGTAAAGGTCCGGGCTTGGGCTTGAGTTCGGTGGCTGTGGTGCGACCTGCGCATAATTGTTGGATAAATTGCGAGGCGTTGGGAGCTCGCATGATGGCTTCCCCTACTAGGATGGCATTGACGCCATCCTTATGGTTGGCTACAACGTCGTCATGGGTGTTGATACCGCTTAGCGCACATATGATAGTCTCCTTGGGAACTAGGCTACGCAACCTGCTCGTGGTACTAAGGTCAACCTCAAAAGATTCTAGGTTTCGATTGTTCACCCCGATAGCCTTGGAGCCAAGCTTAACGGCCGTCGCCATCTCTTCCGCATTCTGGACCTCGACTAGAGGCTCCATACCTAGGGAAAGCGAATAGTGGTATAAGCGTGTGAGCAGGTCTACATCTAGCATCTTTACGATGAGGAGCACCGTGTCGGCACCCGCAAGCCGCGCTTCCAAAATCTGATACTCCTCGAAGATGAATTCTTTCCGTAGCACGGCTGGTCGGTTGGGCATGCTGTCTAACACTTGCCGCACAGCGCGGAGGTCTTCGATGCTACCTTTGAACCAATCGGGTTCTGTGAGAACGGAAATGACGCTGGCGCCTGCGAGCGCATATTTCTTGGCTTGCGACGGAGCGTCTATGTCGAGGGCAAATATACCCTTTGACGGGGAGCCACGCTTGATTTCGGCCATTAAGGATATATCAAAGGGGCTCTGCCGCAGGCGATCCACGAATGAGATTAGGGGCGGCGCAGCGTTGAGTTGATAAGCAGCTTCGAGATCTCGCGGACGATGGGATGGGATCTCTTTCTGGGCCGCTACAGCTTCTTTTCGACGGACGTATATTTGCTGTAGGATGTTATTCTTTTTCGGGGCCGACAATGATGACGGATGGCCGACGCCGTTCTTCACGTCGTCGGCGCGCGCCTCCTTGTACAACTGCTCGTTCTCCGCCCAAGTACCCCCTTGCATATGCAGGAAGTTCTTGATCATGACTCGGCCATCGGCAGACAGGATACTCTCGGGATGGAATTGGACGCCCTCGACAGTGTACTGCTTGTGGCGCACGCCCATGATGACGCCCTTGGAACCATCATCTTTAGGTATCCAGGAGGTGACCTCGAGGGATTCGGGCAAAGTCACATGAGTGCCTGCCAGTGAGTGGTACCTAGTGACGGGGAGGCCCTGAGCCATACCGGCATAGACGCCTTTAGAGTCATGAGCTAATGGCGAGGTCTTTCCATGGAGGATCTCGCCGGCAGACTTCACGTCGCCGCCGTATACATCAAAAATGCATTGTCTGGATATGGAATTAGGTGGCGAGTATGAGATGCAGAATGGGATGCGACTTACTGGCCCATGCAAACACCAAGTATGGGGACCTTTCCTGCAAAGTATTTGATAGCATCGCGGCTAATACCCGAGTCTGTGATGGGGTGACCCGGACCGGGGCTGATGACTAGCTGGGTCGGGTTCTTGGCGATTAACTCGTTGAGGGTGATCTGGTCGTTCCGGTAGACGGTAACAGCGGCACCCTCTAGGACAAGGTATTGGTATACATTCCAGGTGAAGGAGTCATAGTTGTCTATGAGGATTAAATTTGAGGCCGTGGAGACAGGTGGTGAAGGATCGGGATGATGAGGGGAGTGATCAATGATATCTAATGAGGCCATATTTTCTTCTTCTTTCTTTTTTGTTTTTTCACTTTCTTCGCTTTTTCCCCTTTCTTATCCTTCTTCTTCCCCTTTCACCTTTTTCACCTTTCCTTCTGTCTTGACTGGTGATGGCTTCACGTAGAAATCACGTAGAAATCACCTAGTGAGTAAGTGTGGTGGTTTTGATATATCTTCTTCTTTTAAGTCACTCTGGATGAAGGAATAGGCAAGAAGTAAAGAATGAGGAATAAGGGGATAGCTTTGCAAATCTTATCCTTGTTTGTTCCGATTTTATAACAAGCACCTTCAATATTTCGAGCAACAGTTACTCATCCAATTGTGAGGACCACATGCAGTTATTATAATATGTACCGTACTAAGTTAGGCACTTCAATGCTCTAAGGATTCTATTTCCGGGCATCGGAATTAACTAATGCTAATTAATACAAGACTATCGATAAGGTAGTGTTACCTTCCCACATACCTACCTACCTCCTACATACCTAACTACCTGCGAACATCCATTCTTTTTTTTCTTTTTTCCTACTAGTTAACTACTAACTACATAGACATGCATACCTAACAGTTACATACCTACCTAGTAAGTAAATACATACAAAGCCTTAACCTTGTATTTGCATGGGTCCAACATTGAAGCTCTCCCAATTATTATTTTGATAACTATTCTTTTTCTCGTCCTGCGCGTCGCAATAATCTGAAAATCAACACTTTTCTCACTCCACTCTCTTTTTACAACTACCCCTACTATTGCTCCTACACCTACTCCCTCTCATACTCCCTTCACATGCATCCAATGCCCATTCAACTGCGCATTGCCTGCTAAAAGCTGCAGCAATGGCAGAATCACTGTCCGACCTTGTTTACCTGCCCTCCTTGGAACTTTGCTTGAAGGGCGACACTATTGTTCTGTAAGTGGGAATTATTATGAAATAGCGAAAGAGAATGAGAATGAAGCTTGTTCAATTGCTAATCTTGTGTTTACTCCTTGGCATCTAGATCATGGAAGTTGGTAGCTTCTGCATTGACTGACCCTTCTGGGCATCGACTAGATAGCCATGCTATTATCGACTACTTGACCGATCCTCTCGTCCAGTCCTTCTTCACTAAGCCAGGCTCAGCTTTCGATCCCCCAGCGGACAAGAACTCTCACCATGCAGCCTTCGTCAAGAAGACAGCCGCTATTCAAGTTACTCCAGCCCCGAATGACAAATACGACATCAATGTCATCAAAGAGGATGCTCTCTGGCTGAGCAGGAATGCTCGCATAAATGAGATTGCTGCTCTACGAGTAGTGGTTGTGGAATTCCAATCCCGACCACAGAGCCAACTCCTCGGCCCCATATCAAACCAGGATGTCGCAAACCTACGCGAAGCCGCTGGTGCTGCGAATGCGCAAACAACCAACATCCTCCCTGGATTTAACATCGCCAGCACACTTGACGCTACAGAGATACAGGCGAACTTTGAGAAACCCGAGAGCAGGAAGCGTCGCATATTCCAGACCTACCTTGACGAGTGTCGATACTACGCCGCTACAAATGATTATATACTCACCCTGATGCTGCAGGAGTCCCTGCCTATGTTGCCCGCAACCGATGCGTCGAGGACGATCCGCAAGTCATTCTTGCAAGCGTATGGCATGTCTCCGAAGCAGCCTCAAAAGTCTCCACTTGACACGCCTACCAAGACCTTTCATGCTCTCGTAACTCAATATCTAAACATACTGCCAGACTCCGTCTCGCGTTCTCAAGCTGCCTTGGATGCCATGGTCGACGACAAAGTCTTGTCAACCGAAGAACTCAACGAGCGATGGATCCAGACATGGCTCACCGAATCCCTACACCGTATGGTTGTGATCTTCCAGCTATTGGACTTGTCAAGCGACGTCTTCGTATCAGCCCAGGTAGCCCAGCAGTGGTTTTCGTTGGTCAGCGCATTCAGCTTTTTGGGCCAACTTCAGTCGGTAGGTTATGTCCAGTTGTGTATATAAGGCGCTGAGGTCTATCCGCATAACCCCCCAACTAACATCACGAGTAGTATCCGGAGAGCATATCAGATCTCGTAGCTGCCTTACAGAGCCTCGTTTGCGTCATCTCACTATCAATTCTTAATCTACCTAGGATGATGGCCTTTTTCGAAGGAGAGGTAGACTTGAATACAGACGACGAATATCTCGCATCTTCGAACGTCCTTGAGCACATACACGACGTGCTTGAAGGCGCAATCGCCTCAGGTTCATTATATGCAGTTCCAGTTTTATTCGCCTGGGTTCCCGTCGTGCATGCCATGTTCTCGTCTTACCAAGAACGTGCGGAGAGGCGGGATGCCATTCAAAACGAGAAGGCCGTGGAAAACTATGATTCAACGACGCAAATGATCCCAAGTGCCGGGAGGCGGAACTCTGCAGGGAGTATCACTACAATTGACAAGCGGAGGTATGACGACTTCCTTATTAACAAGAATTTGGACCGCGATTTCAGGCGAGTCCAGACTCTGGCAGTGGTAGTTACGGACGAGGCACGTGTTTACGATGTTATTGCTGCCATGTCATCGTGTCTAGGTTCTTCTGATGGTGCCATATTTCCTGCTTGCATGGGCTCCCGTATGAGAGCCACGTTTTTAGATCTGCTCAGAATTACCTATCCTTTCGTGGGCTACAAGTCCGAGCCGGTCTTTGCGCTGCTAGCCATCCTATCCGGTGGCCAAGGCTACTGGGACCTCTCACGACCCAACAACACATCCGCAGAGCAAGATATACTCACCCTAGCTCTAAACGACGAAATCGTCGTTGAAAACTATTTCCACCAAGCTCTAAACCGATTTCCATACGAGTTCATTCCATTTATCTCCCTATGCCGCACCCTCTACGGATCCCAACATACCACTAAAGACAGCAATCATGATCTCCTCCTCAAACTATTACAAAAAACGCCTACTCTCACCTTCACTCTACCTGACCATTTCGTGGATTATCAACTTGCCAATGAGGAGGATAACTCCAACGGGTTTCAGTTCCTCGAGGATTTCCCCCTTATTTCGGCAGCAGCTAACTGGAAGCGGTTGGCGGCGGAAGAGGAACCATTTATAATACCAGCAGGCACGTACGGTCGCTTCATTGTGGACGAAGGACGGATCGTGCGAGTTGAATATGAGCACTCTGCCCTCGCTCTACTCGGGAAGCGACTAGATGCCAATCTTGCCGCCAAGAAGTATGATATGGAGCTCGGAGAACTCAGTAGGGAAGAAACAGCAGAGGCCATCTCGCTGCTTGCAACTCTAATACACATGGAATGCCGTACAGCAGCGAGTTCGAACGATAGTTCTTCCAACACATCCGAATCTGCATTGGCCATTATAGGCGAAGCGAGTCGGGCGCTGTCGCGAACTAAAGATATCATATCAGTTGTGTGTGATACAATGGACGTTCTGCTAGACGGTGAAACCGATAAACAGGAGCCAGCTGCTCTAGTGGCCTGTTTACAATTTCTACACGCCATCTTACCAATATGCCCGGGTAGGGTTTGGTCATATATGTCGCGCTGTACGATCCTCAGCAACGAAGGTCAGGGCGGCCGGCTGGCTAGATTGGTTGGAAGCCTTGACTTGTCGGAATCTCGGTTCAACTTACTGACATCTGCTGTGCGTCTCTTCTCAAGTCTTATCGACAGTGCTATGAGTAGCTCCGTGCGGCGGAAAACAAGTACCAAGACAAACCCTCGTCAAAATCAAGCTCACGACATTTGGCTTGGTGTTTCTGACAAGGTAGTAGGTCAGGTTTCCCTGTCAATCGTACAAGCGGCCATGGATATTCTAGAGAGTTCGTCTACATGGAGGTTCTCGTCCGTTCTGGATCGAATGATATTAGTACGTGACGTGGTACCCATCCTAGACAAGGCCGTCTTCTATACGTTTAGCATGGACGACATAAACTCCAAAACGTATTTAATGTCAGCACTAGAACCGGCGGCCAAGTACGTGATCGATAGCTTTCTAGCACCGTCCGCCGGAAGCCTCCGCATCCAGCCACTTCTTGTGACCCTGGTGGCTGCAACACAACCGTTTGGATCTACTATATATATCAACAGGACCGAGGCCTTCCGTGCCCAAACCGAAGCGGTACTCGGACTCGCAAGGAGCCTAGTGAGGGTGGCAAACTATTTTGACCGGCCCTCTTCCACGGTGGAGAACCAGTTATTCAAAGCGACACCTTTTGTTGCCCGGGTCTGCGCTTGCCATGATGCTTTCAGAGGACCAGCTATCGAGCTACTAGAAGCGTTGGTGATCAGCGCCGGCAAAAGCTCCGGTGAACCGCCTTCCCTGCTTGGATACTTAGGTCCACAGACATCCCGTTCGTTCATTCAACTTTTGTCAACCTTGGACAGGCCTTTCAACCAGGCCCGAGAGGTCAGCACGATTTGGAGATTCTTTTCCACTATTATCCGAAATCGTCAGCAATGGATGGCCAACTGTCTGCTCACAGGAAAAACGCCACGTGATGTCAAGACAGGTATCAGCAAGGCAACGGAGGCATCCTCAAGCTCTGTCCTCGTTTCTGCTCTCGACAGGCTTGTCTCGATATCTAAGTTGGAAGAGTCCGAGACACTTGCTATCTTGGATTTTGTTACCTCAGCCCAAAACTTCTGGCCATGGACTATCTTTATCCTACAGAAGAACAGCAGCTTTTTCACCGAACTACGGAGCTTCGTCCGCGACCTGAAGCCCTCGTCTATTACTTCCAAATCTAATGCATTACAAGCCTGTAATGAAGCTCGGCTGGCTGCTTACATTGGCGAAATATTTGCCATGCAACTCTTCCATCTCCGACAAATAGGTCAAGCAGGTGCATTCGCCAACGAGTTGACACGCGACCTGGACTACTATCTGCGTGATGGTGTAACCGTTTCCGGTTACAACAGAGGCCTGCATGTAAATTTCGCTCGAAATTTCAGCAACCAGTATCCGGTGTGTAGCCTAGACAACTTCAAGAGAACCTTGCTCGAACCCCGATCGTTAGGGGTTGAGTTTTATTACAATCTAGGGTTCGCAGATAAGATACTTGGATTTGATTCCGGGTGGGTTGGACCTCGAAGCAATGGATTCAGGAGTGAGATGGAAAAGGCCAATACTAACCTGTCGTTGGTTGACGCCCAAATCGTAAGTAACCCAGTCCAGGCCTCAGCAACAGCAACAGCAACAGCAATAAGTAAAATTGAGTACTAGCTAACAATTGAGTAGTGCCTCTATCATGCCTGGGAATTTCTCCTCCTGGAATTGAGTACCTGTTTACCAGGTAACGATACGCTGAAGAGGCATTCGCTCCAGGTTGCGCAGCAATGTTTGGAGGCGAACGAAGAAACACAGACACATGACCAAGTCTTTGAGCGGCTCGCCGAGTCACGAGTTAATCTAGCGCTCATGCTGGTGCAGAGGGTGGTCAACAGCGCTCCCTCTCCAGGTGATGTTTCCCAGCTCTTGACGGCCTTGTGGGGGACAGTCAGCAGCGTCCAAGAACCGTTTGCGCCGGAGAATATTTCACTCTATCGAGTACTTCTTAAACTACTCTATGTCACCTTGAGAGCCCAGGTTCAATCACTAACGACGAATGCGGCGTCTAATAAGCAGGGGAGCAATGCGGCTGCTGCCATGGTTTCTCAGACGGTCTTAAGCATACTGGATATCACGGTTGCTAAGGGGTTCCGAAGTTTGGTTTCGTTAGTTCACGATTCCCACACACTAGTCTCCCCGAGTGACTTTGCGCTCATCAACGCCATCTTGCAGGCCTGTCTCTGCGTTCCGGGAATGGATCAGAACCAGACACAGATCCTCAACATCATGGCCACCCACGATGCGGTGCAGGCTGCAGTATCCCTATACTCGTGGGCTGACAAGTTGGCTGACCAAGGCGACCCCATATATGGCGAACTGTCGCTTTTGTTCTTACTAGAGCTGTCTACATTGCCTCTAGTAGCAGAACAACTGGCATGTGACGGTCTACTAAATCACATAACGTCAGCTAACCTAGCCACGTACCTTCAACGAGCGAATGTCAAGCCTTTTGCCGAGTCGGTTGGGCTACAACGGTGTTATAGCATATGGGCCAAGGCCATTGTCCCATTACTTCTCAACATACTGACCGCATTGGGCACCACCATCGCCCCCGAAGTAGCCTATGTGCTCAACCAGTTCCCCAATCTCATGCAGTCGAGCGTCGAGCGATTTGAGCCCCCTGACGATGGCAGACGGCGAGATCGCAACGATCGCGATTATATCACCCTTTTGTCAGTATCTGAGATCCACTCGCTGGCTCTCATGACGCGGGTGCTAGGAGGTCTTCGCGTTAATAATGCGAGAGATATACCGGCGGTGGAATGGGACTCGGCGGGACTGTCAGAAAGCGTCGAGTTCTGGGTAGACCGAAGGAAACTTCTCAGGGAGAGGTTGGTGACGCTAGGGGCACGGGAGGCGGAGTGGAGGGTTCTACCAGCCACGGAACGAAACAAATCAAGGGGGATCGAGAGCAAGCTAGAGGAGAAGATAATCGAGCAGTTGGAGTCTGTACGAATAGTACTCGGCGAAGGATTGGAATGAGTACGATGAAATAGGATAGGGTCTTAGGGGTCTTAGGCAATGGAGAATCATCAGTGCCTACCTACTGGTGCGATGCCATTTTTGTTTTGCTTGTTTTTTCTTCCTCTGCATGTAGCATAGAGTTGAAAAGGTGAATTCATGACCCAAGTAAATAGGGTGAGGTGTCTATCGTAATGCGCCCAACCTCGACAGGGCAAAAAAAGGTCTCCCCTTTTTTTCCACCCCTTTTCCTTTCCTTTCTTCCCGCCGTTCCTACTTTGCTATTGTTACATGTGAGGCTATTCCCCTGTTTCTCAGCCTCAAATCCCTGTGCTCCTGTACCAGTGTGTAATAAGAAGGGCGTTTTAGGCATGCCCTAGGTTAGGTTAGTCCATAGTCTCAGCCTTTCCTAGTCCAATGCTCTTTATTTCACGATGATGATTCTTATAATTCGGTCGCAAAGTTGAAGAGCAGGGCTCAGAAGGTAATATGGATGGATGGATGGATGGATGGATGGTGGAGCGCAAAAACGCAGTGCATCTATCGGAGGCCACCCCCTTGCTGCTGCTGAGTCATGGCGGCATTGTGTTCCTGGAATCTTTCACTGAGGCGTTGGGACATGGCCATGTGTTTCTGGACACAGCGGGTAACGCAGCCAGACTCGCGGGAGTTTAGTGATTTAGAGGTGAAGTCGTCAATGCAGGACATGAAGCAGTGATCGACAAGGTTGCTGAAGAGCTATATGGTTGGGTGGTTTGCAGTTAGCAACTTGAGTATTCCTGGGTATATCTCTGCTTTGGTATCTCTACCCAGGTATGTTGTATCTAGGAAGGTAGAGGAATTCACGTACGCCAAAGAAGACCTTCATCTGCTGCTTTTGCATGCGCTGCTCCAACTGGCGCGTCTCGGCTGTGGTTAATCTTTTGATTGATAAATCATATTAGTTGTAGGTTCATTAACTAGTATTATATATAACATACCCGTCCATGTTGTGTGAATTGTGATGTTGTTATATTGTTGAATTATTGAAGTTGTAAATTTTGAGAAAGTTGAGTATTACTATGTAGAAACCTTAATAAAAGAGTCAATTGCTTGGAAAAGTTCAAGGTATACCGGTACATAGTACAATAACTACCTTAAGGTTAACTACCTAGTAGTACGTACTATACATTGAGGTCCAGCTCTGGCGGGGCACAACCTTAAACTTGGGAAACTTTTGAACCAGACCGCCCGCGCTAATCGCTAATCGATTAAAGCCAAAGAAAAAAAAAAAAAGAAGTTCTGCCAAATCTTTCTATTTTCTCGTTTTTATCTTCATTTTCATCAGGTACAAATAACCACTTACTTCATATCTATATAAGTCAATACAAGTCCGCCAATATGCCTAAGTCAAAGCGATCCAAGGTTGTCCACATGACCCAGGTCAACAAGAAGACCCGCGAGCACAAAGAGAGCCTCTTCGAAAACATCCGCAAATGCATCCCCCAGTACCAATACTGCTACGTCTTTAATGTTGACAATATGCGCAACACCTACCTGAAGGAAGCGAGACAAGAATTATCCGATAGTCGGTACGTAGTACCGCACCTTGCCATATCATTACCAAATCATTACAACATAAAAGTATACAACGAGGTGCTAATGTAGAGCAATCAATATCTATAGTCTCTTCTTCGGCAAAACCAAACTTATGGCTCGCGCCCTAGGTCACAGTCCTGAGGATAGTTACGCCGACAACGTTTGGCGGCTGACCCCCTACTTGCGGGGTACTGTCGGTTTACTCTTCACCAACCGCCCGCCCGAGCAGCTATTCCCTTACATCGAGGACCTCTCGCGCGACAAGGTCGATTTCGCCCGCGCCGGTGCCATCTCCCCCCGCGACTTTGTCGTCCCCTACGGCACACTCTATGCCACCGCTGGCGAGGTGCCTCTAGAGCACGACGTCCCCATTGGCCACACCCTCGAGCCTGAGTTGCGCCGCCTCGGTGTGCCCGTGCGCATGGTCAAGGGTCGCGTCGTCTTGGAGGCTGGTTCGGAGGTTGGTTTGGACGGGGGATACGTCGTCTGCCGTGAAGGTGACGTCCTCGACTCGCGCCAGACCAGGTTACTCAAGCTCTTCAGCATCTGCCTCAGCGAGTTTCAGATCAAGATTCTCGCCTATTGGTCTGCTGCTACCTCCGAGGTCATTCCTGTCAACGCCCCAGCCGTAGATGGTGTCGACAACGTTGACGAGGACAGCAATTAAGAAACTAAGGAGGAGAGAGGGCGAAATTAGAATAGGAGGAGACAGCCCTGGCTGCTTGCTTGCTTATTTCCTTATTTTTTTCTTTTTTCACATCCACTCCCCGTGTATATTCTTTATACTCGCATGTACGTGTGTGTGCATTTACGGTGATACCATGGTTTTCATTGGCGTTTGGTACAGGCAAAAAAATCTTTGGGCCAAGGTGATTAATAATTTGAGGGACTATTTCACGACTGCGTACGAGGCCAAAGCATAGGTGGTCGGGACAAAATAGAACAGAAACAGAAGACGTACGTAGCCAGTTTACCAGTTAACTAGTAAGGGTGGCCAGGGCGTTGGACGGATCATATAAGACTATCTTACATATCAAGACTCACTACTTGAAAAAGATAGAGCTTAGTCCAGCACGATACACTGCCATACTACACGCAAAATCTCGTTTGACTCATTGCTTAAGTTTTCCCATCATCCTACACCCCGCCCCTTTTCGACGATCAAGGTACCCTGGTCAGTAGGCATTTTCATCATTGCTTACCTCCGACCTTACCTGGAAAAAAGAAAAAAAGAATCAATCAATGGCCCATGTATTTGTTTCCGATGGTTTCGGGCTAGTCTGGCAGGTATTCCCTCTGCCGTCATTATAAAGTAAGTTACATGTAGAGAGGAAGAAAAAAATATTACCTCGCGAAATATGGCACTAGCAGCAGTAGTAGTAGTAAGCAAAGGTTGTGGCGGCCCAGGAGATAGATAGGTTCGAAGACGTCAACGACGATAGGCTTAAGTGAACGTGATCGGATCAAGAATTTTGCTGGACCTCACATGAGTTGGTAGTCTCTTGTTACCTTTCTCCTTTTTTTCCCTTCCCCCCTTTTTTGGATTTCTTGGCTGGTGACGGTATGCTGTTATGGGAGTTGGGTCGGGCTGGATGGGTTGTCATTCTCCTTTGTGGTAGCTTTTCAAACACGAGCTTACCCTTGCTTACCCTTGATGTCGAAAGGCAGAAGGAAAAAGTCGGAATGGTTGCAGAGGTAGAAGCAGGATATGGAAGACATGAAGATACCCACCAAGACAAACAACTCTTGTCTCGAAACGAAAAGAACGGGTTTTAGTAACGTCGTAGTTTTCGTGGATCCTCGTAGTTGCCTTCAAAGCCACGTTTTCGGCTGTCGTCTTCTCTCGACCGGTCGAAGTCGCGATACTCTCGTCCGCCACGAACCGGCTCAAAGTTAGCGCCGCTTCGGCGGTCACGATCGCCGAATCTACCTCCGTCACGATGTCCGCCTGATCTATCATCATATGAGCGACTGCCGTTGCGCGAGTCATACCCACCACCACCTGGTCCACCGCGATCCTTATCGCCTCCGCTAAATCCGCGACGTCCAGCCCAGTTAGGACCAGCCGGGGCGTTAGGGGGCGGGTTGAACCCATTCTGCTGACCAAAGCCACGATCACGGCTGGGACCGCCAAAGTCTCCACCACTTCCGCCAGCAGCTCCTCCTCGGAAGCCGCGGTCACGGCCAGGTGGGAATCCCCCTCTTCCACGGCCCTGAAATCCTCCACGGAAGCCGTCGCGTCCACCAAAACCGGTTCCGAACCCAGGCCCTCTAGGCTGGGGAGGTGCAGCTTTGGAGTATCCTCGACCACCTAGACCACCACCAAAACGACGAGGCTTCCAGCCCTTGACTGTGCGGCCTCTTTCAACGTCTACCTTAATGCGGCGGTCTCTGATGCGGATTCCATCGCAACCATCTAAAGCAGCTAATTACACGTGCGCGGCAAAGCGCAATTGTCAGTAAAGCCTTACCAATGCCTCATACCTTGTCTTAGGTAAAGTAGGAGGGGGATACAGGAGGGGAGGGAGAGTAAGGCAAGCCTGAGGGCCAAATCTCATGGGATAGACAAGACGGACAGGACAGGGGTGAGCTGAACCGACGGGTCGAATGGGTTAATCTAAGGGGGGAATCAATGGTAGTATTACCTCTCATATCTTTCTCGCGTTCAAAAACTACAAAGGCGTATCCCCGATGGGGCTTCTTTTTCTTGTTAGGCTTTTCGTTGGCGTGGGTATCGGACACGATACGAATCTAAGGACGGAATATCAGCATCGAATTGCATGACGAAAAATAGGCACGAGGATTGTATAGCATACACGCTCAATTGGCCCGAAGCGACCAAATTCTTTCTCAAGATCATGTTCCGTGGCATCGTAACTCAGTCGAGCAACAATGAGGGTCTTGAACGGGTCGCCACGGATGTTTGGGTCCTCATTGGGTTTATCTAAAAGAAATATTAGATATATTTTTCATACATGGGATATGCGACAAGGTAGATGATGGTATGCGGTATGCGGTATGGTATTAGGGTAATTACGAACAATGTATTGGTAGTTCGGTCAGCAAGTCTTCTTGCTGAGCCTTCTTCTCAAGCTTCTTCCTGTCGCGCATCTGCAGCCAACTCTCGGTAGGGACGTATCCATCATTATCCTTATAATCGGCAAGCACTTTACGGTATTCGGCCAGTCCAGTGATAGAATGCGTCTTTCGTTGCTCGGGGGCAAAGTCGGGAGGAGGCACCCATCGCAAAGGAGGTCGCGGGGCGAAGAGCGCGAGGAGATTTGGAGGTAATTTATCCGTCATGGTCGCGTAGTTGTTAACGTGACGTTGTTAGATGATTAAAGCCAAAAGGACACTTAATATTAGATAAAAACTGTGTAATGGGACAAAATAAGGAATGGCTCGAACCCTTGGGGTTTATATTAGATTCGTTTTGGTTTGATTGATGGATGAAAAAGAAAAGGGACGGAGTAATTAGAAGAAAGAAGGAGAGAGAAGGAAAAAAGACGAGTGTTGTTTCGCGTCAGTTTAAGTTCGAGGGAGAAATTGAAAGCTTGCATAAACAGTTGCTCCATAAATAACTAACCTAATAACTAAGTGCTTGTACTAGTTGTGCAATGTATACAAATAAAAAGGACAGTGCAAGTAACGAGTATTCTAGCAATGCATGTGCGACATCCTACTTAGTTACATAACTACTAGGTATTACATACCTAGTACTAGGTAATAGTTATGTACCCATGTACTTTCTCTTATTAACTACAAAACTACGAAACTGCGAAATTTCAACTGACACGCAAAAAGAGACACGCAAAGAGAGAGCAGAGCATTGTCGTGAACTTCCATTTCCATTAGTCGCAACCATGACTATCCGGGCATTGGAAAAGGTTTCCATTGGCCAAGTAATTCATTCCAAGGTTCTTCTTATTTCAAGGTAAATCAGCCCACTAACAAAAGAACAACAGAATGGCATCGGCGCCTTCATTCTGCAGTGTAGAAAGATAGACGTTCACTATTGCGACCACTCCGGAAGCTCCAGAGGCATGAGGTAAGATCGATACCCCATATCTAAGGAGTACCCAACATAACATAACACATGACACTAATGCGAATCGGATTGTTTCTTTGTAAAGTGCCTTCATCAAATCCCAACTCGCCAACTTCGCAGCCAAGCATCCTCAAATCGAATTCGCTGTATCTCCCCGTCCACGAAAACACCCCGTCCTCATCGGACACTATATAAATGGAAAGGAGAAGTCTATATGCGTCAAAAACCTCGACTCTCTTCAGATATTAAAGAAGATGGAACTGCTACGAGACGCCAGTGGTGAGAAGGTCAAGAAGGTTAACAAGCCAGTCACTAGTATCAGCCAAAGCGTGAGAGGAATGTGGAGTCCTTACCACGGCAATGGCATGACCGTATAGCGAGACTATTACAATACTAGAAACTTGCACGACTACATATTCTCAACTACACTAGCAAAGTGTATAGGGAAATAGGTAAATAGGTAAATAAACATCCATGGCCACAGACGCATCAATTATGGGCATGTTCCAGAACACCTAGGCAGCCCATTTGTATGTGCATACACGTTCGCAGTCGGTTTTTTTTATGAGCAAGCATATGTTATCCGGACTATACTAGTTCATATGCGCACTGCGTTCTATATTGCATTATCCTTAGGTACTAATCTAGGTACAGTAGGACAACAAACAGGGACGAAAGGTAGAGGTTATGAATACCTATATACGTAGGGTTCATAATCCAAGTAAAGTCGCTCTATTTCATATCATCCCTCACGTGGAAAGTGGTTCCCTTTTCATTTTCCTGGTCATTTTCCTTTCTTATCCTATTTTTCTATCCGTCTAAGATTTAGAGTTGATGATGTCGACAACTGTAGAATTTGTTAGTTCAGGTTGAAAGGCATGGAGTTGTAAACGAAGAGTATGCTACATAAACATAGGAATAATACTTACAAGCGGGCTTGAGACTGGCTCCACCGACGAGGAAACCATCTATGTCCTTCTCCTTGCTAAGATCTTTGCAGTTTTTCTCGCTGACACTGCCCCCGTATAGGATTCTGGTCTCATCTGCGACACTCTGGCTTACTTCCTTGGCCAGCCAGGAGCGGATGGAGGCGTGAACCTCTTGAGCTTGCGCGGTCGTGGCAACCTTGCCAGTCCCGATGGCCCAGATGGGCTCATAAGCAATAACGATCTTACTCCAATCCGAGATCTGGGCCTTCAAGGCAGAGAGCTGGGCAGCAATGACCTCAAGGGTCTTGCCAGCCTCTCGTTGTTCCAAGGACTCGCCGCAGCACCAAATAACACTGACACCATTTTCAGTTGCAAACTTGGTCTTTGAGGCCACAGTCTCGTCACTCTCGGATAGAATAGTGCGACGTTCGGAGTGGCCAAGGATGACCCAGTCGATGCCGCTATCCTTCAACTGGGAGACGGATATTTCCCCAGTGAAGGCACCGTTGGGCTTGTCGTAGACATTTTGCGCAGCCACACCAATTTCCTTCTTGGCCAGCTCGCGAACGAGGAGAAGGTAGAGTGCCGGCGGGGCTATGACCGTCTCTGATCATAAAGCATATCTGTGAGAAAAGCTACCCAGTAGATTTGGCATGGATAACGGGTGGGCCAACTAACCAACGTTGGAGTCCAGCTGGGCTTTGTTCAAATTGTCGACAATCTCCTTGATGGACGAGATGGTCCCGTTCCTACATGCGTTACAAGGTTTCTATCAGTCTTTGCAAATTCGTGGTAGACTATGTTATCGTTTATCTAATTTTTCATTCTGGTTTTCTCTTATTCGTGGTGGAAAGGACCTGATACATATGTAACATGTTGGTATAATGGGAGTTGCTTACATCTTGAAGTTGCCGCCAACGAAGAACTTGCGTGCCATTTTGAATGAGAGGGTTTTAAACCGAATATATCAGTTTTAGGTGGATAAGAAATATAACAATGAAGGTGGTTAAGGTGTTAAATTTAAATGGTAAAGGTAGTATATCGCAACAAAGATGGAAATAAAATAACTCGTAAGAGGAGAAATAGTATAAGTACTTAATAAAAGAGCTGCGGGTTACAACCGTATGTCATAATAAATTGTTAATAATAAACGCTTTATACGATATATCGCGGGGTTAAAAATAAAAAGGTGTTATCGATAAAGTAAATGTTAAAACAAATAAAGTAGTTCCGTGATCATAAGTAAGGCTTATCTTAGCGAGCTTATGCCCCGATCGGAATCTTTTTTAAACTGCCACTTAGAAAGTGGAGAGGTACATTCAAATGCATAAAGAATATATGGGTCTAGAATGTATCTTTTTATCCCCTGCGATTCTTTTTTAAAATTAAACCTTTAAAGTTAAAATTTAACTTTTAAGGTTATCGATTATAATATTTAAATTTAAATAATTTATAAATAAAGTAAGTTATTTAAGTTTAATTAAATTATTAATTTACTTTATAAGTTAAATTATAGCCTTATATATTAACTTTATTAATTAATTATATTATAATGCTTTAAATTATTATAATTATTATTAATTAAAATAACCTTAAGTTATTATTACTTACACACCTTTTTAACCTAAGGTTAATATAATATTATTTTTATTTATACCGTTAAACCTTAAATCTTAAAATTTATATAACTTAATCCTTAAATAATTTAATCCTTAAATAACTTAATCTTATATAATTATTTTACTTTCCTTTAATATCTCGTTATATTAACTTATCTTAATTGCCTTAATTTTAATTATACCTTAATATATTACCCCTTAATTACCTACCCGCCTTATAACTGCTTTATTACTTCGACTTTAACTATGCCTTAATATATCGCTTTATTAACACTTACCCACCTTAATTCCAACTTTATTTTAAGATCTTAACGCGCCTTTTAACTTAACGCTATTAGGTTTTTTATTTAATATACCTTATTACCGGTTAACCTTTTAATATACTTCTCATATCTTATAAAAAGTTATAATAAATATCTGGCATTATTAATGTTTTAATTTACGTTAATATTCTTATTTTTATTGTTTATATTATTTTTATTTTCGAGATATTTACGCTTTTAATAACCCTTTTTATTATAGCATTTATATATTTTTTTACGCTATATATTATTTATTTTCTTACCTTTATTCTTATATTTATTCTTAAATAAGATATAATTTTAATATTCCGTAATAAAATCGTTTTTAAAAACTTAAATCTCGATCGCCGTTATATATAAAAAAATACGTTATTATATAATCCACTTTTTAACTTCGTTTTATGCGTTTTTTAAAAAAAATATTTATTATTAAACGTTAATAACTACGTTATTTATATTATTATTATAATTTATTAAATATATAAACTATATAACGTAATTAATAAAGTTTTAACTATTATATTTAAATTTATAAAACTTTTCTTATAATAATATCTTAACTTAATCGCTTTATAACTAATAAATTATTTAAATTTATTTAATTATAACTAAGCTATTATTTAAATTAAATATTAATCGTATTAAATTCTTTTATAACTTTTTAATAATTATATTTATAATCTTTAATTTATTTATTGTAATAATAATTATATTAATCTTAAATTTAATTAATTATAATATAATAAAAAAAACATTAAGCTAAAGTTATATATTATTAGATTTATATAAATAAAAATTATCGTAAAACTTCCACTTAAATCCTCGCTATTTAAGCTTTATATTAAATGCTTTTTCTTTAATATTATCCTTTTTCTTATTATCCTCCTTTATTATGCCTTTTATTATTAATTTTAATTATAAAATATAAACCTTTAAACCTTTTATATCTTTAATTATAATATTAATTTGCTAAATGATTTAATCTTATTTCGTAACGCGTTTAATTTAAAAACATAAAACTAACCACTTTTTTATATTTTATAAACGTTAAAATATTACCATATAAATAAAGCAAATTATTTAAGTTTAATTAAATTACTAATTTACTTTATAAGCTAAATTATGGCCTTATATATTAGCTTTATTAATTAATCATATTATAATACCTTAAGTTATTATAATCATTATTAATTAAAGTAACCTTAAATTACCACTGTTTACATAATCTAAATAAATTTAAATAAAATTTAATTTAATAGTTATTTTTATATAAAAATATTTATTAAAACGTTATAAAATTGATTAATAATTTGTTTTTTTTTAGGAATTTTATCAATTTAAATGGATTTTATTTATTTAAAAAAGTGTTTATTTTTAAAAATGAAAATACATATTTAACCCACTTTATAAGGTCGAGTTTAACGTAAAACTTTACCTTTTAACCGCTTTTTAAAAAAAAGCCTTATTTTTAAGAAAAATAAAGAGTTTTGTTATCCGCACCCCCCTTTTTTAATAAACAAGCCTTATTTGCACCCTGGTACATTAAGATCGCAGCGTAAAAGGTCTACGCTTTAAAGCTAGCTTCCATTAAAAAATCTAATATAATTTCCAATCTAGAAATCGGATTAAAGTACATCTTATGTCGTTCAAATTAGCTTAATTAGATAATCTAAACGATATATATTTCAGATCAATACAACCGTTAGTTATAAAATTATTTAAGTTTAAAAATTATAGTTTATTTTAAAAATGGTACAAATTAAAATAGTCTATATATCACGTGATGCCCCTTGGCTAGCATTAGGCTAGCAGTAAAATGTTTATTTTACTCTTTTCTAAATAATTTTATAACCATTTATTGGGTTAGTCTAAAATATATATTATTTGGATTGTTAGGTTAAGACGGTTTTAATAGAGTTGGATACACTTTAATCCGATTCCTGGATTAGAAATTATTTAGGGTTATATGTTTGAAACTAGTTGGAACGCTCGGACGACCAGCATTTTTTCACTTTTTTTCCATGTACCGGGGTGCGAATAAGGCCCTTTTATCAAAAAAGGGGGGTGCGGATAACAAAACTCAAAATAAAAACGTTTTATTTATTATAATTTAATTTTTAATTTAATTTAAAAGATATTTATTAAAAAGTTCTTAAAATCGTTATAAGGATTTTATAAAATTTATGTAAATAACTTTTATAATTAAAAACTTACTTTATAATAAAGATATTTAAGTAAAAAATAATTTAAAAAATCTTCGATTAAAGCTTTAATTTAAAAATTAAAAAATAATTAAATTATACCCGTTTATATTATAAACATATTATTTTTTAACCCGTGTATATATATATATAAAATTAAAAAAGCGATATTTAAATTTATATAAAACCTTAAAACTTTATAAAGCTTTTTAAGCTTTATAAACTTTATAAATTTTAATGTTTTAAATATTATATAACCTTTTTTTATAAAATATAAAATTATTAAGCGTTAATAAATAAAAATAACTTTTTTTTTACTTTTTAAGCTTTAAATTAAATATATTTTTATTAATATATTAACTTTACTTAATTTTATTTTTTTAATTTATGTAATTATTATAATTAATTAAAAGCCGATATAATTAAAAAATATATAAATATAAACTTATAATTTAAGTTTATTAAAATAAAATAAAGCTTTAATTAAAAAGATTTTTAAATTATTTTTTAAAAAATAAAAAAATATATTTAAAAAGTTTTATTTACACTTTAATATATTAAAATTATAACGTAAAAAGTTTAAGTTTTAAAATTAATTTTTATTAAAGAATTTAATATAATTTTTAACTTAAAAATTAAATTAAAATATATTTATATAAAATTAAAATTAAGTAAAGTTTATTTTAATAAACTTAAATTATAAAGTTTATATTTATATATTTTTTTAATTATATCGGTTTTTAATTAATTATAACGATTAAATAAGTTAAAAAAATAAACATAAACTTATAATTTAAGTATATTATGTTAAATTTTAATTAAAATATCATTAATTTAATTAATTATTTAATTAATTAATTAATTAAAAATATTTAATTATATTTATTTTATTTATTTATTTATTAAGCTTTTAATTAATTTAAATATAAGATTTAAAGATATTTATAAAATAAGTTATAAATTATTTTATTTAAGTTAAATCGAATTATTATTAACGCGGCGTTTTACGTAATTATAATAAATACGTTTTAAAAGTTTTTATTAGTTTTAATATAAATATTGTAAGATTAAATTAAAGAAGCTTATATTAAAAAGGTAGGTTAAGATTTAAAGATCTTAGCTATTTACTTATATATTTAATTATTCTAATAAAAGAAGCATTCGAAGGCATGTGATAAATGGCCTTATCACTATTCCCGCGCCTTTTTTTTTTTTTTTTTTTTTTTTATATATGCCCGTAACTAAGAATTATTACGATCCGATTAAAACTATCGATCTAAACATTTATCCAATCTATTTAACCTTTTTTAACTTTTTCTACCTTTTTTTAATAATGTAAACTATTTTTTAATTAATTTATTAATTGTTTAAAAAAATTATAATAAAAATATTAATATTATACGTAAGGATTAATTTATTAATTAAATCTAATTCCTTAACTAACTTTAATTTGTTAAAAATAAGTTGGTAATTTTTATTAAATTTTTTAACAAATTATATAACGTTTTATATTAAGAATAGTTTTAAATATCATTTATTAAATTTTAAACCATAGCTTTTCTAAGATATTAAATATTTCAATATAAGGCACCTCTTAATGCGGTTAACTTAACATTTTTTAAATCTCTCGATTTTATATAAAACTAAGTTATTATTATCTTTATCAACGAAAATTTAGCCTGGTTTTAACCGGTATTTTAACCAAAAATTTATATTAATAAATGTAAAAGTAAGGTAAACGATTAAAACGATATAATAAATTTACCAATACTATGGAAAATTTAATTTATAAACCAAATCCTTAATTTTTTTTATAACTATAAAAAGATTTATACGTTATTTAAATCATTTTTGCTTTGATTTCTTAAACAAATAATAGCCTTTATAAAACTTAAAGAAAACTTCCTCTCCGATATTAAATTAT